ACACACAAGCTTGTGTCTCTTTTTTTTTCCCTTCCCCTTCACTCAAGCTTGTTCCTTGTTCCCACTCCGTACCGCCCTCCCCGGCCTAGAACACCCAGACAGCAGCAGCAGCAACCAACCTGCATTTGTCTCCATACCGAAACTGCGCTTTCGTCCCAGACTATTCAACACATCATCACAGCGCCATTAGCATTAGCCTCTCCCCTAAACAACAGCCGGTCTCCCCTCTGCGAAAAGAAAAGTGGCTCCCCAGCGGCGCAAAGTCCAATCAGTCACCCCTGGCTCTTCGGCTCATGCCCAAACGGGCAATCTCCATGGCCAAAACGCCTTTATACCGTCCGCCTTTCGCGATCAGCTCGGCAGCCCATTCGACACACACTCGCAGAGAATGAAGCCGGTTATGCTTGAATTTCCCGTTCGCGCCTCCATCACTGCCTAAAGTTTCTTAGGATCAGCCCGCATGCATTTGTCTGTTGCACAGCCCGTTCCCTCTCCACACAGCCATTCTGCAGCTTGCTTAAGTCTAGAGGTTAAAAAGCAGAGACGAAGCTGTCATCAACCTCCTCTCTCTCTCTCTTTTCCCCATAATCCCGACGAATGAGCAAGCTACAGGCATGATCCTGACTGCAGTCACATAGCCAAAACTCTGAATTGTGCCAAAAACACGAACTCCCGATCTGCAGGCTGCCCTCCCACTCACGAACACGTAACTAACCTACATCATCATCTGCATCACATCATCGTGCTTCCACTTTTCCAGCTTCCCCATCATGCATGTAGGCGACCTACATGCTTCAAAAGTGCAACGACAACTTTCAAAAAGGACTCTCGGCGTGTTCCGCATTCGCTCATTCGTCCACTTCCCCCTCTTCTCACCCAAAGGCATCGAGGCTGTGCCCGTCCATTCCTCAGGCATCACAACATCAGTCAACTACTTGTAAGCAAGGACACCAAACAGACGCAAAACCATAACACGCCCAGCCTAGAGCCTCATTCCCCAGCTCTAGCCCCAGGCCCCCCCTTATTACCTCATCTCCTACATCTCTCGTCATCCTGCTCTCTCTCACTCTGTTTTCCTCTTTTGCGCCTGCTACACTTCCCCGATGCGATACATAGCCCCTTCGCCTCAATCCAGTGACTCTCCCCCTGTCTTGCTTCTAACCCTGTTCCAAGCACCATCCCATCCCCGCAATCTCCAAAAGAGCCCATCAGCCAAAGCCCAAGCCCAAAAACTACCGCCTCATCATTGGCCTTCTTTCGCGCCCCCCTGCACAGGTTCTGTTTTGTCTCACGTTTCGTGTGGAGTAAGCAATCGATAGGCAATCTCCCTATCCCTAACGAAAGGGGCTCCACTCACCTATTCTACTGGTCAAACGCTGTTGATTTTCCGCCACGGCGCCTGCATGGCAATTTGCGGCTTTTGAGGCGCTTCGCGAGGCGTATCTGGGGAAATGACATGTACAGACATGCAATGCTAAGTAGATAACAAGGAAATTAGCACTTGAATAGATATGCACTTGTACTATACTGTAGCTGTATGCGTCTAGAAGGCAGAAGGCAGAACCAGGTTGCCGCTGGAGGTTTAACTCCGTTCTGTCTTAGTCCCACGGACCAATCTGCTAGTTTTCAAAATCAAATTAAACAAAGTCAACGCCGCCCCATGTCTGTCTCTCTCTCTCTAGCAGCAATACAGTTCCATAATATCCCACCAGACAACCTCGGCCAAAGCATCATGATCGCCAAACATCTCAAATCTCGCAGTCCAGATGACCTACTCCATCTAGATTGGCACAGCTATTGTGGAGGGAGCCATCATCAATAAATCGCGAAATCTACAGAAGCGTCTAGATTGACAAACTCGAGCCGTCTCCTCCCTACTTAGCGTGCTCTTTTTGCTTGCGGCGTAGCCCCAGATTTTGCTGCATAGGTACCTACTTGACATCATCGAGACCTTGCTCTTGTCAAACACCCTCATGCATAATATTTCAGTCACCAAGAATCAGAGCTATCTGCTCATCGAAATGGATACCAACTCATTGTATCAATTTACCAAGGCCCTAATAGCTGTATTTACAAAATGCCGACGCTGTCATCGAGACAATCATAAATGTCCTACACATTCCACATTCCATCCATCTGTTCCTCCTTAACCAACTTTTTTTTTTTCTTTTGCTTGATTTGCTTGCTTGTTTGTTTGCTTGTTCAACCGCCATCTTCCAACTAATTGTTCATTATTCGGCTAGTCTCCCAACTTCGCTCGATATGCCAGCACATAAAAATGGGAAAATACTAATAGTAGATACGACGATAAATTCCAAGCCTGGAGCACTGGGTATTTTGTATTGGGGGGTGTAAAGAAGTGAGAAAGAAAATGAACGACGCATTTTAGTGCTCCAACAGGCGCAAGCTACCCTGCACGACAACGTTCTCCAGGATCGATCCGGGAGGAATGTCAATGGTGCTTCCCTCGGTCGCAACAATGATGACTGTGCCCTTGAGCGTCACGCCACGGCCCAGGTTGACGGCACCGGTAATGGTGAGGTGGTCAAGCTCCAGCACCTTGGGGATGGAGGGGATGCGCTTCTGGAAGTCTGAAACCTTCTTGAAGTCACCGCCCAGCTTGATCAGAGGAGCATCGCCGAAACGGGCGGCGCTCATCTGGAGCTGGCCGTGCTTGAGTGTGTACAGGTCAGACTTAACCAACATCAGGTCGGAACAGGTCTTGACGGGCAAGAATCGGCGACGGGGAACATTGACACCGTGAGCGTTGTTGAAGTGGCGGATGGCAGCACCGACGGCAGTCTCGAGCTGGAGAATGGAAATGTCTGACTCGCCCTTCTTGTCACCGGGGATGGTCTTGCCGTTGGGGATAATCTCCATAGCCAACTCGTTGTTCTCCACCACGCGCTTGATGGCGCTGAGGTTCAGCCAAATGTTGTTGGTGTTGAAGTACTTGAACTTCTTGATGGACTTGAACTCGTTGACGTGCTCCTTGGGCACCTGGGCGATTTCCAGCAGGCGGACAGATCCCTCGTAATCAATAATGGTACCACCCTTGACGTCGGCCTTGGTCTTGTTGGTCAACTCCATGATGTACTCGGCCTTGGTCTCAACCATGTGCTGGAGGATGCGGAGATCCACAACGGCGCCCAGATTGTCGACGTTGGACAGGAAAATGATCTCAATGCCACGCTCCAGCAGCTTGTCAAGAATACCAGAGTTGTACAGCGACTCGAAAACGTCACCGTGTCCGGGAGGGTACCACTCGGTGATGGACGAGTTGAAGGACTTGGGGACAGGCAGCAGCGAGTCCTTGTAGATTCTGGGGTATCGGGACTGGTTGAAGGTGAGAATGTCCACGTTGTGGCCCTCGTACTTCTTGATGATGGCAGCGGTATCGTCGTTGGTGTTGAAAGAGTTCATCAGGAGGAAGGGAACGTTGACGTTGTATGTGCGGTTGAGGTACTCGATCTGGCGGACAGACAGGTCGAGGAAGGACATGCCGTCACGGACCTCAATGACGGACTTGGGTCCAACGCAACCCATGGAGGTACCAAGACCTCCGTTGAGCTTGAGGACGGCGAGCTTGCTCAGGAACTGAACAGACTCAGTGTTGGCGAGGTCCTCGTAGTCGACGACCTGGCCCTGGGCGGGAGGGGCAATGCGGTCCCAGTCACTGTGGCCTCGTTAGCAAATGTCCGTCTTCTATAAGCTTGTAAGGTAAAGTAAGAGAGCAACATACACTGCATTTCCCTTGGCCTTGTCGTTGAGGTATCGTCGGAAGAGGGCAAAGAAGTTGTCCATCTCGGTCTCGAACAGCTAAACAGGCGATTTGCATTAGCAACCACCATGGCGCCCATCTTTTTCGCTTGTATTCATGTCAAACTAACCTTCTTCTCCTTGGGGTCCTCGACGGTCTCGGCGAGGTTGGTCAGGGCATTTCGCATCTGAGCGGCAGCGACATTGGTCGAGGTGTTCTCGAAGGCCTGGGTGTGATCGATTAGCTCGCGCTCTTTGGAATCTTTGTCTCGCGACATTTTGAGGCTTTCAGCGACGGCAGCAGCATAGCATGCAGCATCAGGGCGTAGAGAAGATGAACTGAAGTGAAAAGGAAAAGGGCAAAGGGTAAATGCTGCAGTTATGGGTAGGGCTGGACGGCTGTGAATAGATGAAACGCCTGCGATGGCGCGCAGCAATCACGGCCGCCCATCACCTGATGGCAATGTGCACAAGGCGTCAGCCACTCCCGCGGCCATTAGTTTTTCCAAAGGCCTTAACCTTTTGCCTTTTTGCTTATCATGTCAAGTGTTGCAAGCAACCAGCGGGCGTAGTGCGCGCATTAACACGGCCAAAGCACAGCTATGAGGGGTATGTAGCCTTTTGCGACTTGGCAACTCTCCATGACAGCTATTTGCCCCGCGCAGCTTCATGCCCCTCACTTGGAGCTTCAAAGTCGCGGTCGGTAGGCCAAAATCACAAAGGGAAAAAAACAAGATATTCTAGGACAGGATCCCAGATGAAGGTTCAATGAAATGAGTTGATCAAGGACTCACCATGTGACTGCGAGTCTTGCCGTGGTGACGCTGCTCGAATCCATTGTCCTCAGGATTCGGCTTGAGGTGCGTAGGCAAAGCACTCTTGATTGCCTGCATTGTGTCTGGTGATGTGTGTTTGCTCGGTGGTGGATTGCTTGTGAGACGCCTCGTACACTGGCAAGCTTCGATTTCCGGCGGATCGCAGCGAAGAAAACGAAGAAGTTGGAAAAGAAGAGGAGTGTCGATGATCTCGAAGAAGGGGGAGAGTATCAGGTCTTAAGGTGGGGTGCGAAGATGGCTTCTGGCGGGGTGGATTGAGCTTTCCCCCAAGCAGGATCTTTAGTTCCAAGAACCTAGTGGCGGCCCAGTTAATAAATAGCACTTGGACGGAGCACTGTGCCGTTGCGCGTTGCGTGTTGCGTCTTGTTGCATGTGCGATTTGGGAGTGTTGACGTCAATGGGACGATGGGACGTGCAGCAAGCAGGCTTACAGCAGCAGCGGCAGCGCGAATCGGGGGGCGAATCGTGCTTGATGATGATGGTGATACGTACGATAAGAATGAGCAGCAGCAGCTTGGAGCTTCACTGGAGGAGATGAGGAATGGAACGAAGCTTCTTCAACGCCAGAGAGCTCTGGTTTTATCACAAAACGGGGGCAGCCCCTTTATCATTAGCTCAATGGCCGCTGCTGCTGCTGTCGCTCCTTTTTCTGGATCCCAATCGTCTGTGTCGATTCCCCTGAACAATCAAATCACGACGCTCCCCACTAGCATTTCGCATCGACGAGAGGCGCGAGTTATCCCGGCCGAAATTGGAAAAGGAGCCCAAGGTTCGGCCGGGGGGTTACCGTCACCGGAACTCTGTCGTTGGCCATGGGGAGCTCCAACAGACAGCTCTCTCCTTGCTTCTCCTACACTAACTGCAACTCGAGTATTTTTGCCTCTGCTTGGCTTCCACGCGGCCATTGTCCACGAGAGAAACACGTTCCAGGGTCAAAAAAGCCTGTTCTGAGGGGCCCAAAACCACGCCCGTCCATCCACTTTGCACAATGGAAGCAAACTGCGAGGGGGATCCGCAGTTCAGCAACGAACCCCGCCACCTTTTTTTTTCTGCCTGCTTGACGGCCCAAGCTTATTGTCCAAAAAGCCAAAAGTTGCGGCCAATTGTGCGGCTACAAGCCAAAGTCAAGTACCCAAGTACCGGTGCATGCCAATCTTTTCCCAACAAGACGGCACGCCTCTGACTTTAGAAAGATGAGAGATAAACTAAGAGCCAGGCAGCGTGTGACAGACTGTGGGAAGAAAGAAAAAAAAAATCTCTTTCCTCCTATCCATTGCTATGAATAGGTTGCACAGCAGAAACGAAATTTTTCACATGCAGTGTGGTGGGTTGGAAACTTGTATATATGCATGGCAATATGCATCCGCGCCCAGAGGCGATACGTTCTACGGCGAAATGTCGAGATGGTTGCGTCTAGCTGCCCAAAGAAACCGCCGTTGGGCTGCACGCCGATAGGCCTGTAATCCCTCACACAGAAAGAAAAGATGAAAAAATGCCTCGGGCCTGGTCTCGAACCAGTTGACTTCCTGCTGAGAGCATGTGCAGAGTCGGATCGCATAGGGGAAGTAAGGAGGTGATGCTCATCCGCTCGGGTTCCGTCAATAACGAGTTTTGACATGTCCCTTTGCCAAACATGTCCCTACTGGCTACAAGAGAACTAGAGTTCTACTAGCCGGCAGTAGTGCCGGCTCTGGTCGGTAGAGGTCATCCGAGTGGTCTCACGCTTGAGAGCGCCACGATGAGCATCTCAGGTGTCAAACTAACAGGTAACCCAGCAACAAGCACATCTCAACTTCTGGCGGCCGCAAAGCGATTACCTACCAGTAGTAGCATGAACAAAAAAAAAAAAAAAAAGCCCTCGCAACTGTTGAGGGAATTGAGAAGCCTCGCGTTATCAACGGCATCTTGGGTTAGGCATCGACACATTGCCTCTAGACTCACCAATACCACCTACCGCCTCCGTTACTCCGTATCTCCTATAAACGGCCCGGGCTTATATTGGCCCAAACACGTGGGGTAAACGGAACACTGACATTGCTCGGAAGCATGACTCTGCAAATACTGGTCTCGTGAAGAAAAAACAAAACAAAAACATCCAAAGGCAAAAATAGGTCACGGCATTGCAGATGTTGCTACCGTTTCGCTAACAAGCTCTTTGGTCCACTGCAAGAAATGACGATAATTTCCCGCGGCCTGCTCCGCCTCTGGATAGCATCAACGGCCGTCCAGCTTTCCATCTCCACAACGATTCATTCTCCTGACCGGGGCAAAGGCAAAAACAGCAACGAACTCTGCTGCTAGCAAGGAGGGGAGATCAAACATCTTTAAATAACTTGGTCGACTTCCGAAACAATAATCGTCCGTCTTCTCTACTTCTTGAAAGACAATGACGCGCATGGGAGTTTCCGCTCCATCTACGGAGTCTCCATCGCCGGCAAATGCCACTGCCATCATCGGCTTACGTGATCCACTCTAGCCACTTGCTGCCATCCGATACTGTAAAAAGTGCCCCAGATAGGGTAATCAGAAACCGCCATGAAAGCCCAGCCCTTCCAGCGGGTCTAGAATCGCTATCAGCGCCTTGCAACGACCACTGAATCGCCCCAAACATGAGGCCCAGCCCAGCCAGTCACAAGACCCGTGGCAGCACGCCGGCTCTTGAATGGTCCGTGCATGCCGATATTCCCACGACAACGTTGCATCTGGGGCTCGTGCCGATGTAGAAAGTAGAAGGAAGAAAAGAAAAAAGAGGCGGCGTCATCGCCGAGTCGCAGCTTTTGTGTGGTCTTAGATAGCGCCGGCAGGGCGTCTAATGCACTTTTTGCCTTTTTTTCTTTTTACTTCTTCCTTAATCAGTATCTTTCGAGTTCCACGATGACACATCCGGAGCTTCCAGCAGCAAACGCAGCCTAGTGGAGTTTGTTGTTGCAGTGATTGAGAGCAACGGGGAATCTTCTGGACCGGAGCCTGATATGCCTTTATATTCCACCATGTACCCCACGATGTCCTCTCGAGGTTGTTTCGGAAACCCTCACAGCGCCGCAGACCATTTCTTGCTACGCCACTGAGACTTTATCTGTAACCATAAATCCCCCAGACTAAAGTTCTCGTTCGTCCGCTTGTTAGTGGCAAGCAGGTGGCAACGTTTGGTTTCGCTGTCCGGTTCCGGAATCCACACTTCGGCGTCGTCCGCCCAACGGCCCTTTTATATAGGTATCTCGTTTGCCATTTGTCAACAACTTCGAGATATTCTCCAGGCCGAACAAGAAAAAAAAAAGAAGAAAAAAAAACATCACTCCGTCACAAACACAAACACAGACACAATGGGCTCTTTGAGCATCACCATCACCCTCCCCTTCTGGCACATCAACGTTCCCGAACCGGAGCGGACGCCTGTCTGCCCGCCCTTCCTCGTCGGCCTCAACCCGAAAGATCTCCGGACCGTCTCAACACCAGACGCAGAGTACCGCACCCAATCATGGGAAGAGGTCTGCTACCTCATCCGCACAAACAACCTGGAGCGGTTCCAGCGCATCCCTTCCAACCTGCGACGCTACAAGGCTTTCACCTACCGCCTGGGCAAGCTCCACGGCAGCATCGCCAACTTCGTTCTGAGCCAACGTCTGCGCTGGGAACTGCCCGTTGTGCCTCGCGGCGCCCCATTCCAGTACGCGGATGATTACAAGATCCTTCACAACGACTGGCCCTATGGACTTGATCCCAGAATCGTGCACTTGGTCGTTTGGACCAAGTTTGAGCTCAAGGCGGTCTCTGCCACTGGCGACCTGACGGACAAGGCGAGAAGGGAGATTGACGACTTTGTGACCAAGACATTCCGGTCCCGGGTGCCCTCAAACCAGGTAAGTTATGAGCCTTGATTCAATTCTTGCTGGGTAGTTGCTCTGATGCTGACTCGGACCAGGTCATGTGGTTCAAAAACTGGGCTGCTCTCAAGTCAATCCACGCCGTAGAACACTTCCACGTCATGCTCTTCAACCCAGACCCCGATTTCATCAGGGAGGTTACAAACGGCGATGTGCCTCAGTGTGAAAAGGCCGACATCTAGACGGAATCGCGCCGTCGGATGAAGATTTGATGATGATTTTACGACTTCTTTTTTTTCTTCACGTAGATTTTGCGCACTCTTGCACGATTTGGTGTTTCTTTGGATTTAGATTTCTAGAGGGGTCGAGTTACTTTTTAGACTTTGGAGTTTTTTTTTTTTTCATGTGCTTCGTTTTTTTTACAGGATAGAGGTTATACGGACTTATACAGGATAGAGGTTATACGGACTTATACAAAATAGATGGTTGATAAACAACATCAAGGGTATAGATTTTAGATTATGGCGCACAGCGGAACTGTATGCCATTTCACCAGCATAGATTCATTAAATCAATTCTAGAAGCTTTATACGCATTTGTGTGTATATGTGTGTTCACCGTGTATTTTCATTCTCCTGTACATGCTTCGTGCGTGAATTTGTGTACATCAGGCCATCAAAAGCTGCCACCATCTTGTAGGGTAGGTTTTCAACCGCAAAACAAGCGGAAACATGCATAGCTGCGGAGCCCAAATGGCTGCATACTCCCAAGAAAAAAATCCGGGTCGAAAAAATTGCTCAGGTTATCCAAAAGCCCAACCATTGAAAAACTCATATCACAAACAACAATAGCCTCGCAAAAAAGAAAAAAAGTGACGATAAGATAAAAAAGTGTCTCACTGCAATCTTAAAAACTCATTGGAAAGTCTTTTGCGGGCAATCCTCCCTTGCATCCGCCATATAGGTTGCACAGCCATAATTTTTTTTTTTCTTTTTTGGTTTACCCTCCTAATTATAACCCCGCCTTCGGTTTGGGCCATTTTCCCTCTTTCCCTCACCGTTTTCTTATCGAAACAGACCGCTTCATTACGAACATTGAGGCCTCCAAGGAGAGAACAAAACAGGATACGAAAAGAGCCGCAGCTGAAAAGGGCTTTTTATCCTGGGACACGACGGGCAGAGAAAGGAAAGAGAGTGAGATTTCATCTCAACGTTGGCGGGCGCCTGTTAGGGAAAAGAGACGAAAGAATTCCTACCGCCCAACAAAACTCTGATTTTCTCACTAAGCAAGGCTGCGACGACGTCCAAAAAAAAAACACAAAGGGTCTTGGTTTACGGTTTCAAAGCCTTAGCCAATTGTGCCGTTACAAGGCTCACGGCTTTCACTTTTGAATTGAAGGGAGATAACAGGGGGGAGGGGACGACGGATAAAAACACAACATGGCAGATCTGGAGCCCAACTGGCGAGTCCGCTTTCTAGCCGGCCAGCCTCCCGCAAAGGTCCGGGTGCGAAATCTCCAGACGTCCATCGAAGGTCCATCCGATGCCTGGAATAGGAAAGGAAAGCAGCAGCCCATCTCTGTATCCGCCTCTGTCATGCTCAAGGAGGCCTTTGACACATCGGCATCTGCCGACAAGGTGGCGAATGATACGGTGCACTATGGACTGCTCAGCAAAGCGATACTGGCCTCGTTGGAGGGTAAGGGGCCACAGCATCTGGCCAACAAGGAGAAATCTGGCGATGCGGCTAGCACAAATCGTTTTTCAAGTTTACGAGACGTTGTGAATACAATCTGGGAAGATCTTACCAACCAAGATGCCAATGGAAAATCCAAGGCTGCCGATGATGATGATGAAGCAGACGAGCAACAAGTGAAGTCGTTCCTAAAGGTCTCAACAATTCGATGTTTCGAACTCACTGCCCACCTCCCCAAAGCCTCGCTGCTAGGAGGCGGAGTGAGTCTCACCAGAATAGCCCTCTTCGGACGTGATGGAGAGTCAAGGCCTCAGCCGAGGGGTATGAGCCTCAAAATCCATGACCTCAGGGTTCCTACTCTCATCGGCGTCAACGGCAACGAGAGGAAGGCGAAGCAGGTCGTTGCTGCCACCATCGAAATTGACAAGTTTAATATTGACGAGGATGTTTTCACAATGATTGAAGCCGAGACAGTCGAGGTGAGTGAATACTACATGAACCACAGCCAAGTTGATGTTGCGGTGAGCAGACCCTGGATACTGAACACTTTCATGTGATAGGTCATGAGCCAATCATCGTTTGAGACACTCGAGGCGTTGGCCAACACTCTGGCTTTCCGGCTAGCCAGCTACTTGCACTCATCCCAAGCCGGATCGATGAACAGAAAGGGATGGCCAATCAAGATTGCACTGGAGAAGCCAATTGCCGTTGTCCTTGCGGATGCCGCATGTGTGCAGTTGAGTGTCATTTCATCCGAAGTGCTTGGCGGGATATAATAATGAATTAGTAAACAAAACTAAGGAAAAGGCCTCCATCAACACATAACGAACAGTAGCATCGTCATGGAGGCGTTGTTGGATAACCCTGAACCAACAGGAAAAGTCGATGCTTGATAATCAATACTACCACAGATACTCATGAAGTTTTTGTTTTCTTTTGTCCAGGGTGATTCGCCAGTTAGGGCTGAGCGTATCCGTACCTTGACCCCGATTGCATGCATGCACGAGTACTACTTACTTGTACTACACATACCGCATGTTGCCTTGTTGTTGGGTGAGTGGCCGATACCAGCTCTCATTTCCATGACCCAACACCCATGGGCCAGCCTGCCCGGACGAATGCATCGTATCGAGAAGTCGCTGCAGCTGCTCAACTGCGATGCAACACCGGATTCGCTTCGCCCCTTACTAGCACCGTGACCGGAATTTTGCATCCTGCCAAGGCGGACGCTTCCTATTTGCGACGTGATTCACTCATTTCATTCACATTAGGCTGCTTCATGCCCGATGGCCTAGAAGTCTTCTAGAAATCACTCCCGTATCTAGCAAAAGTGCTAGTAAGCGTGCTCCCCCCCCTTGCCCAGTGTCAATGCCGCACCAGCGCGCGCCTATTTTCAAGTCATATTTCGGCGAGTCCAGTAGTGCTGTCAGTAGTTCGTGTGGTCATCTATCAGCACCACTTGGGCCAAAGGGCGAAAAAACGCTAGAAAGAAAGAAGAGAGGAAAACTTGGCTTGCTTAGTTCTAGCAAGACTCTTCGAGCAGCGCTATCTCGTAGCTCCAAGATCGGCATAAACCGCCCATTCCCACCCAGAATGATGTGTTGCGTTGCATCGGCGTTACTGGGCCGCCTTTGCCCTCCGCTCCCAGTCTCCCCGAGTGGATATCGTCGTTCAAGGATCAGACGCCACAACGAGGAACGCCACGCCGTGTGCTTTATTTTTTCTCCGCCGTAGCAGCATCAGGGGAGGCTAAGACCAAGTTGGCGATGCTGCCGAAGACAAGCACTGCTTCCCGGCGCCGTGCGCACTCAGCTTTGCATCCGGACATGTTGGTTAAAATCTCTGCTGAGCTCGCTTCTCTCGCAAGACCCTTGCTGCCGTCTCATGTAGATGCAGTTTTGCTGGGGGAAACGCTCTTAGGTGTTCGTACTTCGTATACCGCCGTATGGCGTTAGGGGCGGGTTGCTCCATCGTAATTGTCTTATGTTGGTGATTGTGTGAACGGGTAATAGAAAACTCCATAGAGGGCCCGGGCGAGTTCGGTATCCATTACTGCAGATCTTTGAAGCCACTCAGCCGGCTTGCATCTACTACGACATATTTCTCGCTTAAATCAAGTTAGCACTCATCGCTGTTGGCTTTAGCTATCTGCAGCGTTTGGGGGAGCAGAAAAACGGCGTTCTTTTCAAATCCCACCCCCCCCGCCGCAGCGGCTCATATGAGCATACCCGTCCTTTGTGCTCCTCTTCTTACGCAGAAATAGACACTTGTACCTCCATAGAAGCTCCGCATACCTTACGTTTGCGCGTTATGGGCCCAGCCCAGCGTCTCTGCCTTGGTGCCTTGGATCGACTCATCTTACTCGCATTCGACGCGGCAGTGCCTCGCTCGCCCACACACATACGTACATATCTTGCGTTTCGTACCTGCATTTGTGGAGCACTCACTGCTGACTTAATGGGGATATATCCCGTGTCTCTTGGCCAATCACAGTTGGCTTCCAGCATCCTCAAAGCGAGCGAGAGTGTGTGAAATTAGGCATCATATCTGTGAGTGCTTCTACTGACTCAGTGCCATGTTGTTCCCGCCTAGTCCCCGAGCTTTTGGAGAGAGGAAACGCATTGAGGAAACATTGCTTAAATCCATCCATCGTGGTAACATCGGTGCAAATCTCAATAAGACCAGCAGCTTTAACCCGAGCCTAAGCAGTGTTCGAGAAACATAAAAGCGTGGGAGCAGCCGCTAACGGTGAACGGGCCAAGGAACGCCTCCCGCAAGACTCAGCCCAAGCAGGAAATGAAATGCACTGGTCTGCATCTAGTTCCATGTTTAGCTCTTCCAACAGCCCGTCACCACCTGCGGGTGTATTCCGGGCGCCGGGGTACGTCAGGGGTCCTTCATGTAGCCGTCGCTTGTGAGTCTTTCCAGATTGCATTGGGTGCAAAAACTCTTTTTGGCCCCCTTGATAAAGTATGTAATACACAGTATTTTGTAGCAGTGGCACTTGGCACTACTCCGGGAGAACGTCCGGTGAAAATGCGTCGCTCATGCATTCCTCATGACTCGTCACATCAGTTGGTGCCGTCTATCACCATGTGCTTTCCCTCGCTTTTGTACTAGTCGTGCAGGTTCCAATATATGCCTCCGTACCGGCTCCTCTTCCCGCCAGGGGATGGACGCCAGATTCTTTGAAGGCTTGTTAGCAACTTAGCCGTGTAAGCAAGCTGGAGATTCCTCACGGATATAATGGCACACGCTAGATCTCATTGCGAGCACTACTTGTATAGCAGTAGCAGTAACGTAGTACTGCTACTTCTTGAAGTTCTAGCTGGATGGTTTCTGAGCAGGGATCGGCATTCGCTTGCGCTGGTACATATACAATAGTACCACTTCCTATCCCAAATGCGTCAGTGCTGGAGGCCCTGTATTCGACCCATAGATCCATAGATTCATAGCCTTGTCATCATCTCATGATCTGGTGAGAATTGCGAGCTATCTCTGTTCTATCAAGGAGTTGGCCAAATTGCATTTATCTCAGCCGCCAAACGTTTGAAGAACTGTTTTCGAAACTAATGGTTAGCTGAGACAACGTGTCTGGAATGTTCCATGACAAGTATGGTGCCACGCCCAGACAGTAATTTGTTTTGTGTAAGTTTTATGTGTACAACGTACTTGGTACGCTGGGGATAGTTTCCGCGGGCAAATCTGCTTTTGACGTCTTGCATGTTGTCAGCTATCGTGTCCTTGCGTGAATCTTGACAGCGCCCCTCTCAAACTTCATCCGTGGGCCACTCTTTCACCTCCCTTCTTCTTGGGAGCTTTAGACACAACAGTCTCTTCTGACCGCAATCCCAGCGGCATTACGTTGAAAGGTCATGTCTTGTCGCCCATCATGATTGTCTGCCACCGTAGAGTATGGCGATGCGCACCAAACCCCCCCTACTCTGCCAAAAATGGAGAAGCAGGTAAAATCCCGTGCTCGGTACTCTGCATCTCCCACCGGGTCCAATATTATCTGTGATAGCATGCGGTACCTGGGTCAGTGAGCTTCAGCTCCGGCCCCTGCCCTGACCGTGGACTCTGGAAGTATTCCAGGTATAATCTGCCCTGGATTTTTGGGTCGTTCGGGGAAGCCCATGTAAACTCTGCCGATAATATGCTAGCTTCCGGCCAACCGCGGACAGGGCTTCAAAGTCCACCGGCGACTCTCCCTTTCGCCTGCCGGGGATTTCGTCGCAGAATGAAAAGTGGGCGCTTTTTGTTATGACAAGTGAACGTGCTATCAGTAGTACTTGTAGCAGTAGTATAGTAGCATTATGGGGATGTAAGTGCTGTTGCCAAGTTTGGTCTGCAAAACCCATTAGCACGCTTCATACTGCCAACGAGGCCGAGAAGTGTATTCCGGCCGAGAGAAAGGCCGGAAACGTTGGTTGGTTTCAGGACCTGGGCAACGGCATCACGACCGAATACTTGCATCGAAACGATATTGCCCGATTTGTCCAAGTGGCCGAGATTCGTTCAAACCTGACGCGCAACTTCGCAAAAAGCTTGGCTTGAAGGTAAAGAATCCACCTGCCTGCTATAAGCCTGGAGTTTGGTAGCCTGCTTCAGTTGATATTCCCCTGATTTGCTCATCCAGTTTGCATAGAGCGACGGATAGCGGCAATGTCCAAATTTCGTCAATGGTGATGCGCCAGTGCACTGAATAACATGTAGATGTAGATAGCCAAGCACATTCGATGCGATGTGCTAAAATTCACATTCGTACCTAACCCACACCGCCAGTCACAGTAGCATCCAGCAGTCAGGTTGCAGCGCAGAATTCCGGCTATGCTTGTACGATTTTCATTGGATCCACACAGGTAAAAACTCGCTGTGAAAAAGGGCACTCATATGCGCATGCACTTGTATACCCGTAACATCCTTACCAGCGCTTGCAGTTCATCGCCTCGGTGATAAAGCGCAAAAGAATGGAACAGCAGTGATCGATCTCCGGTTCGCCAAGGGTAATCGTGCGATTCCTTTCATTTTTTTTGGCCAGTGTTACACTGGGGGTGGATAGAGCTGGCCATGCGTCGCCATGTGAAGGCAAGGTTTGCCATTGACGATTCAAGGCCCCCATGAAGACCAATTTACCATGGGTCCGGATCAAGGGAGTTTGCAAGCCTGGATCCCACACAACTCTGCGAGTCTTGAGCTTAGGCTCTGTAAACCGTCAAGTTCGAAGTAAGCCGCCAGTTTTGTACCCAGACTGAGATAAGCCATGAGAAACTGCCGTCATCGCCGGAAATTCTGAAATACTCTGAATACTATTTTCTTCGGCTGATAGAGAGTGGTACGGCGCAGTCGGCCGCAAGCTAGGGCCGAGCAGCAAATGCAGCTACTCTCAGCAATCGCGGAACACCCCGTTAGGGGCTTCAGAAGCAGCTTCGGTGAGCTGCTGGGAATGATCATCTCTCATATCAGAAAGATAAATTACCATCTATACCCTAATTGGGGTTGATCATCGTGCAAATGCCGCTGCCGTGATTCCCTTTCCGTCGTGACATTTCTAATTTCTTCTATACGAGTCCTCTATGCTTGACTTGTTCGCCGACTCCGGGGTCTGGAACCCGTAGCGCAGAATCTCTATAAGACTAGAAATGTGCGGACGAATCAGAGTAGAGGCTAAAAACAAAACCACGTTGAGATCGACAGCGCTGTGTTTGAGACGAAGGGTTTCGGAGAGTGGACCAGTGGACGTCCCATGGAATTGGAAAGCCCAACTCTGCATTTCTCTCCTCACTGGCTTCTACACGTATAAACCATTTTCTGCAGCGGACTCGAACGCTGGCGGTGAGATGCGTTTTCAGCAGCTTTTCGGCCTCGTGATATGGTTCTTGCCCGCTACCTGTGCGAGAAAGTGAATAGATCCGATGAACTCGAGATCACCCAAAAAGCGCGCTGCGGTCAAAACCGGCCAAAGAAGACGTGCTTGTGATGGTTTACCTTCAGTAGCGCCAGGAGATGCTGATATTTGCACCATGTCTCAGTGCCAGTAAATCGCGGGGTATCTACGAGGCGGGATACCACCTTGTGGCACCCGCTCCATATCCCCTCCGAACGCCGGCGAAGATTTTTAGGTGTATCATAGCTTTCGGATGTCGTCTTTAGTTCAAAGCTTGTTCTCAAATACTAGCCCCATCAAATAGACCGCCTATACTGGGCGCTCAGGACGATCGGCAGGCAGTCGGTCGAAAAAATGAAGAGCTGTAAGCGAAATTTGAAATGGGCTCTCTTTGCACTCGTAGAGGCAGATTTTGCTGCGCTGGGTATGCATGAAGCCCTTGGCGCTGACTGTCTAGATTCTGGGACTGTAAATTACAAAGATGATTCGTATATGTGCGCTTTTTGTCTAACGTAAAGAGTTGTAGTGAGCAGCACTTAGACTGAGCTCGATATGGGCAAGAAGACACATGTACTGAGTATGAGACCTTCTCGACGACGAACCGAGGCTCCATCCGTAGCCTCTTGAGGGGCAGCATGTGCCTTCCGCTTATATACGCATCAGCCTCCACAGGTGTCCCCCGTATATGGCTGGAGGAACTGTTCTTTTCGCCTCTAGTTGTAGCTGATGTCGTCAATGGCGTCGATAGCTCGTACAAGCTTGCATGTTTTGACATGTCGTTATTATAGTAGCGGTTGCTTCTAGATGGCCCATCCTTGATCTTCCCCACAGATGTAGAAAGCTTTGACTCCGATATTCTTTGAGATCTTGCTGATCGTCGGGCTCAAATCTGAGGATGGGACGCTTCTTGCTGTGGGCTTAGCTAAACTCCTTTTTCAATGGTCCTGGAGCAACTTACACGGCAGCGTACTGTGGTAGCCAATGCTGTCTCTCTTGAGAAACATCTGACCATACCGCACATATATGGGGAGCAGCAGTAATACCTACCACGAGCAGGATGCTTTGAGGCTGGTGCCAGTATGCTCTCACTCGCAGGATGGAGGTTCTCTCCACGATGGAAGCTGCACCCCGCTATGGGCAGGGGTGCCTGGAATTGCAATCGTCGCCTTTGCAGAAAACGCTCGCGTTGATCGCTGGTGAGAGGCCGATAGACGCATCCTTGGGGTGCGGTATCCTTGCAGTTCCCTGCAGCCGCTAGGAAAGTTTAGGCAGAGCCGTTGCTGGGTTATAGGCTGAAAAGCAGTGCTAGGAGCCTATTCGCTTGCCCGGGACGCGCCCGCATGGCTCCTATCCAGGCTTGGCAAAGACAGGAAGAGAGCGTTGGTTCAAGGGACGAATTCGAAAGTTAGGTTGGATCATTCGATTTTGAGTCACTGAAGCCAGATTGTCATTTGGGACTTTTTGTGCGGCGTTTATTCCTGTTTCTTTCCAAGTTGACGTTCCTTTTTTCCAAGTGCCCCTCTCCGGGACAAGGACCTGGGTGGAAGGAGCAGGCGGCTTAACAGCCACTCAGAGGGAAGCACCGGTTTCTCAGCCTCTCATAGGCGGATTTTGGCGCTCTCTCGCTACTTGCCCATGCCCAGCCCGGGTGCCACTACCAGGTGCTTTTTCATGCGGCGCTTCCAACGCTTCCCAGCTCATCTCTTCTCTGCATCTACTGGTCGATTCTGCGATCGATGCCCGTCGTTGGCCCAGGCGAACGTTTGCAGCTGGAGAATCGATGCTCTCACATGACGGGCTATTTCTGGTAGTGCCGGTGCTAGGCATAGGCATATTGGCACCGCTCCTCGTCGTGCCGCTGCTAGGACCCGAGATGGCGGCAAGCTTCCCACGCCATTGACGGGGTTTTTGAAGACACCATCTGCAAAAATTACAGTATGTTTCTGGGTGGGGAATATGCATGGCAAATGAGCCGCCATCAACAAGCATCTCGGCCTTGCGTGCTTCTCAACAGCTTGCAGCAGCATCCTGCCATGCCTGCACCCATTCGGAGATGGTTGGTTGCGACGTACCATTGGTTATGGAGCAGCGCATCCTTGGGCAAACGAGAACGCCTCTCTCTTGTCGCGGCAGAATCTAGGCCTTGAGTTCCACTGGCATCTCTCACGGCTTCAATCACATACCTACTGGTGCGGCTGCAGTCGAAAACTCACGCTACCTGGACTGCTGTTGATGCAGTATTGCTGCTTGTGCATGCCGCCAGCCCTAACTCATGGAGGGACGGGAGGAAAGGAAGCCGCCTGAGTTGCACGCCCCCGCTACCGCGAGAGGAGACGTGCTAGAGTTGCACCAATAGAGTATATACAGATCCGCTATACTTGGGAACCGGTCTTCTACCCAGCAAGCATACCCTGACAGAGCTGAACAAAAAGCCATTGGCGAACTGGGAGCAGAGAATTCTAGACCACGAAACCCTTCGTATATGCACAAAGCAAGAATCCTTACGAAATCGGATCAATCGTCTTATCATCCAATTCAATTTGTCAAGGGATTTCTTGCCTCATATGCAACGACTGAAGGGTGGTGTGCTTACGGGCTGTGTGCTACAGGAAGTAACACGCCTGATGTTTTAGACGGTGGGCATATAAGCAGTTAGCAGCTCACAGCGCATGAGAATAGGACAGGCACCGTGTTGTGTTAGTGCCTCCAAGTAAAAGTGTGGTAGGATGCCGAGCATACTTGGAGAGGCGTTGACGTTGAGTCTTTCCAGTGTTTACCTACGCCTCATACCGAGTGATAACTCTGATGACCGCTGGCACCGGCACACATTTGTGAGCAAGTAAGTACAGTAGCACAAGGAGCAGAGAACAATCCGCGCCACATCTGGAAATAGAGCTCATACGACCTGCAGTGTACGCTTCGGTGGGCGCCGCCCGGATTGCGCGTTGCTCGGTTCGCCTAATTGGTTCCTCCTGACAGATATTCTGTGAAGCATACACTAGCCAAATGAAATAGTGGAGATGGTGATTACACGGCCATACAGTGAATACCAGCTGTGTTGCTAACCGTATACCAGAGCTGGGGCTGTATGTCACTCTAGCAAACACGGCCATGCACGGGAGTGTCAATGGCAACTACGTTTGCAACCAGGAAACTTTGTCTGTCTCTTGGGCAGCTTTGGAACGCCGGGACCTTCTTGATGGAGGTTTGTTTCTTGCGGATGCTTCTAGCTCCGGTGTCAGTGATCGTCAGTCAGCTAATGGTTCATGCTGTCAAGAAGGACCCTTTTAGACAGGCGTAAGATGCGGCGCAGAAGCGTACAACTGATCTCGGAAATATGCCAACTGTGGTGCAGATAGCCTCTGATGGAGAGGGGATTTCGCATGCGAGCTCTGTCCATCTCCATTCAAAAGTGCCAGCTTGTGCCATCTGTTGCTAGTTGAGCGCAACAGGCCATTGTCATGTCTGTGACAGCGGATGGCTGTGAGTCCTACCACCTAGTGCTAGCATCTTATGGCCCAGAAGTGGCTAGATGAGATCGTCTTCTTCAGCACGGGTCTAATAGCCTAATTTGGGATTTGTGCCGTGGCTTTGGCTGTCCCCCACTCCACCTTCGCCCTTAGCCATCCTGAATCAGAAGGCTATCCAAGCTAAGGCACGACTCCCCGCTCGCCTTCAGGACGGAGGAGACTGTGTGGGATCGAGTGACGAAAAGGCCCCTGGACAAGTGCCCGACAGAGCCCCTAAGTGTTTGACCCAGCAGCTTTGTATGCTAACGTTCCGTGCCTACAGCTGCTATACTGCTGCTAGTCCTGCTACTATCACTGGCAACATACGAAGCATTCGGCGAGTTCAAGCTTCTCCCGCGGGAACGCCCCACCGCCACGCGCAGACTTGCCAGGAACGCTTTTCAGGGGTCACTTGGTCACCTCTCTCACGACTGTCGATTTTTGGAGGCTCAAGTGGCTGTTCTGCTTCAGCTTTGGCTGACCATGGACGGACATGGCCTGCCAGAGCACAGGGTCTATCTGCTGGTTCACTATGTCGGTGTCACTCTGCTCTTTCTACGCACTGCATTTTCAGCTGAATAGGTATTACTCCGTATATGGCCGGCCTCTTTAAGATTGCGCAACCACCATCGGGAGTCACCACGCGCCCGCGCTGCTTGGTTCGCCTCTTTTCCCGACAAATTCGCACACCCCTGGTGATTGACCAACACTGCCACTACAGTACTTGGACATAATTAGGTATACTAATTGCCACTAAAGAATTTTGTGACTACAAGTCGTAACCAAGAAGAGGACCCCGCCAAGCATCCCCCAATAGCGAGCTGCAGTCTCTCTAAGCCGCAGCACGCTGGCCTGTGAGATGCTTGGATCTCGCCAAAGAAACATCCCAGCGGCGAGTGGAGAGAACCCATTGGAGCCTCTCACTGGATCAGACCTCAGCAATCCGAACAAGCCTTGGTTAGCCCCTGTGATATCTCATCACCATGTACCCTTGCCTCAAAGGCTGAATGGCTCAGTCGGCCTTGAGTGCGGAGGACGAAAGATTTGCTCTCCAGCCCCTGTCCGGCTACCCAAGCCATAGCAGCTCCACAAACCCACGACCCTACTAGGAATATGAGAGACCCCGGCAATCTGCACCTACAGGGGTCAGCCCGCCTCTTGGACGTTGTGCTTCGAGGCTAGTTCCTGGCCTGGCAGCTCACTCATGCAAAGTGCATCTGGCTGCTCTCTCGGGCAGGCAGTAGTACTTTATGACCCGCATGCCCTCGCATTCATGCTTGAATGCTGCCGTGTCTGTTATCGTCTGGGTTCGGGGCCAGCTCTGGTTCTTTCTATATTCTTGTCTTCGTGTCTCGTTGGATTTTATCTCTTGATACTACCGCTCTCTATCACTGTCCTGGGTTACACTAGCCCCCAACTTCCCTTTCAACACATCTCGAAAGTGTTCTGGCCTCGCCATGCTGTGATACTCCGCCACAGCCACAGCTATTTATCGATATACTTCTGTCGACTGGCACAAGGACTTGCCACATCAAACGGCCGTCTTGCATCACCCTTAAATGGTTCCAACTACTTGATCACTTGAGTCATATGACCACACCTCTGTTTGAGTGCACGAGGCATCACGATATTTTCAGCAACACAATCTCTTATTGGCGCCTCTCTCTTTGATTTCGTTCCTCGACGGACAACTATTCCCTTTTAACCTTTACACACTTCGAACACGCATCTGGAAAACCGAACAAACGAGATTATCTAGAGAAGAATACATATCGACATCGTTCTCATTCCTTCCGAACACTACCTTTCACCATGACCAACGTTACAGGGATCAATCTCTGCCCGGCACCTTTCATCGACGCGAGCCTTTTTGGCACTGGAGGCTGTAAGTGTAAATGTATGCCGTAGTGTTGAATTAACCCGTTAATCGGAGATCTAGACGTCGATGGCCGATTGTGTCAGGCGATTTCAGGCTCGATTGACTGCTGTCTGCCATGCCCCATGACAGATTGGGTATATCCGGACAGCTTCTCCACCATAGGAACCGTGGCCAACTGGATCGCAACCGTCAGCGTCATCTGCTGTGTTTTCCTGCTGATATCATGGGCGGTGTTGCCTGTGGACAAGACCAATCGCCATTATCTGAGCATCTGTTTCACATTGGGTATCTTGATCATGAATGTAGGTGGCACGGCTGCAGTTACACAGAGAGTTTGATGGCTGACTGTTGACTCAGATGGGCTTCGTCATTCCGCTCGCAGCTGAGCCGGACCAATGCTTCGATACCATCACCCCGAATGACATGCACACCTTGAGCGTCTGTGGAGCGTCGGGTGCTATGCTGATGTTTGGAGGCTGGTGTGCTGTCATGTGGGCGTTCCTTCGCTCTTTGTCCCTTCACCTGCAGATCTGCTGGCAAGTTCTCGTGGGCCGCAACTTTATGGTTTTTGCCCAAGCCGCTGGATGGGGCATCCCCATCATCGGCCTTATTCTCGCCTTGGTCTTCAGTGGCGTGTCCTTCCGTTTTGGCGCAACATGCCATATTAACCACAAAAACAGCTTGGCAGACTTTTGGATCCCGCTTCTCATCTTTGCTAGTATCACGGTTGTCACGACATTCACCACCTTTGGCTACTGCATCAAGGTTTACCTGGCCTCTCTAAACGACAACGCCGCGTCGACCGAAGGATCTAGCCTTCCGGCTTACTCAAACAGTGTTGTCACCATGTCTCCGCGCCAGGCCTATCGCCGTGTCAAGAGAGTCATTGCGCTTCAGTGGCGAGGCATCGCTATTGTCCTCATCATTATTGCCGATGTCATCTTCTTCTCTGTCGTCTTCGTCTTTCAGGATAACATTGTCCAATCTATTGCCAATGATCCCCATGTGGCCCAGAATTGGATCGTGTGCCTCATCGGAGCACAGGGTGACAAGACAAAATGTCTCAACCAAGCTGGCTCTTTAGTCGTCAGCGAAGCGACGGTCTCTGCCGTGCTTGTGCTACTTGCTGTAAGTACCGAAACACACAAAATCATGAAGCCCTCGTGAGTTCTTGATGATTGATCTGACTGCAATTTAGTTGAACGGAATCTGGATCCTGTTTTTGCTTGGTCGATGGACCATGGTTACCGGCTGGATTGATTTGGTAAAGTCTCCTTTCAACAGTGGAAAGAAGGAATTCGTATCGGTGGATGCCCGGTATGATGGCAAAAATGATATACGTTCGTACGAGATGCTCTCCAGAGATACGAGCGCCGTGGTAACACCACTTTCTCCAGTGAAATCCTCAGCGACCCCTAGCGCCCCCGACTACTTCGGCGAAACAGCTAGGTATAACGCACCGGCACGATCCTACTCGAACCCGCGACCACCGCAAGGCTCTATGCCAGAGTGGAATGCGCAGCAAACTTACGCACCGCCGCAATCCCGCGAGCCGATGAACCCATTGGCCATGAACCGCATATAAGACGCTGGGCCTTAGGCCAAAAGAGAACCCAAACACAAGCGATCCGCGAACGCGAAGTAAAGAAATGAAAAAAAGAAAGAAGAAGAGACCGAATCCCCTTTTTCTCTAATGAGAAGCAAAAAGGAATGAGTTTGATTTCTCTCGACCGATGGCTTCGACTTGCCGAAATCCCTGCTTTATATACCCAAACCATGGCTAGCCATGGAACAACGCTTATACCCTGGTGGTAACGCCACGTGCTAAGCATCTGCACGATGCGCGCACGATATTGCGTCGATAACACTCTTTACAAGTCGACATATAATTCTATCCACTCCTTTGCCATTAATCTCGAAGAGATCCTACGTCTCTATTTGCAGTCGGATGGCTTCCTTACTCGGACGCAGAACAGCGTGGCGCCACGGTCGAACCTTTTGTTTTTGTGTTCATATGGATAATACTTCCGTTCCCTTTCCCTTTTCCTCTTTCTTTTTCTTTCTATAAATTCATCAAAAGGGGGCAGAACATTATGACGAGACAGGCTAGTCTCATGCATCGGAGACAGCCTCCAAGATAGCTGGAGGCTAGGAAGCGGAAATCCCTGGAGGACCTGCGCACGGCACATCATTGGCTACGCTTTCTGGGCTCACATGTAACCCTTTGTACAAAAACATCATGATTAGCTCAGGAAGGAGCTTATGAGATGCGGAATGCGGGAACTAAAAGCTACAGCCCGGAAGCGGCGGATGGCTGAGAAGGGACAAGAAAGAGAAAAGAATATGCCAGCTTCATGTGGGGCATATTCATTACTGCTACACAGCATCTTCATGTATATACCTTATCTACGTAAAATCCGCCATGTCTGGACGTATAAGCCAGGCAGGCCTAATTGACAAGAATCAAGCCCAGCCCAGCAATTTCTCACGAAGCTTTTGATCGTAGATTTAATTTCCGGCGGATGCATGGCAAGAAGTATCTTACAGCCGGATACCTTAGTAGGGACGTCGTATTTAAGGTGGTACTGATCCGACGTCCATGAATCGCAACCTGGCAAAGTACCTCCACGACAGTATCTACGCGTATTTATGCAGAGATGGCCATATGTTGACAAGTACCTGCACTAGCAGGATTACTTGTCGCTCTAGCGGATGCAGCGCCGGGTAGTCCCCTGGCCGACCTCAACTTCTTTTTGCTGTTTTTGCTTTTTTTTGCAAGGCCAGAGCAGCAATTCTCCGGGTGCTCCGGAACGGCCCTTGTGCCTGGCCGCAGGTGCGATTGGCCGGTGACGTGATATCAGCGGAATTAAGTGTGCCGTCGCCGTTTATAAATGCAAAGGACGTGTTTATATCTCCCTCGGTGTGAGCTGGGCCGGACACTTTGATCTTGACTCTTGTTCCATCTTCCTTCTCTATGTGGCCCGCCGTAGCTGCAGCATTTCTCTCGCTTTCTCAACGCACCAAGCCTTCTCAATAGTGCAATCTGGAGGGAGGTCTCTGCTCTTTTGGCTTGACGATAAAGGGCCATTGATTGATTGTGTGAGATTCATCTGCTGGGATCGCCGAAGAGAAAGCGACCGAGCACAGCGTGTCCAGACACCTCTTTTGGATCTGGATGTGGATGTGAGCACGCGACATCTTGGAGCAGCTACGCTTTGATCGATGAACCCCACCAACAGCTCCATACGGACGTGAAAGGAAGAAAAAGAAAAAAGGAAAGAAAAGAAAAAGAGAAAACAAAGAAAATTGAAGCGAAAATATCAAGTAGAGGGCAACGTAATTCTGCCTTTTGCTTCCCTATACGGAGCCTTCGGACGATCTGCATTTGCTGCGTAAGCAACGGCTCGACCTTACGCTCCTAGGACACCAAACATGGCGATCGGACGGATTCTCGCATCTGCCCTCTCCGGCCGCAACAGAAGCGACAGCAACAGCGGCTCACGAGCTGCCAAATCTGAGCGACATGTGCACTGGAGCCAATCCGTGGACGAGTATCAGTACCCTTCAGACGCGGATGAGCATCTACCGCTGTTTTCTGAGCTCGAGTCGATGGGAAGCCCCGACGGTGCTGGTCGGATGGGGATGAATAAGCAGAGAACTCGGAAATCGCAATCTCGGAAGCTTTGGCGTCGGCCGCATCGGCTGCGGCCACGATGTACGATGGCGATGCTGTTCATGTTGATCCCCATCTTCTTCTACCTGTCGATTCTGTGGATCAAAGAGCAGGACCTGGATGCCAAGTGGAGGCCCGATCGCGACTCGCTTCTGTTCGGCCGGAAGCCCCTGCCTGCTCCCCTGGAGAGGACATGGATATCGAGCTACAAGCTGCCTCTGCGAACGCAGGGGCGGAACATTGTCGACGCCGAGGGCCATCGATTCAAACTGTCCTCGATCAATTGGTATGGCGCCAGCGATGAGCTCTTTGTTCCCGGCGGCCTGGACGTTCAGCACCGAAGCGCTATTGCCGAGACGATCAAGAAGCTGGGCTTCAACAGCGTGAGACTTCCCTATGCGGATGAGCTGGTCATGAAGAACCCCATCATTGAGCCCCGTCTGGTGCTTGCAAACCCGGATCTGGAGGGTCTCCACGCCATGGATGTGTTCGAGGCAGTGACTACCGCCCTCACGGATGCTGGCCTTGCTGTCATTATCAACAATCATATCACACGCGCTACGTGGTGCTGTGGGGCGGACCCTTGCGATGCTGGCTGGGCCAACGATCACTTGGGGCCGATGTGCCGGGTCAAGCAGACAGAAGAGGAATGGATACAGCATTGGGAGTCGGTCATGGAGCGGTTCGTGCACAACCCGTTGGTCATTGGGGCAGACCTCCGCAACGAGGTCCGGGGCCTTTGGGGAACGATGCCATGGTCCAAATGGGCGGCTGCGGCAGAGAAATGCGGCAACCGGCTGCTGAAGATGAAGTCGGACTGGCTCATCGTCGTCGAAGGCACCGAGTCAGCCAACGATGTTTCGGGCGCTAGAGAACGGCCGGTCCAGCTGGACGTTGACAACCGCCTCGTATACTCTGCCCATGGCTACAAATGGTCAGGCTGGGGAAGCTGGGAAGGCCGATTCGCTCAGCGAAGTTACAGGTCGTTTGTCAAGACGATGCGCCACAACTGGGCATATCTCCTCGAGGGCGATGTTGCGCCAGTCTGGTTTGGCGAACTGGGCGCACCAAACGATCCTTCTGTTGGAGACGTGCATTACTGGAAGAATTTGTTAAAGTATCTCAAGTCCATCGACGCGGATTTTGGTTATTGGGCTTTGAATCCGCGGAAACCGAAGGACAACGCGAGAGAATCTTACTCGTTGATGCACGATGACTGGATCACGCCGGTGCTGGATTATAGAATGAAGGATCTGCTGGAACTGATGAGGCAATGAATCGGGGTATTATTTGGATTTGAGGAGAATAGAGCGAAGGATATATTTTCGGGGCTTTCTTTCTTTTTTTCTTTGATTTATCATGGACGGGGCGTTATTTGGTTACATACCCAGGTTGACGAGTATACGCATAATGTACATTTGAGGCGTTTGGACGGGCATGGATGCTAATCCCACGCAAAGACCAGTCGCAATGGGAATTTTTCAAGGCGATGATACGCATGTTCATACACAAATTTTATTATTATTTTATCTATCTATTTTTATATACTGCTATGCTACAAAATGAATAGCGTTTGATACTGAATTCTACCTACCCATCTCGTAAGTCTTACCATCAGCCGTATGACGCCATCACGGGACCAGCTCTGTCGCCCTTGCTTTATCGATAAAGCACCGATAGCTTTGACGTGGGGTCCCTGCCGCTGCCGCTGCATCATCCCCCCCCCAGTCCTTGAAACCTTCAACGTCTCCTGCAAAAAGGTTCCCTTTTCCAACAATCAAACCAGTTTCAAATCTTTCCACGCAGACGCCCCAGCATATTTATTTTATCATTATTCACACACTCGTTTACCCCTTTCGCGCACTATATGTCCCGAGACCGCGCAGCCAGCCCGCACCGGCGAGGCTCCTCTGTGCTCGACGGCCATGGATCGTCCATCGGGGAAGCTGTCAACCCCTAGCTTTCCCGCTGTCTCAGTGGGGAAATGCCATATTCAGACAGCGACGGAAAGGGTTAGTCGATTTTGGTTGCGATGACGATGAAAGCGATGCGCATGAACGCCGGATACTGATCTACGTGACTACTCCAATAGTTTGGCAATGATGCTAAGAGCGCGATCCGGGATCGAGAACGGGCTTCGGTGGGAATGCCCTTGGAGGGCCTCGAAGAGCCCTTTACGTGGCCGAACGCCGATACCGACGATGCACCTCGTGCCAATAAATCGATCTATGGGCTAGTCCCAAGCATGCAAAGCTACCGAAATAACCTGGCTGCTCTATCGCAAGGTCACAACCTCTACTTTGTCGCATACCAAGGTCACATTTTCGTCTATGTTCCTCGAAGCGTTCCCAAACAAAGGATTCCTCAAGATCCAGACTTTCGGATATACCCCCCGCCGAGTAAAGAAGCTCACGGTATAGGAGGAACCGTCGATATCATTACACCACACACCATCAACTATATCATTACTGGCTACCTCGGAGAAGAAGAAATCGTTTTGGCTTGTTATGACGATGGAGATGTTGTTGCGTACTATGTGAAAGACATAGCAGACTTGATTGAGAACAAACGCAACCAGCCCAAAGCGCAGAGAAGTTCGAGGAAGGCTTACATCAGTCGCACATCACCAAGGCTGCTCTTTCATGAGAACGTTGGCCAATCAGCTTGGGGATTGGCTATTCACCGCAAGTCCCGTCTCATAGCTGTAAGCTCAAACCGCGCCGAGGTGACGGTTTTTGCTTTTGCTCTAGCCAGCTGCCGGACTAAGTCACGGAAAACCCAAGGATTCTGCGACTGCTGCCTGAGCTGCGACAACACCGAGTCGGGAATTCCCAGGAGAGCGCGAAACTGGAGAATAGTGATAGCTCTTCGGGAAGATGCATCTAACATTCCTAATGTCTGCTTTTTGGACGACGTAGACGGCCAGGCCGAAAAAGTCTGCGCCGTGGACATTAAAGGCGCATTGTGGATAGCGGATATCTGGAGAATGTACCAACCCGTAACCAAGGTTAACCCCTCAGAGCATGATGCACTCCGAAGCGAGGAGTTTTGGCCTGCTCCTTCGAGGTAAGTACTACTCAACGTCTCGTGAATCGATGAAAATATGGCGATACGATGTTGGTTTTTCTGACCTCTTGCTCTAGGGGGTGGGGCGTGTTACCTCTTGCTGATGGCAGTTTTTTGCCAGTCAACAGCGTAGAGGAGATGTTTGGACTACCGGAAAAGGCGTTAAGAATCTTCAATGCCGCATCAGAATACCAACAACCTATGACCGATATCACAGAATGTCTCGCGGCAATACCGGACAACCCATGCCCCCCTGCGACCGGGGCTAGGTCTGGTCAGTTCTATCATTATGTTCCAGTCATGTTGCATGATGAATTTTTACATTTGGTAGCAGGTAATGCGAATCATCTAGCTGCTTTCACGGATGACGAGACCGACGAAAGTGAAACCGAACCTGACGCATTAGAGATTCAAAACAACAACATGAATGAACTTGACGAGGATGAGAGTGAGGATATTGATGAGGAGGCTGACGACTTCGATGAAGAGGAGGATGAGGATCAGGAAGAAGGAGGGGCCGTCATCGAAGATGCCATTTTTGCTTCGCAAATAATCGACCCAGACATGAGCGGGCCCTTTCATGGAGGCGCACCTCTGGAAGAGGAAGAAGGAGAAGCCGTCATTGAAGATTCTCTTGTTGCTTCGGAGGCTCCGCAGATGGTCGAACTAGATGAGGACCTGTCGATTGGGGTTACAACTCCAGGAGAAAACTTTCAACAAGCACTACAAGACATAGATGAAGCAATAGGACAGCTTTCTTATGCTGTGCAGGAATATCAAGACGTTGTCTCATCTCCGGTCTCTCCTGGGCCGATACCGCAAGACCAAGATAAGACAAAACCAAAGCATGGAAGGGGCAAGAGTTTTGATTCTGCATATTCGGGACAACACAGATACAGCCAGCTCAACACGCCACCTTTTCGACTTGATATGGCATTTTTCCCACACAGCGGAAATATTCAGCCTATCCCCAGATCTCCAGCTCAGCTTCTTGCCTTTTTAAACAGGCCTATGGAGTACAACAAAAATCCAGAAACGCCGGTGGTATATCGGAGAAAGGACCCGATCAGACGATATCACTTCATCCGAACGTATGAAAAAGATCTGGAGCTAAGAAGCCTGCGAGGGAACGAGGCAGGTTGGCAAGAAATTGGTGTCATGTGTCCGAACGCAGTCACGTTTGGCAATTTTCACCAGCGAAGTCTCCGACCCTATTTTCGCGCAACTAGTCGCTTGAGTTTCATCGTACACATCCCGGAGCTCTCTCTGGTGGTGGTAGGATCGCCTATTGGGCGAGTTCTGCTCGTCACACCAACCAAGCTTGGATCGCCGGTTACGTCGAAAACACCGTGGAGGTGTTGGCATCGTGGGCTTCGAGTGGAACACGTTTTGCCGCGACAATCGGATGAGGAAAAGTTCCGACCGGTATTGAGACCGCTGCACGGGCTGGCTGTGGGACCAGTGCAGAGCAACGAGAATAGAGGTGGTAGCATGGCGAATGGCACCACAACGCCACAGCGATTTAGACTGATGCTGCATTATCGAAATCACGATATCTTGACGTATGAACTGATAAGGGAGGGCCGAACGGGACGACTTTGCATTATTTGAGAGCCCCTCGTTTTCGTTTTTTGAATGCCCGGCGTTTGTTTCAGAAAACTCAAATTTTAGAATAGCCTGTGTTTTACTTTTCCCTTCTGACATTCTTTTTTTACATCTATTGGCATTCAATCTTAGCTACGGCTCTTGTTGCTCATAAGACTGAGCTGCTAGCGCTTCGCAATGTATATAGATCAGTGCTTCTTAATAGCACCGATATCCCGTGTACGGGCAGCGGCTTGAAAATTTTTTTGGCTTCATATATGAAGACAAAGTCAAATTCTTTCGTGCCTGTAGATGTTGACGTGAATATGGAGCGTGATAACTATACTGATCTGATCCATGAACGGGCAGGATTGAGAACTGGTTGGGTAGCTCATGATATCTACTATTGTGCGAGTGGTGAACAACGAAAACTAGATCTTCTACTCCTGCCTTATATCGCAGTCAATTCAAGTAGCAACTGGAGCTCGTAACGCGATTTCCATATAGCTACAGATGCGCTTCGACTCCTCGATAAGTTGATAGAATGGTCCAGGTTCGGTGAGCACTATAGCTTAGCATAGGATCTCGAGATAGATTTGGTTAACGATGGAAAGGATGTGGGTTGAGTGCCTCTCCCAACCTTTAATTGCATACGATTTATCTTTATATTGATCGTGACAATGCTTTAGAGACTTTGCCTCTTGCTAAATTGCTGCACTCTCTGTACTTTTAGTCTTGTGAAGATGAAGTAATCGTTGCTCGATAAAACTTTATTTAGCATTCGTAGATGCTTGCCTATCTCAGTAAATATACCTAAAGTAGTTCTATGGGTAGTATGAGGTCTAAGAAGTAAAAGTAGTAAGAAGGGACTAGAAGATACAAAGCTGATGCGATAGACTACACAATGTTAACCGAGAGTGATGAGAAATCTGTAGTATCCCTTTGTTCTTACTTTATGTTTACAAAAAAAAAAAAAACACTTTCCTCCTCTTAACGAATGCTAAGGAGCCTGTCTTGTGGCGCGTTTTCCTCCCCTATCCTCATTTTCGTGCTGGTTGAGCTTGTATCGCCAGCCATAGTCTCTTCCTAGCCCAACGGAACTTGTCTTATGGTACGTCTGTATCCCCCCCTCTCATTTCCATGCTGGTTCAGCCTGCGTTACTCGCTAGAATAGCCCGCCCAACGCTTCTGGGATTGCCTCAATGTGAGAATTGTTTCCATCGTGTGATGAGCCCCTTCAGTGGTTCATGACTCCCACATGCTGAAATTTAGACATATCCTTATAGTCGGCGTATACTAGTATGTCTTATAATATAACAGATGGAAACAGCTGTAGATTGATTGATTGGGAGGCTAGGTTGGGACTATGACCATAGAGCTGGAAATGGCATATCGGATTCCATGAAGACAGCAGCAAGCACACTGTACTCTAGAAGTGGAAGATTAGCATGTTTGTTAGTTACCTAGTTATTATCCAATATCACGAAGCGTTTCAAGTACAAGAGCGGTAAGAGTAAGATACTTGATAGTGCTTGGACATTCATTCTAATGATACGGCTCGATGCGACTGCGATAGCCTAATGGCTGACCCTCCCACGAGATGATGGAACAGGAGTAGAAGCAAGTAATTGCGCTAATCGATGATCTGTTCATGTAAAACTCTAAATGTGAAGAAAAAGATATGAGAAATGAAGTGTAGCGCAGGGCTGAGAGGTTTTTGTGACGGGTCGATGCTGTTAGGAAATAAACTCTGCCCATCGTAATGTTCTCGACTACTATGGGCTCTTATCTACTGCATACTTTATTTCAGAAGCTTCCTACTTTGGCGACAATTTTTTTTTTTCCACAAAGGCTATGTACACTATCAAATAAGTTTAGGGCCTATCGTGAAGAACAAATAGACAATTCTATAAATAAACTCTGAAAAGAGACGGGGTCCAATTTATTTGTGAATGCCAGGCAAAGCTCAATATTGGTCGATAGAATCATAGCGATACGTATCCTTTGAAAAAGCTCGATGACCAATAACCTTGTTTAAGGGATGGCTTTCTGGTATTGTTATGCATGTCTTGTTTTCTTGCCTCCCAATTCATTCTGTGATTGAAGAGGTCCGTTGCCACCTTGGCCGTAGACATCATATTCTCGTCAAATTTAGGGTTCAATGCTGGGGCGTCTGTATTCCAGTTCAGCAGCATCATTCTCACAGCGGCTTCTATATGCAATTATGATCCTAATTGCAAGGTTTCATGTTTTCGGCCATTGTCTAGTGTACCCACGCTGATTTAGGTTTTAGACACCAATATTCGTTTACAGCTATTCTAATAGTCCATCCACAAGGGTCTGTATCAATGTCGACATGCTTCTCTTTGCCCTTCTCATGGCACCTACTTACACAGATTGGCGATAAAAAAAAAAGACTGTTGATTGTATTTTACACTAAAAATAATGACTTGGTTCATATCTCTATTTCTGAGATTGTAACGTATACATGTATATATTGAAACTGTGGGGTATTCTACATAACTGCAGTCGGAAGCATCGTCTGAAGACTGTGTATGACTTTTAACCATTGTGGCCTACTGTAAATAGTACACCACATCAACGCCACATGTCAAGAAGTCGGCTGACTACACCTGGCCATGCCGTACGCGTTGGCTGCTATTATATAATTGCAACTGTAACAGCCTAAGCAAGAAAGGAACAAGAAAATCAAGCCTCCGCGGGGAGGCGCCAAGACGTGGGATAGTGTCATCCATTATCCATTGCAACTGAGATCTGCAAACGCCGATAATCCATACTCCCAAGACTCCGTACTTGCACATATAACAAGGCAGCTAAAGGCAATACCAAGCTTCGTGCTTGGACGTATCCAGAACAGCGGCGCGGCGGCTGGCAGCTCCGCAAATCGCCTGATTGGGGTTTACGAACGTAATGAGCAAGCCGGGCCGTGATTGGCTGGCGGGCCTCTGATAACGGACGGTTCAGCGAATACCCGAGATATTCATGTGCAACCTTGTTAGTGCTCTGTAGTCAAACGTGCCAATGCTCAGCAAAGCCGAGGATCTTTAATTGGAACAAAGAGCATTGGATGCGACTGGCTCCGACCGGGGAGGCGGGGACTGAAGGGTCGGAACTGGGGAAGTCGTGGACTTTGCTCCATGCCGTGCCACGAGATTTTCCCGGGTATGTCAATCTTGCAGTGGTTCTCACAATCGGCATGTGCACGTGAGGCATTACTTTGCTGCCATCGACTCAGAGTCTGGGGCTTTGCCTCTCCGGAAGGTCGGCAGGCGATGTCTTGCGTTCGTTTCCCTTTTTTGTCTGAGGGTTTGAGTCAATGGCGCTGTCAAGTTGATCCCCGGATACTGGTGCCACCGGGCATCCTCTCAGCCACGCCCGTGATACCACGACTTCTTTACAGTGACGGTGTCACAAGCACTCTAACGCGACTTCAAATGCCCTTGTCCGAGAATAGGCCAGCCAAGGCACCGAACAGTCCCACGGCTCATCGCACCCGCACTTTGACAATTGCTATTCCTGACGCCACTTTACGAGAAGCCACTGCCACTGGCCACTAGATGCTGTTAGTGTCAACAGCGGGCCTCCGAATCGGCCGGGACGCGGACGCCCTTCCTGACAGACGAGAATGCCGTAAGAAGCTCAGATACCTGCCCTGCGTATCTGAGGCTTGTCTTACCTGATCAAGCTGATCTATGTAAAGGGCAAGGTTAAAGGGCGCTGCTCCCCCCACTATGAAGCCCCAACCAGGCCGGCGGCGCTCCCGCTCCGAAGAGTGGGCTTATCTGGCTTTACATGATGAAGTGACAACAAGCAGGGCTATCGTCTTTGTCTGCCACAGCTGAACGGAGCTAGGGCCTCGTACAGCACTTGCACGCGAGCAATAAGCAAGCATGTTGTGTGAGGACAGCGTCTTAGTAAGCTTCACATGTTAGATTGACTCGAATGCAATGCACTCCTTGCTTCTTGAAGGAAAGAAAGGAAAAAAAAAAGAAAGAAAGAAATGTCTCATCGTTCTCGGGTTGTCGGCTCAATTGTTTCTCGAAAAGGACACGAGTTGAGTCTGTCTCGGGCTCGCCAAGCCGAAGAATGGTCTTTTGGCGAGGGCAGAGAGACACGCACATAATAAGAACGACTCGTAACATGGCTTCTCCCTCTGGATAATAAGGCCGGGTATATTCGGTCAATTTATCAGTCCTTATCAAGCGTGGGAAATGGAAGGATCATAGAGAGAGACGAGGGGAAAAAAGTCGTACGAAAAAGATCAGGGTTGGAAATTTGCTGCTTATCAGGCCCCGTTCTATCCCAGCGGAAAGCAAAAAAAAAAAAAAACGCTGTTTAGAAACAAAAATCGATAGGCCCCCTGCGTTTCTGCGTGCGGCCTCACCGATACTCAGCTGATACCTGGCTCGCACAGCAAGTTGCGCCTGCACTTGCATGTTCTATTGTTGTCGCTGATCTAGCCTGATACGGGATAGCGCTATCTCAAACCCACTTCCACATGCGAAAAGGTACGTACCGGGCGATTTCAATGACCGTATCTTCCTTTTCGTCGTACGTATCTCGATTACAGCACCAAAGCGCGCCCACTCTGGCTGGGCCTTATCTCGAGGTACCTTGTATCGACGCTTCTGTGCTGAGAATCCGCGTTCGTGGCGCTGCGCTCTTGCCCGATTCATTTGTTGCTGTTTCCAGGGTCTCGCCCAATTGCTCTTTCCCTCAGGACAGGTGATGTAATGGATGCTCAAATAAAGAGAAGGAAGGGTGGGCGCATACCGAATTAACAGGCAAGGAGAAGAACAGACAAAAAAGAAATAGATCGTTGCCTGCTAAGAAGCGCCATCATCGTCAACATCATTTCTGCCTCTCGCCTGTCTTATCTTTTGCCTTTTTGCTCCATGCCTCAGAGTTGCAGATTTGCGCCGCGCTTCGAACTAAGCCCTTAGCCCCAGCAGTCCACAGCCTTCGCCCCAAGATAACAACCGCGAGATGCTATCCACGAACCACGCCCCCTCCGATGAGCGCACGCCCCAATCAACTGCTCGGGTCTACTTGAGTCTCTACGCGGGTGACGCACCCCTGGTGTCTTATCTCTGGCCTCAACGGGGCTGCAACGGGGCCTGTCTGGGGTAACTGGCTCCAGCATGGGCGCCAGGGCTGCTGCTGAGGGCAAAATGGGAAGAGGCGTGGCGGTCCTGGACATGGGCCCGGCGGGTTTGCACGCGGCTTGTCGCCGGGCTGTCGAAGTCGGAGACAGAATCCGCTGCTCCCTGCGAGATTGACGGCGATGCGAGTAGTATATACAATACAACTTAGCCTGTTCGTTATCTCCAAGCCTCGTCTCCTCCGTCTCTCCGTCTCTCCTCCTATCTGCGTCTGCTCGGCTATCCTTTCCTCCTTCTCATCTTTCTTCCTCTCTCCTGCACGCCTTATCTCTCCAGTCGAGCCAGACGTTACCCTCGAGGGCATCTTACTTCTGCAACCTTATCAAAGCACTACCGACCGACCTGTTGGGCTCGCTGGACGTCGCCTTGCTTGTGCCGGCATCCGACCTTTCCCCAAAGCTTCTCGTCGAACCATCTCATCTCCGCGTCTCAGCTTCCAGCAGCCTGGTCCCCGTGGCTGTCTTCTCCTACTTCGATTCGACAAAACCCCGGGTTTCGCTTAGCCCATCATGTCCTACGCCCATCTCGGGGCCCCGACCGTGTTTAACGGGACAGGCTCCAATGGAGGCGATCCCAGTATGTAACGACCGTAGCCCTTACCTCTCGACCCCGTTCTCGTGTAGCACATGCTCCTTAACCCGATATGCAAGTCATATCGAGGCCGTCGACGGATGACCAGACGTGACTGACAAGCCCTTGCTTCAGGGACCGAAAATCTGAACCAATGGTATCAGTCCGGAGACCAGGCCTTCATTCTGGTGGCCGCCTGTATGGTGCTTATCATGGTGCCTGGCGTTTCCTTCCTCTACTCGGGTCTCGCTCGCAGAAAATCTGCCCTCTCCATGCTCTGGGTCACGATGATGTCCTTTAGTGTCATCGTCTTCCAATGGTACTTTTGGGGCTACTCTCTGGCCTTCAGCGCGACCTCCAACAATGGATACATCGGCAACCTCAACCACTTTGGGCTTCAGAGAGTCCTGGCCACACCCTCTATTGGATCCCCTCTCGTCCCCGCTCTCCTCTACTCCTTTTACCAGATGATGTTCTGCGCCGTTACTGCCTGCCTGACAGTTGGGGCCGTCGCCGAACGTGGCCGCGTCGTCCCGAGCATGGTTTTCTGTTTCTTCTGGGCTACTTTAGTCTACTGCCCCATGGCTTACTGGGTATGGAACCCCAATGGCTGGGCTTTCAAGAATGGAGTCCTCGATTATGCTGGCGGTGTCCCTGTCGAGATCGGTTCCGGTGTCTCGGCTCTCGCTTATTCCTGGGTCCTTGGCCGCCGAAACGAAAAGATGATGATGAACTTCCGACCCCACAACATCTCTCTCATCACCCTCGGCACCGTTCTTCTATGGTTTGGATGGCTGGGATTCAACGGCGGATCCGCCTTCGGAGCCAACCTTCGAGCCGTCATGGCTTGCTGGAACTCATGCCTCACGGCCATGTTCGCAGCCATGACTTGGTGTCTCCTTGATTTCCGTCTCGCCAAGAAGTGGTCCATGGTTGGCTGGTGTTCCGGAACCATCTCTGGTCTTGTTGCTGCCACTCCTGCATCTGGCTTCATTACTCCCTGGGCTAGCATCATCTTGGGTGTTGTTGCTGGCGTCTGCTGCAACTTTAGCACCAAGAGTAAGTCATTTTCGGCGTGGCCAATGAGAAGTCAGAAAAGCTAACATATTCACAGTCAAGTTCCTCATCCGCATCGACGACTCTCTCGACGTTTTCGCTGAACACGGCATCGGTGGCATGGTTGGCCTCATCTTCAACGCTTTCTTCGCTAGCGGTAGCATCATTGGTCTCGACGGAGTCAACAGTGGCGCCATTGGCGGCTTTCTCGACCACAACTACAAGCTCATCGGATGGCAGATCGCTGCCATCGTTACCGCTTCCGCCTATGCCTTTGTCATGTCTGCCGTCATCGCCAAAATCATCGATCTCATTCCCGGTCTCAAGCTGCGCGCCTCTGAGGAAGCCGAACTTCTTGGCATGGACGACGATCAACACGGCGAGTTCTCATACGATTATGTCGAAGTTCGACGTGACTTTTTGGCCTGGAGCCCCCACCGCGACGAGCCTGCCCACGAAAGCACAATCTTGATTGAGCCTACGCACGGCATCCAGGAGCACGCGAATATGGCTCGCTCTGCTAGCCTGGCCGAGACTCATATGGAAGAGCCCAAAGCCGTATCGTTGTCCGACGCTGGAAGAGACCGTCCAGATAGCACCGAGGGCAGCCAGAGTAACGAGAAGCGTGACTAAAGTTACGCGTTCTTATGCCTTCCTCTATCTTTTCTTTTTACATATTGGGGGTTTATACAAAAGCCGTTCCTGTTTCTTGTAACATTATTCGCGTCGGCAAAATTTTAACTCGCATGCGACACTGTATTTTTCAGGGGTTAAATCTACTTGTTTTGGGTATTATGAATCAGCGGGCGTTTTGGAGCGTTAGCCCTCTTAGGATAGACGGGTTGGGATGGATTGTGCATAGAGCGCGAGCAATTTTGGAGATACCATTCGTACGGATGATTATGGATGAATAAATAAATATCATATAATATTACACCAAAGTCTTCTTTGTCACTGTGATGAGCTACTCTTGTTTGACTACAACTACACCTTGGATGGAATCGCATGGAATCTTAGAGTTGGAATCCATTTGGGCTTTCGATTTATGTTTGAATATTTAGAACTATGAAGTCTTGTCAGATATCTCTGTACTTGATCGACATTTCGATAGAGCGTCTTGATGCAAACGGAAGATTTCTTCTACAATAATGATCATCAGCTGTTTACGACGTTGTACGAGCAAATGCGTAGAAATAGATGAATTGCGGGCCAAATATGGAATCAAACATTTCGTGCGCAGCACTATGAATGAATGAATATTATATTATATTCCATTGAACACTTTTCATCAACGTCTTAACTGGTCTTGTTTGACTATAACTACACCCTTGGATGGAATCGTGGAATTCAATAATAAGTAGATGCGTTGATAGCTATTTGAGCTTTCAGATGATAGCTGAGCCTTCAGAGCGTGAATTGCTTGTTGATATCTCCGTATTTCACCAAGGTTTCGATATAGCGTCTTAAGAATGGCGGAAGAGACCTCATTTCATATTGGTTATTAATTGTTTATACCATTGTACCAAGTAAATGTGTAGATGGAACATGGATGGATCATAGACCATGGCCTGATGCTAGATTTCTGAGAGGTTGTACGAGCAAATACGTAAATTAAGAAGACAAGGAACTGCGATGATGTACAAATTCTGACGCTGTTCCTATATCACACAGAGTTTCATTTTATTTATTGTCCAAAAATCCCAATCAAAGCTATAGTCGTCCATAGTAAATGCCCTAGCGCCGTATATTCCGCCCTTGTGATAGATGTCCCTCAACGTTGTATTACAATTTCATGCATCGTACTTCAAAGTTAAAATCCTTTCTAAACCTTTCAGATCTTCTTAAAACAAAGACATTTCCTCTAAACGATGGGAGCACCGTCAGTAATCTTCCCATACGGCTCCTTGAGGTAATCTCCAAAGCAGGCATGGTCGAAATTGGCCTTTGCCGTCATTCCCTCCTGGATCTTGACAAAAGTGTCAAACTCGCACCAGCCGTCCTTGCGACTGGCGTCACATTCTGGGAAACTCAGGCCCAAGGGGATGGTTCGCTGGTTGAGCACAAAATGGACGTATTTCTGCTCTTCGCCGCGCAGATAGCCGTCGCGATTTGGCGAGACGGGCTTGGGCGTCTTGATGATCTCAATGTCGAGACGGGCACCGAAGGGGGTGATGTGGGCGACGGTGAAGTTGTGAGGTCCGGGATAGTGATCGGCTGGGAGCTCATCTGCGAATTGGCGGAGGCCAAAGGCAGTGAGGATAGAAACAATGTTTGTATCATGGGAGAAGTCAAAGTAAAGACTTTGGTTTAACGGGAAAGTCTCGGTGTTGTTGTCCAGGGTGATGTTGATCTGTGAACCTGAATAACCGAGAGTGTGATTCTGCAAACGAGCGAGGACTTCTTGCTGGTAGCCAATACCAGTTGCTCTCTAAGAATAGGATTTCGTATTAGTATACTGATATTCACAGACGGCATCTGAGATTCGCTAAATAAAAAATAAATACGTACCCCGACAGGACTGTGGAAGGCATTGCCAGCTGAGAACCACACGTCGATTGAATAGCCAAAGCCTTGCCACTCTTCGTAAGTGAAGAGATCGCAAAACGTGCTGAAGCCGTATGCGACCGTCTCGTAAGGACACATGGTTTGGGCATTGTATACGTCATCAATAGTCCATTCGAATCCCTCTGTCATCCCTTGGAAGCGTTTGAGAGCTATTCAGTGTCAGCGGTCGTGCTGTCTTTGAGTTAAAAAAAAAACAGATAGGATGAAGTCATACCGTCTTGAAGATAAATATCAATCCACTTTTGCCTAGCTTCGTTGGCAGCCGTCTTAGAGAAAGCATTAGAGCAGCTGAGAGCACCCGCAAGGGAGTTGTTGAAGCCGCTGGCCTCGATGATGACTTCAATAGTTGCGTTGTTTGTCCTAGATATTTGTAAGTCATGATCACGAAGAGAGAGATGGAGTAAAGCTCTCACCATTCCAGTCCAAAGAATCCAGCCATCCAGTTCTCCGCTGACTTGAGCATACGATCCTGGGTCTATAATGTGCCCACTTAGTATATGTCGGTGCCGGATGCTGCTTAGCAGATTTCAAAGGGCAAAAGAAGCTTACCGTTGTTCGGACAATAATCTTGCTATTCGGGTTATACAGACTGCCGTACATGTAGCTATGAAGGACTCCTACACAGATGAATGGTCAGTTTCTTGGTAGCACATAAAAATAACATCAGAGCAGAGCCTCAATGCTTACCCGAGTTGTACAGCTCTTCACGCCCCTTTGGCACCAGAATCTCAGAGCCAAGATGATACTCCCATCTCTTGAGGAAGCCCAACGGCCCTTTCGGGTTGAACTTGTCAGAGGCATTGGCAATGCGCTTAGCAAAGTCAACAACGCCGACACCAGAAGTAGGATAGCGGGCTCCATGACGAGACAGCATCTGGACCTGGACAATCTCAGCTCCTGCGGGCAGCGGGTACTCGTCGACGCCAAAGCCCGGAGAAGGAAAGTACGGAGACAAATAACCCATCATCTTAAAGATGGTGTCGTTGCCGGGCTGCATGCCCTTGACAGGAATGGCCGTCTGCAGCGGCTCATTGGGCACAAACGTCGCCGTAGGATCAAAGGTCCTTGTCTGGGCCAGAAATGCGGCGTTGCCGGTGGCCGTTGGCCCGGGCCACAGATTCGGCGACGTCTGGAAATACTGGGGCACTTTGCTCGGGCGGCAGGGGCACGAATCGGATCCGCGGCCGGGGAAGAAGTATGGCAGCGACAGGTATAGGTTGGAGGCCAGGAGCACGACTAGAGCCACGATAAGGGCGATGATGGTCGTGCGGTAGCGGCGATCAGCGCGTGACCGGCGCGGCTGGAGATATGTCGTGGACGAGCCAGCCTCCTCCTCGATGGCTTCTTGCGACTCGTCCTGGTGGATGGGCTGGTAGCCCGACGAGCTGCCCGCCCGGGGCTTGCCGGCTGGCGGCTTGGCCTGTGACGCTGTCGGCTTCGCCATGACGATGGCTTGATTGCTTGATTTGTTTGCTTGCGTGCGTGATTGCTCGGTCGATCGGTTTCGGCGATGCCTACCCTGGTCTCGGTGGGCAGACAAGAGTGAAGCCCGAGTCACGCCCAAGGCAGGGCCTCGTAAACCAACCACTAAAGAGTAGCTCCGGTAATAGAGCCAAAGCCAACGCAAAAGAAAGAAAAAATCAAGATGAAAGGATCGCCAGACGCGGTAAGCCGGGGCTACAGCTCCTGGAAGTGCGGCTGATAGGCTGATACTCAGCACGCCGGCAGAAAACTCTCTTCTGTTATGTATCCGTACTCTTTTGTCTCGGGTCACGCCCTCTCGCCCTCTCGCCCTTGTCTCAATGCCAGTCCAATTAGGTAGCAGCTATCTCGCGTATGTGCGTCCCAGTCCGACGGCGCGGTAACGATGCGCGCGATGCGATTTCGATTCGATTCGATGCGACACACGATTTCGATTGGGCAAACGTCGGTCGGTATATTGGTGGCAACCCCTTTTGGCAAAAGCGAGCAAAGCAACAAATACGCCCTTGCCTACCGGCTCCGATTCATGGGCCGAGCCTGGTCTTGCGTTATGCGAGGGGACGAAAAGAGGGAGGCGGGGGAAAAAGCAAAACGGAAAAAAAAAAGAAAGGGAAAAAAAAAAACACCCAACGGCGTCGAATGAATGAGTAGGGAAGAGAGATGAAGCTTCAATGTATGGATGAAGCTGCCGCAGCTGAAGACATGCGTGCCCCACTCAAGGCAAGGAGACAGAAGCCAAGTTTCGAAAACGGGGTGCCTTGAAAGGCTGCTGTCACCAACGCTTTAGCGCTGTAATTCCGGCGCTCCCCCCGTGACCGCTGGCCCCTGTAGCTGATGACCGGCAAGGCTATCGAGGCCCGGTTGTTAGTGGCTTGAGCCGCTAAAGTCACGGGGAAGCCATCCGCCGCTTTTGGCGCTGCAGGGCCGCTCTGTTTACTGGTAATGCTGTCCGTTATGGAGCGAAATGCATCAGTCGAAACATTGACGCTCTTTTCAAGTCCCCCATGGGTCGGTCCGTCTTTTCGAAATTAATATTTTGCTTTTTTTTTGCTTTTGCTTTTCGTAAACGCTCAGGATGGATCACGATGACCCATGGCTAGATACTCATTCATGCCAGCTGCTCTGCATTATTTCTCAGCCTTCAATTTGCTCTCTCACATGCTTAGCTGTTGGTAAGTTGTCGCTATCACTAAATATGGTACCTTAGTGAACTACTCAGACAAGATCACATCTGCTGCTAGCACTCGATTTTCGACATCACATCCGATCTCCAGAAACCATCCATCTACCCGCCATCTGATCCTCAGCCGTTCATCTGATCTCCCCTCCTTATCTGTCTCACTAGAAGATCATGCATGTCTCTCGTCTCGTTCGGCGATCCTCACATCCGGGCGCCTGTCTAAATCGTGCTTTAGGCGATCTTTATGTGACAAAAAAAGAGGCAGTTGAATCTGTGACCTGTCATAAAACACGGGATGTGTTAGATGGCAGTGCCGCCATCAAAAGCACTATATTACCTGTACCTAATAGCAATAATAGCAGCATGGATTCAGCTCACTGCAAGGGTAGCCAAAAAAAAAAAAAAAAAAAAAAAAAAAAGAGAGAGAGAACGGGAAAACTAAAAAGCAAGAACAATAACTGCGTGGCAAGGAGAAAGGAGGAAGGGGAAAAGCAAGGAGAACAGAGAAATCGGGCGCTGAGCGCGGATTGTTGCCTACTAGGCATTCTTACCCATGGCTTGGAAACGCCCTGTCATGACGCAAATATCTCTTCCCAACCTGTAGGTATACCTGAAAACACATGTCCCCATGCAAATTTCTTGTCATACCAGTTCCTGTTTTCTCTGCTCTTTTTTTATTTCTTTTTTATCTTTTCTTTTGTCCCCCAATCTCTTACACCCTGTTAGATATCCACTCTGCTGGTCTCAGCTAAGCCCCCAGTCCACTGACATACCCATGTCAACGCTTCTGAGACATCGAAATGCCTGATAGGGCTAGTAGAAGCACCTATTGGCAATGCCATGCTCATAGTGTCTGCAGCTTCTTTGCTTTTTGTCCCCCCTTACGTACATGCACTTGGCACCGTTGAGGCCACTGCCGCGTTTGATTTCCTTACCGCCGTGTAACCAAGCACTCATGTCTCTACACGGAGCGGCCGCCCAAGACACGCAGTGAGGAGCCGCCAATAACAAATGCTGTATGTGCTCCTCTATACCCCGTCACTAGTCTCGTGATCCATGCATCGTTTCTGACAGGGTTGATGTATCCAATGGCTTGGATCACTGCTGAATCAGGTGGGCTCCACTTTCGACTACATCCATAACACCAAACAAGTGCTTGCCATCTTCTCCATAATGGGCACTGAAGTGGTTAATGCCCTGGCAAACAAGATCTAATTTAGAGTATGAACCGCTGCCTTCTGTTTCATCTTGGTGTCGCTGACCAAAGCTTCTGGTAAAAGGTGCAAACTCATATCAACGTTGGCAGTTCCCAGCACCCTCTAGGCGAAGTTCTTTAATGTCAAAATGTGCATTCTGGTCAATCTATCTAGTCTATACCTAATCTATAATAATCGCGAAAGTTGTGGGTGGATAGTGAGTCCGAAGGCAGTGTTCTCTACCCATCCCGTCTATAATGCTGCCAACAAAAGAAATGAAATAATGCAGTGAGCTTTTGTGTACATCCTTGCAGATTCCCCAGTCTATGGTCCTTTTCTTTGCCTGCCGTAAGACGCCATCAAGGTCAAAATCTAAAACGTCACTTGCCAATGTAGGGAGGTTTCTCTGGATCAGTAGCGCTCTCGGCTAGAACCAGCCACCCTTTTCAGTCATGTCAGGTCACAAGGGATCGCCCGGCTGTAGGATCGGAGGGCCCGTTCCAATCGGGCGACGCTGGCTTGCCAGCCTAGTTGGGCTGGGATCGTAGAGGAAAGTACCCAGTGGGCATGGGCTCGAGGTGCCACACCTGAGTTCCCGCGGGGCCAAAAGCCTTGTTCCACTCAAGCTGAAGGTCAAGAGGGATTTTCCATCCCATCTCGTCATCACGGAGTCTCATGCGCACAAGGTGTCTGCGCTGATCGGCCTCTGCACCGTTGACAAAGCCCGCGCGTCGGTGGAGGACAGCCAGGTTGTTGATGAAGTGGATGTCACCTGCTTGGGTGCTGAACTCAACCTTGGTTGCCTCTGCAATGTCCTGGATCGCATCCAGAGCCTCAATTTGGTTGGCGGTGAGGGTGGGAAGGTGAGCAGGTCTGGCGTGGGCTGCACTTCCCATGAGAGCAGCTCGACCAAAGTTGGTAATCAATCGGCCATCTTCGTAGAAGAAGACAGGTCGGCATTGGAACTTGGGGCTGTAGAATTGAACACCGCGTTAGCCTCTGTCTTGTGGAGCCGCATCTTGGAGTCCCAAGTCACTTACAATGCAAATGGCCAATCAGATCGAGCCAGAGTTCGAATCAGATCGGGGCGAGTGGCGGAGAGCACGTTGTAAACGGTGTAGGTTGAGGCGATGATGCACTTGCCTCCAGACTTGGCGGCATTCCTGGTGAGCCAGCTCACAATATCTCCGGCTTCCTCATTGTGGAAAGTCTACAAGTTTGAGTCAGTGGGTCACAAGACGCTAGAAACGCATTCCAGATAACTTACAATGGGGGAGGTTGAGTGGCGATGGTGCTCGGCCTTCTCCTTGGACGAGTTGTCGGCAATGATGTGAACTGGGGACTTGTTAGCCTACTGATAACATGGGGGCAGCCAGAACTTTCTTACCCAGCATGTTGCCCTTCTTGTCCTGGCGGCCGCAGCGGTTCGCGATGTAGGCCTGGACGCCGAGATAGATGGTGGTCAAGTCTTCGACAGCGTACTTCTTGGAGTCGAGTCCTCGAAGAACGGCAAATCCCTTGCCTTGGTGAAGATCATCACGCATACGGCTTAGCACGTTGGGGCCAACAGTGGGAAGCGGGAAGGTGTCAGGAGTGACGAGATCGCCATCCAATTCAAGAGCTGCATGTTGTTAGCAGAGCTGGCCAGAGGATGCGCTTGCCAATGGCAGACGGCTCACCTTTGAAGTGCTTGAGAGCTGCCTCAATCTCGTCAATCTCAGTCTCGCTCAAATGGTGGATATAGTCAGATTGGCGAGCCAATTGCTGACCAGTCCAGGCCAAAGGCGAGTCCAGGACAGAGGGGAAGCCATTGGGCAGGCTGGACATTTCAGCGGGAGGATCAGGCAGCTTGAACTCCTGGTGAGAAGCGAGGAGCTTCGAGTCGGTGGTAGGGCCGGCCATGGAGTACGCCATTGTGGAGGACAGTGGTATCGTTTTCTTGGCTGTTGGAGATGGGCTTGATGCTGGATTGGAGTGGCAAGATGATGGAAATTCAAAAGAGTAAGAGAACGAAAGTGCACAAGTGTCACAGATCTGATTTGCTAAGCGAAGACGATGCAAAGGTAGAAAAGAAGCAAGATGTGGAAGATGATTGGGAAAAAGTAGAAGACTCGAGGAGATTGTGCGGTCCTTTTAAGTTGGAAGGAGCAACTGATTGACTGCCTGGTGAATAGGCCTAGCAGCAGACCGCTTCGTGTCTCATTCCCAAAAGCAAAGAAGCTCAAGAGCATGCCTTCCCAGCTCGCTTCATTCGCTCTACTCACCGCAAAAACAAAAAAAAAAAAAAAGCAAATCACCGGAAGCTGCCCGTGATACTTGCCTGTTGTGGGACCATTCTCCCTACTGACGGCATCTTAATTAGCATCATACTGGCGGAAGCGAAAGACGGGAGCGAGCATAAGGCCCTGGTCATGCTTTTCTGAAGATGGTTTAGGTCAGAAACAAGCTCTCTTTTCGTTTTATTAGAAAAAGGAAAGGAAAACAAAAAAGGAAAAAAGGCAATAGCCCTTGTCGTAGGTAGCCAATAGCCCATGCCAATGTCTTATTCGCTAGTAGGCAAGGTACCTTGGGTAGCTTCAGCTTCATATCCAAGCTTCATCCAAAGGTGAAAAGAAACGAAAAAATGACACACCGCCGGCTCGCTTGTTTGCGTTTGTCTATGCACTGAGTAATTACCGAAATGCTTGCTGCCGTGACGGGACGGCAACCCCTACTTATAAGTAGGTAATTAGCTAGATATTGTTGATATGAGTCAAGAAGTTCACCGCTTTCCTCGGGTGACATCCCGTGCCACCACTCCGTACCAGTCTTATAATGATCTATTGGCAAAGGGTGGCGAGACAAGGTTCGATAAGTACGATGATATTAGGTTAGAGTGCGTTCTTTGACCAATGAATCACTGCTATAGCTGTTTGAGAAGCAATCACAACATGTATTGAAAGCCATTGCTCTTAATCATGATTCATGGTCAAGGCAGCCTGCAAGCCACCTATGCATCAGATCCACCAGATCGCGATCACAATCACCGATCCATCTCGCGCTAATTCCTGGCATACAGGGGGGTGTACTGCCAAATATGTAAACAACTTGCTGAAACTCCATCACTGGACCAATCACTGCCTCCGGGGACCTGCATGGTGTTCTGCGGGTAGGCTATCTAGTACCACCATCATCTCACCGCTTCAACAGGTGCCACATGACTAGGTACTAGGAAAAATGACCCAGATAACCAAACTCTCTGTCCTCCTTCCCTATCTCTATTCCTTCCGGGGTATTGAGGTACTCAACACATGAAAAATAAATCTCAGAGCAGAGTTACACATTAGTTGTGCTTGGCTGCCATTTCTCGTCAAAGAGCTGGCTGACAAAATAATAGTCGTCCTCGTATACTCCATTAGAGCGAGCTTGGTTCCACTCTTGTTCTATGACGTGTTAGCACAGGCTCAGGAACTTGGGCCTTTGATGTAGGGTATGATGTATGGTATGAAGAGGGCCGGGAAACGGGTGCTTACGGTGTCGCTGGACAAGTGCCCTAGTCGCACGGACAAAGCGAATCTTTTCCTCATCTAGTTGCGCCAATGCTCGCAAATCTTTGTCTTCACACTCATCAGAAAAGGGGATTCTCCCCTTGTTGCAGTAATGGAAGTGTGCGAGAATGACGTTTGCTCCTGTATCGCCGTCGCCGACGGATCCCAACCGTTAGCCACCGCGTCTGTGCAATGATGAGTGGAGAAGGGAGAGAGGGGGCTTACCCATATGGTATTCTCGTACTTTTTGCTCTCGGGCAAACCGACGCTGCGGAAAAGCACTATGTCAGTGGTCTGGGGTGCATATATTGCTAGTCTCTGTGAGGAGAAACTTACATTCATGCCATGTTTGATGGCGTAACTGGCATCATGCTTTGTTATAAGTGCGATATTATGAAGCAGAATAAACGACACCAGATAAGTCACTAGCCAACTAGTTGGTTTATTCCTGAGCATCACTTTTTGGAGGTTATCCAAAAGCTCGTGCCTAAGTTTGTTTTGGATGTGATGTATCAGAATCGTGTCCATCTGTGCACCCATTACGGGAGGCAGTGGAATTTTTCCGTGATCGGGGCTTGACTCGTCAAGGATATTTGCTGGCATGTCTAGAGTTTCTTTTCCGACGATAAATGCGGATGTAGTTGACAGACGGATGGCTACCCACAGTCGAAGCGTCCAATTGAGTAGCCCAAATGCCTCTGACGTTCTTTCCTCTTTTTGCCACATATGATAGGCCAAGAGGTAGGTCTTGTACAGTAGATCTTCCTCATTGCCAAGCATGGTTGAAAAAATGTCTTTCATAGACTCTCGGATATAGGTGGTGTACGCTGATGTGCCGGCCTCCACATCTACAAGTGCATACGGCGGGATAAGAGCCGACTTCTTGGTACCTTGATAGGCCCATGTCCGCTCTAGTTTGTCGCCTTCCTGTGGAACAAACCTGCGAACCTTGAGTGGGAGCTGCTCTGTTGAATAGCGCACGGAAACGTAAACAGTCCTAATCTCGGACGATGCCCATAGCTGGATGGGGTCAGAGGTGCCTTTGGTCCACCTCTGGGTCCACTCATATCCTGGAACCTGGCCCGTTTTATAAAGTGTCATGTCGGTGATCTTGTATCGGACACATGGCAAGCGTGCTGCCTTTGTATTCTCCACCTTTTTGCAGGGCAAGCAACACCCGCCTGGAACATCAAACTCGCACTACAGAAGTAACGCCGCGTCAGTCTTCTCCGAGTACATTGAATCCCGTTGTACAGAGCGGTACGGACACGACGGTTTGGCTTATGGGAACTTGCTACTTACTCGTATGCGCTGCATCCTGCACCTGAGGCAGGAACCCATCCGTCTTGTTTGGGCGGTCTGTTCTCGGAGAGCTTGGTCTCTAAAGGGGCCCCTCTTACCATTTCGCTGCTGGTTATCAGCAGTGGGGTACTGTTTCTGGGCCACAGCATTGGCTCTCTCTTCCAAGATTGCCGGCTGAGTCGTTGGTCGAGCTGAGTTTTGTGCCGACGGCACATTATAATTATACACATTAGAAGACGTTGTTTCAATGCCCACCAATAGAGGACGGGTAGGGCGCGTATCAGGAGCCGGATCACGCCGCAATGGTGAGCTGCCCCCCATTCCTTGAGTCCCTCCAATCGGAATTTCATCCTCTGGCGGCACAGCAATTATTGCCTGATTCAGTGACAGTTTATACGGCTCTGTGGGCAGAAATTGACTGGAGCCATTATGATGGGAGTCAATCTGGTCAAACTGCTCGTGACCTGTGCTGGCAAGTTGATTAGTGTACACAGAATGGGGCAACTCCTGCAGCAAGGCGTTGTTGAAGGCAGGGTACATTTGGAGAGCCAAAGTGTCGAAATTGAGCAGATCATTTGAAAGCACTGATTGCTGTAAAAAATGTCTGTTGTCAGGTGCAATGAACTGTAAACAGTCCAAGCTCAACAGATTATCAGAGATCGGCTCTTGTTGCAACACCTGCCCAACGTGAGGCGCAATGTCAAGGAGTGGGTTCAGACCGAGTAGATCAGTAGAAAGCGATGCCTGCTGTGATAACTCGCTACTATTGGTCGCAATGAAAGAGCTCAAGCCAAACTCATCACTGGGCAGTTGTGCCTGTTGTGGTGATTCGCCATTATCGGGTACAGAGTGCTGCAGGGAGTTTGTCGTCTGGGCCGACATAGGCGGCAATACTTCCATAACAGGTTGCTGAGGCGGCTCACACACCACAGCCGCTGGGGGCGGAAGAGCTTCGTACCCTATCGGTCAAATCATTAGCCTTCTATCGTTGTGCTAGAACGGAGCTATAAAGTAGCGGTAAGGTAGCCTGCATACCGGCGGGCTGCTGCTGCCACCCGAAGGTACAGCAATTGGTGATAGACTCTGCCACACGGGCCAAGGGAGAGCTTAGTGATTGTACATCAGAAAGGGCGGGTGCCCACCGTGGCGTAATTGACGCCGAATCATGATCCCCTATAGGCAGCTTCTCCTGATTGCCTATGCTAGATGACGGAGACTCGTCTGCTGAAGGCATCGAGTTGAAACCCATTAATCGTCGACGTTTCTGTGGGTTCTCTTCAATGCCAGAAAAGTAAACGGGGTTATGACCAGGTGAATATCCTGACGTATAACCAGTGTTTTCAAAGGAATAGCAGTCAGGAACTATTGTTGATTGACCCACCAAGACCTGGGGATCAAAAGTCAAGGGAAGTTCCGCAAATCCCGTATCAACAGTTGGATATTGAGGCACCTCAGATGGTGATGGGACTGCCACTTCAAAAGTCCCTAGGGATACAACTCGCTTCCTACGTGGCCCCTGTGCAATAATTAACCTGTCTGTATTGTTGCAACTGAGACGGGAAAAGAATACAAAAGATATGCCAAAGAGAATATGGTGATGTTGTACGGGAAGAGGGTGTATAAACGAAATTCAGCAGAAGCCGAGCGAGCATTAAAACGGAAAAAAAAAAAAAAAAAGGGCTCAATGAAAGACACAATCTCCAACGGTAGACGGCGGGAAAGGGCCAAATATATGTCCTGCAGGCTTCCGCCGTGGGGTGAAGAAAATCGCTTACCATGATGCCTGTAGATAACTGAGGGGTGTGTCAGACAGATACAGCGTGGTAGTAGGAACAGAATCCAATGTATTCGCACGTGGAAACCGAAGTATCAGCTGTGCTCTAGAGACAAGCAGTATCAACCAGGTACAAAAGTTGTGCACTAAAACGCCGGATGAAGTTGAGTGACGCCAGGGGAGGGGTGAACAAGTCCGGTGGCACCGACTCGAGCGTTGGCTCTCGCTATGTAAAACGATAGGTGGAGCGGAGTGCTAGGCGGCCGAGCAGGAGCGGGAGCACAATGAGCTGCAAAACTCCAAGACGAGGGTTCGACACCGGTGAAGGCAGTAGGCTGGCGGCTAGAGGGCGAGAGGCCAGAGACGAAGGTGGCATGTAAGTAAGGAGTCCAACTAGCGTTGGGTTGGTCCAGTCCAATGACGGTGCTGATCTGCGAAGTGCAACGGCCTGGTTAGACTCGTCCAAGAGGCGTAATGGTCTCGTGCTTGCCACCACTCTAGTAGCCGAAGATGAATGTGTTCCCGGCGCTGGTCGTGCTGTTGCTGTTGCTGTTGCTGTTGCTGTTGCTGTTGCTGTTGCTGTTGCTGTTGCTGTGCTGTGCTGTGCTGTGCTGTGCTATGATGCCGCCGCTGTTATGCCGGCTCAATCCTCACTGCCCGGGGGCTCGCTCCTCGTCAAACGCAGGGATACGGGTAGCGCGGATTAAGATCTGGGGGCGTGTTGCAGAAGTGCATAGGTCAGCGCCGACACAGTCCAAGTGGCTGGCTCCCCGAGGGCTAGACGACGATGGCGGTTCCAGGAGAAGAGGAGAAGCGAACTCGGTGAAGAAGCAGAGGCCTAAATCGCATGTATTTGAATGGGACTGAGGGGTACCGCCCACGGCCAGGGTGTGGTCGAATAGTTGGGATGCGTGCCCAATTAATTTCTCATGCTCTTATTGAGCAGAGCCAGACGGAGGCGGGCTTCCCCATTGGGCTGGCATCCCATCGAAAGTATTGCGGGCCAAGCTGTTTTGCGCAGTCCACAGCTCTGGCGACGAGCGAAAGGAGCATAACGTATTGCGCCCGAGGCTTCATCACAGACATAACCAACGCGATGTGAGAGTTGGGCATATACGGCACGAGAAATAGCTCAGGTCATCCGAGACGGCGGCCGCCTTCAGGCCAGGACGACAAGCCTCTGTTGCGTGCCCAACCGAGCTGACAATGGCAGCATGCAGCACAGGCAAGTAGGTATTATTCGGGGTAGAATGGACCTTGAGTGTCCAGCTCAATTGCGAAAAGGCCAATAAGAACCAAGCTTACCTTCAAAGCTATTATGGTGCCACAGATACCTGTAGAATGCAGCTTACACGCGGTTCGCTCATTTCGCTCGTTTCCATGCAGGCGGGGTCACATGTGTTGCAACCCGCATCTTAAAAAAGCGCAGAAATCAATTCAAGCCCCAGATGGCCGTCTTGGGCAAGCGGACCCTAGGCTGTTCTGTGGCTTTTCTAAATCAAATCGAAGAAACCTCGCCCCATATGGAGGAGTTGAGTGATCGAATGGTATACTACTTGGCTTCCTACATAGGCTGGGATGTCGATAAAGAGCAAGACGAAGCACACATCGGCGAGTTGACGGACTTTTGTCCGCCGCCGGCTTTGTTCCTAGTATGAGTATAGTCGTATCAGGCTCGAGACCGCCGAATCAAAGGACCAGGTTGAGTGCTACCACACGCAGAAACTCGCAATGGACGAACCGCTTGAAGTGGGGATCGGTGAAGAGGTGCATGACACTGCTTGCAAATCCCAGCACGCACTGCTATCTGGGTTGTTATTCCTGGTAAAAAACCAGATGGAGACTTTCGTCGCCACAGGGATCTTGATCTATCCGGCTCGGTAGCGCAGCTCAGTGACCAGGGGTGCCGGGGCACCTTGAACTTTGAAGGCTTGTGGGAACTTGGACTTGATGGAGAGCGGCCGAAGCAGAGTCTTGGTTGTAAATGCAGGTCGGTCAAGCCACGAGGCGTATGGATATGAATGCGAATTCCGGCTGCGGCGTGGCGCATCAGCAGGATGAAGTCGAGGTCGCCGTCGAGGTCAAGCGTGCGCGGCCGTTCATTGTGTTTTCGCGTGGCTGATCGTCACTCGAGACATTGCCGCTCCCCCACGCCACGGCGGTAATTGTGTCGCAGTCGCTGCAGCTCGCGCAAATGGCACATTGCACGGCATGCAACTAGGGCGCTGCTCGCAATCATCAGGTCAGTCCTCTTTCGAGCCGGCGTCTCTGCGATGCTGACGAAAAGGGGGCAGTCGGCGTCGCACAATGCGGCGTCGATGCTGCTGTAGGAAGTTATCCCCACGGGGTTGGCCAGTTGACGTCTCATAGAGACTGTGCCTTACTCGCTACTAAGCTAAGGTCGCAAGCTGTCGACTTAAGGTAGGGCGTAAATACTACTAGTAGTACATAGCGGCGGGCCAGATCCCCGTGCCCACTACGGAGCACTCTGATTAGCAGTGAAAATGCCCCATATTTCTCCGCTTGTGGCCAGAGACTTTTGGCCGGCCTGCCTGCCTTGTCTTGCTTAGGAAGGAAGCGTTCCGTGCCTTCTACAACTCCAGGCCCAGCCAACTGCTCTTGCCCAGCCAGTTGACGCCACTCGCGGCGACTTCCCCTCGACTGATGCAACTTGCGATGATATCAGACGGCTAAAGAGGCTGTTGCAGAGCCTCCGATGAGCAAGTGTTTCGGAGAATCTCGCTCCTCTGTTGCTTCGCAGCTTCTCCCCGCTGCTGCGGCTGCGGCTGCTCGGACAAGTGGAGTTCATCTGCTCAGGGCCCATCTGCGCGTCAACGTCATGGCAAGCATGTCCTCGTCCATGTTCCGTACATGCACTCTTCCTCCAGATTTCACTCTGCTGTGTCGACGCAAATGTCTCAGGGAGACGCATATTACGAAAATGCAGCTGTCAGAAGAACCGCTCGTATTGCTGCAAGCGAGCTATCAACGGTAACGTCTGCTCCGTATTCCTTCTCTTATCGTTAGCGACACCGAGGCTAATCTCTTCATCCAGCTGACACCTACTGCTTGAGCAAGGCTGCACAACGTCAGATAATTTCGCCATTTACCTATTGCAAGACACGCCGGCCAATTCTATCCACAGGTGCAGTGTGCATATGCAGGCCGACTCGACTTGCGATGGTCCACCGCAGGCCGTGGCAGGATGAAAGGACAGGCCACGACTCGAAGCGGCCATGGGGGGAGAGGGAGTGCGGCTTGAGAGACTCGTAGCCAACAACGGAGGTTGTCCGCCAAGATACGCATGTGCACCCGGCTGCATGCAAAGGCTGCTTTGCCATACAAGCGTGCCACGGCCCCAAGTCGTTTCTGTCTCCCGTTCCGAATGGCGTCCTGCAACCTGCGTCGACCGGTGAGCTTAGGTAGGGGCGCCACAAGGCCGCTAGCTATGCGAGACTGCTTAGACTCTGGCGGGGGCTAGGAAATTATCCAGCTCGATGGTGTCAGTATGTCGGTGTGTCCTTCGGATTCCTCGCAGCTTATGCTATTCAGATGGATAAAATTCTCTGCGACCAGGCTGCAAGGTACCGCTGGCCCCCTCAGCAAGTCACGGCAAGGACGCTGATACTTTCAGTTTAGCTCAGAGACTTGCGTTTATTCTAGCTTCTGGTTGAGGGGTCAGTTATCAACTTCCGAGGGCGACTTGTGATCGGCTGCTGTCTTATGGGCGTGTGTGTTCGTGTGTACGTATAAAAGCATTTCGACGAACGCCTACGTCAGTTATCCTCAGCATGCCGTATTGGTAGCTTATAGCCGTGAGTGCTGCGGCATCTTAAGGACACCACACCAGTCATTTTCCAGATGCATCATTCATCCTAAAGCTGTCGACTGCTTGGGTCCTGTCATGATTGCTCAACTGCTAGCATGGCTAGTTCTTACAACAGGCGTGTAAGTGGGTGAGAGATAGTATGATTATGACGTGCCAGCAATCCAAGTTACGTTACGCTACGCCCCTGGAATACAAGCAACAAGCCGCTTTCCGAGCTTCTTTCCGCTAATAGACTCCATGAATCGTGCATATAATAGTACCAGGTATAGCATGGCAGCGTGTCGTGAGCTCCGCTCCGCTTTTCTGCTGCGTCTTTACGGAGTATCTCTGATCAGCTCAGCAGGGTCCTGGCTCATCAACAGCATCATCGGCCACGCGCTCGGTTCCATCCAAACGTCTTGCTTTCCGACGGACATCACATGACCATTGCCATAGGTTGTCGCGGCCGAGGATGGCTGCATATATATGGCATGCCAATATCACAAAGTGCCCCATAGGTTGAAGCCGTGGCAGCCTAGTACTAAGGAGCATACGTACCAAGTACCATGATACTATTGGCGCCGGCGCAATTCACTCTCTCTCCACTCTAGACACAATTGGTTTCATTTGTTACTAGCATATCTTGTAAATAGAGAAAGACAAGGCTTTGGGGGCGAAAAGGGTGTTTTGCTCCGCTCATTTCCGTCCTCGACTCAGCTTGAGCAAACAACAGCTGTGCTTGAAACGTACTAGTATTGGTTTTGCTCTGCATACGAAGCGCCGGTGGCGGCCAGCTATGACGCCAGAACCAATATTGAAGACACTGACTCTACACTAATTTGGACATGATCGTAAGAAATAGGGGAAGAGGCTGGTCGACGGGACGATCAGCCGCAAATAGCCTCCACGCTCGGTGTCGAAGCTGCGTGCCCCCTTGCTGTAGGTTGCCATGCTCGTGGCTACCAGTAGTGCCTAGCAACGATGATAGAGCCCCGTCCAGCTCCCTTCTATATCCAAAACCATCCACTTTCCATCTCTCTTGGCCTATTGATGTTGGCAATTTGATTCTGCTTGCCCATCGAGCAGGGCCAAACCTTGCTGCCCCATGCGAAGGCAAGCAGAGGATCGTAATCCCTCCAATCAGCACTCAGGCGAAATAATGAACAAGGCAAAGAAATCAGCCCCCAGGAGCAAGAGTGCTGTATTGCTGTAGCAGTCGATTCTGCCGCGTGCACGTCCTTGAGCGACCTGACAGCTGCAATTGTAGCACTGACAGCTCCGCTAGAGGGGCCAAGGTTGTGCCGGAGCTCCGCATCCCCAGCCGTACAAACAGCCTAAGGACAAGTGTGGCGGCAATATTGCGCTGTAGTCGGGCTTTCGCTGGCCGCTGTAAACACGACTCCTGTGGCAGGATCCTGAGCAGCGTTCACAGCAAAGATCAATCAATCGATGTTGCAGGCTTAATAATGGCACTGGAGATGCCTTAGAACGCAGGTGTCAGTACTTTGGTAATCCCAAGGCCAAATCATGTGATCGGGCAGATAGGCAGATGGCTCTGAGCTACCAAATCCAGCCAGATGCAGCTTTTATGCATGACAGGAGCTGGGCAGCCGGTCACAAATCATTTCGAAGCAGAACAAGTGACACGGCTGGCCAAAGTTCCTCGTCTCTCTAGCTTATGAGGGGCTCAACGCATCGACCTCGCTAGCCTTGTGACAAACCCGCAAACAAGGGCGCTTCGGCCGAATGCCTCAAGCTTGAAGAGCTTATACGTGGAATAGATACCCGGTATCTCATTCAAGCTGTCTTTCTGCATTTCTTTTTAGAATTCTTCAATCTTCTCGCTCAAACAGTGCCAGAGTAGAGTGCATCAGTCCTGTCGAAATTCCATCGAGACACAATCGCCAGCATGGAGCTCAGCCAGCAGTCAATCCACGATGTCATTCATCCAACAGCAGCATTCTGCGATGAGAGTGTTTGGAAGCAGGCTGCCGCGGTGGCTGCCATCCACGACGCCAGAGATATTCCGTGGCAAGAGTCCCTGTTGAATCCCAAGAACCGTATCGACAGCCTTGAGCCTCTCAAGAAGCCCTTGTGGCGTATCGATGGCTGCACTGCATTTGGAACCCAGTTTTATGCCGTGCCTCTTTTCATGGAGTCGATTCCTCCCTTTCGGATTGACGTCTTCATCCCTGAGCCAGCGACGCTCTCTCCCGAGCTTCGCAACGTCCTCGATATGGGAGTGGCTTTCTACACGAGAGATGAATCTCGCATCTCACAGCTTGGAGTTACTCAGCATTTGCTCCGGCTGCTTCAGCATTGGACGTCGACCCTGAAGGACCCGCGCCAGATATATCAAAACATACCCTTTGGCTCGAGGATCGTCTTCAACAACTTCCCCAAGGACATCAGCCAGGCTCAGGTCTCCATCGCCCCGACGTACTACCTCGAGCGCCAGATGCTGTCAGTGGCAGGATTCCAAAAGATCTGGGGTCCAGAGGTGGATCTACCTCAGACTGTCGACATTCACGACGTCGTGTATCTGTCACAGTTGCACGACAGCGTCTGTCTGATCGAGTATGGGGGGAAAACTTGGATCTTCAAGGCCTTGACGAGCTATACCAAGTACCTCTACCACGAGCTGCGACAGCTTCTCATTATCAAATCTCACCCCAATGTCATGGCAAGGCCAGCTCACCTCATCACAAAGAAATGCACCTTTGGCAATAAGACGGCCGTGCTCGGGTTCACGCTAGAGCTCCACGTTCATGGCAGCCTGCGTGACTTGATCCCCTTCTTGCAAGTACACGATCAGGTATCGCTGGCGGACAAGGCTAAATGGTCTGTCCAACTCGCCTCCGCCTTGGTGCACCTCCGTGAGACGTGCGGCGTCTTCTATCCGGACCTCCGGCTTGACAACATTGTGTTGACGGGATCTGGTGATGTTGTCATGGTTGATTTCGAACAGCGTGGCGTATGGTGTGAGTTTGCAGCACCAGAGGTCAATGCCATCGAGTACGTCCGGCTGCTGGCAATCGACGATGAGATTCCTTCGGAGATTAGAGACAAGTATGCTGCCATCCTGACGAGCATGCTTCCCGGATGGGAGGAGATGGGTCAGGGAGAAGACTACATCTGGCCGTGCAAGGGGTACAACGTGCCATGGGCATGCCTGACCCCCAAAGAACAGGAAGCCTGCGAGGTGTACATGCTCGGTCGCGTCCTCTGGTGCATCTTCGAATCTAGCAGCGCTCCCCAGCGAGCTGCCGTCTGGCTCTCCTACCGTTGGGAGCCCCTGGTAGAATTCCCCGGCTACACCCGCACACCACCCGCGATGCGAGATCTCATCGACCGCTGCACCCGCGGCCGCCAAGCTGGGCTTACTAGGCTCATCGTCCGCCGCAGAGACAAGCTGGTGCTCCGAGAATTCGAAAATACGGGAGAGTCCACGGCGCAAGACGTTCAAAACGTGGCGCGCGACTGGTGGGCAAGGGAGATTGCAGACTCTGAGGCGTGGCTCCAGAAACGCGCGGAGGGCATGGAGAGAGGCAACTGGAACGAGAATTACTATGATCGGCCTACGCCGCGCGAGGTTTACGACGAGCTTGACAAGTTCCGCAAGGACAACACTTTGGGCTAGCTAACAGGTCAGCTGCCGTTGTAATAAAAACGCCTGGTCCTATGTGCGAACCGTGAGCTTGCACTTGTGGAAGGGGGAAACGAAGCACATATAAGTCTAGATATACGACGGCATGGCATAAGCACATAAAGAGATGCTTTTTATAGGGAACAAATTGATGACATTTTAGCAGTTTGATCGCAATGTATTGATTTTATTTTGAGCTCTAGTTTATTTTACGCTCGTCTAAAAAAAAAAAATTGGTTTAGTATGGATGCTACTCTATATATAGCTGGTACAGTAATGGTACATGTGCGCCATCCTCAATGGTAATCAAATGAGAACAAGAAGATTAAATAATAGAAGAAAAAGTGAGAAAAAGAACGGTAAGAAAAAAAAAAATACCACGACCAGCGTGGCCAAAATCTAGAAGAGCGAAACGCAATCTGCCCCAACACATATGTTGTTATTCACTTCATTCTCTTGAAGCGTCGATAAGTGCTGTCCTCTTCTTCAATTTGCCTCTTCAGACTAGCCCTCATGATCGGCGTCCTCAGCCTGCTCAGTAGCGACTTGAACTTTTCAAAGTACGACACCGGAGCGCCGAGTCTCCCAATATCGTCGAAAATGGCCTCTAGGCTATGGAGGTGTTGGCTCGCCGCTTCAGGAAGCAAATTAAGCTCCGCAATGGCAAAATCCGTATCCCTGTCGCCAATTAGATAGAGGTACAGGTTATGCTCTGTTCGTGTCGTCGCGCTGCCAGTGTCGACGTCTTGGTTACGGGATACCACTGCGGAGAGTATGTGGATGAGCGTGCGGGCGGCGGAGGTTGCCTCGGAGGGCTGAAGCGGCCGGTCTCGCGTGTATATGAACGATTTGATGAGTTTTGTGCAGCCTAGGATGTGTTTCGCCGCCCAAGGGACGTCTGGCGGTGTTTCTGTAGAAGATGCTGTTGTTGTGGAGGCTGGGTCTGAGGCGTATGCGTCGAAGACGCGGAGCACGCGGTCGACTCGCTGGGAAAGTTTCCTAAAGGAATCGTTGATGGGATCTCTGGGGCGAGATACGGACTGGAAGTAGTTGAAGAAGTGGTGGTTGTCGAGCAGCATGCGGAGGACTGTGTAGTCGAGATCGTTGCGCTTCAGCACTTTCTTTTCACGAAGCGGGCTGCTGCTGCTGTCAAAGATGTCTGGGCGGAACTCTTCCGGCGACATGCCATAGACGGCTGATAGGAGCTCCCGCGACTCTTGGACTCGACGAGATGTCACGTCATCATCCCCCGAGACGGCTTTTGGGTCGACGACTGGACAATGGAGATCATCGGACAAGACGTCAAGGCGATGTTCCGAGATGGCCGTGAAGGGATCGCCGAGCTCTTGCGCGAAGCCGTCTTCAGTCATGGTGAGAGGTGTCTTGGGATCGTAATCGTACAGCGTCTGCTTTGCAAGTCGATCCAAGAGCCATATCAAGTGTGAACATGGCTCGAGCTCGCCGCCATGCCCACAAGAGCATGTTAGTTGAGAGGCGGACCCGTTGCCGGAAGCGCGAATGCGAACGGACTGGGTGACGAGCTCGGTCATTTGAAAAGCATATGTGTCGTCAATGAGCCGGCATTGCTGCAAGGCTATCCTCGGTGGCTCGCTAAAGACCCTTCGTACCGCGTCTTGAGATTCTTCTGGAAGATGATCGATGGCGTAGGAGAGCTCGGATGGGGATTGCACTATGGCGGGCAGCTCGTCGTCTTCGTCACCATCGTCGTCAGAGAGATCCGAATACGACTCGTAATCAGAGCTTGAATCTTCCACGGGCAGTCCTTGTTGGTAGCCAGCCTCCGAAGTAGCAGATAGACGACTGGTGGGAGACATGTCTTCGAGGGTCAGTCTGCTGAATGGGGCGACTGGTATTGGCATTGAATCAGTCGCGGAGTGTTAATACGGACTTGTTCGGCAGCCCCTAACCAATATATGGTCATGTTGCGGTAAGAAGATAAATCGAAAAAGGGGACACCTGACGGTTATATAGAACGGTGCGAAGATATGATGATGTCAAGGGGGGCGTATGACTTGCCAAACCAACAACATTAGCCAACAGCAAGGGGGATATAACCGGGCCTCTCTTTCCTTAGATAGTTGGCGTAAAGGCAATGATGAGATAGAGAGTTAGTGCACCAATTGGGAATATACCTCGTAAGGGCACAAAGAAAGTCGTGCTCGTCGCCTGTCATTGGACGAGAGGCCATGAGCTCGGAGGGGAGGCTGTCTGCCATCGACTGCATGTCTCGCCTCGTTGGATGCCCCCAATCCGGCCCCTCCCATTCCCAAAGATGTCATCAATGCACCTAGAAAGGGGCTGTGAAGGCATCAAAGGCAGAGAAGCCTAGTACCAGCACAATGGAACGGCCTCTGACTGGCCTTGGCGATGCCGGGGCTGGGCCGGGGCCTTCAGCCGGTGATGTGGGACCCGGCCGGAGGCTGTTGCTATTGGTAGTTCGGCCAGGTCCATGGGATGAACACGTCGTGATACTAGAGTTCAGTATATTGAAGCCTGGGATGTGAATGCTGGTTTGCAGCCTCCCATTGGACTCTCTAGATCATCCATCCTCTCCACGCACATGCCCGGATATACTGTCCCTGGCACCTGTATCCATGCATTCACCAGCACAAGTTCCCGGCGTGACTCCGTTGTCCTGCTCTAGACTGCATATCGCGAGGCTTCTTTACCCTATTCTCAAGTCAATATCAGCCTCGCCTGCCAGCTGTTGGAAGATCCAAACCTGTTCCTAGAGCATGGCCAGGCCGGGACGACGGACCTAGCGTCTGCAGCCAAGCCCTTCTGCTGCTATATCGATACCTCGACCTTGGCCTTAGTAGGAGGCCTGAGGCTTTCCACGATGCCGCTCCTCTTTGAAAAGAATCCAAAGAGGTGCTGGAGCTAGAAGAAAGAAGAGGACTCTGTAACTGCGACCTCGTGTAGTCTGCATGTTAGTTTTTGAAACCCGGCCAAAGGACCAACTCCACAAAGGCGACCGCAAAAGAGACCCGAAAAGCGCTGCGCCACGGGCTCGCCTAGGGGGCCTTTGTTACAGCACCTGTGTTGCTTCAAAGCTGCTGCTCCAGAACCCCCCCGGCACAGCGCTCCAGGGCTCAAACAGTGGAAGCGAACAGCGCTCTCGCAGCGGCTGCACCGCCCGCTCCAATGTCCACTTTGGCCGGCCCGTTTGTGCGGCCCGGCTGTTGGTCCAAAGGCCGTGAAGCATCGAGTCCATTCATAATTCACGCTTTTCTAGAACACCGCCCGGCGAGGCGAGGCCATCTCTGCGACCGGCTTGAGAGGTTTTGGATGCGACTGAGATGTACTCCCAAAAATACCTCTGCGGTAGATTCTGAGAGGGTCTCGAGCCCTGTCGGCAGCCCGCGAGGCGTTTTTTTCTTCCTCTTCTGCCCGGCCATCGAGTTGAGAGATACCAGCGAGTGCCGCGTTTTTCAGATCGTCTGGAGGTGAAACGGTGTATCATGTTGCCTGTAGGAGGTAAAATATGGATGGCTTAGTAACGTTTCATAGCGCAGGACATGAGGAGAGCTTGTCGCAGACTGCGACTATAGATAGGTACGTATGCATAGGTAAATATCTCCGTGACCAAAGCAGGCAGAAACGTCCATGCAATCGAGTCATTATTACCAAAGGCATTCAAGCATTGAAAATGATGTCATATTAGCTACTGATAGACAGCCGTTTGGCGAGCAGTTGGCGAACAGTTGGTGAGCTTCATGGATTCTACATTGTGTGCATTGTACGTCACAGAGTCTTGGTTATTACATGTAATTACTTTGAGCAATTCTTCGTCATCTATCACATCGGCAAGGGCCCATGTTTGGCTGGCAAGCGAATAAACGCTGCAGCTGTCATGAATATTGAAACTGGCTCACTGAAACGAAAAAAAAAATTCCAGCCCGTCCTTTCGTCATCTTTGTCAAAGGTTGGAATACGCGTGCGCAGTTGGGGCATGCTGTTGATTTCTCTGGTTAAGGCCTCGGGAGGCAGGAGATGTTCGCTAGTAAACATGGCCGCAAGGTAGGCTCCGACCAAATTCCGAAAAAAAGCAGTTTATATGTGACTTGCTATGTCGTCACTTGCCGTATAAACACCCTTTGATTTCCCAGCTCCCCAATTTGAACCCACCCTTTCCGTTCCCATAAAAGTAAGACTCATTTCGTGATTTGATTTATTTATTTCTTAAGGGGCGATTGATTCGGTAACTACTGGCATTAAGGTTGAAAAAATGAAGTTGTGTGCCAGCCAAGGCGGAAAAACAGATAAAAAAAGATGGTGGTGCATTTGGTTGCATCACTCCGTGGGCAACGTTCCGAATGCGCGTTTTAGGCAAACGTCGGTAGAGCTGCGCGTAGTCCTTCTGCAAATCGGACGGCTCGGGTGTGGACGTGCCCACTGGTCGGAGTGACCTTGGCTGGCGACCTGCCCTTTCGTAGGATTGTCTTGATCTCTGACGAAGAAGAGGAGGACGATGATGATGAGGAAGACCGGCCCGCAGACGAAGAAAAGGTCTTCTTCTGCAGGGTGCCTACAGACCGGTCGGATTGTCAATCGATGCCGTGCTGCTTTTTGAGCTGCGCTAAAGATTCCCGGCGGGCGTCGAGGTCCTCTTTAGATTTTACCATCTTGTCGGGCTGATGATATAATACTGCAGGCGTGTTAGAGTAGGGGCATTACTAGCGTGATTTGGGTAATGATCTTGAATAGAGACGCGCAGTCACGTACCAACGAGATAACGGTTCTGAAAGTTGAAACCGTTCAGTTTGTCACAGGCTTGCTTCGCATCCATGACATCTTCATAGACTACAAAAGCGGTACCCTTGGTGTTGTTGGCAATGCCTTGACGAACCTGGCTGTTGGTTGGGTTAGCATGGCGTACTTTGAAAGAAACAATGAAATTGACGACAGCGATGACTATGACGATAGCCAAGAGGCAGCGCTCGACCGGGTTCTTGGACATACCGAATAGGCCCAAATTTTCCAAAGAGGTCGAAGAGCTCTTCAGGAGTAACGTTGTAGCTATAGACAGGTTAGCGTCAGGTGCACGGCACTCGACTCGATTCGAGATGTAGCGATCGATGGAGGCGTACCTCAGGTTCTTTACGAACAGAGCGCTATAAGAAATTGGTCAGCCAAGGCTCTTTTGAGTCTTTATCTCGGTCGTCTAGGCGAGGCGTGCCGGCCTTTCGGTCGGAGATTCGGGGACCACGAGGCTCGCCGCACGACCAAGACTAGCAACAAAGCCGAAAAAACTCACCGATTGACTTCGGGGGCAAGTTTCCCGCCGCGACTACTCATCTCTTGGATGATTGAGGTTGTGGTGGTGATGCTTCAGACTCGAGTAGGGTCGGAGGTGGCGCCGGAGAGGGAATGCGAAAGATGGATTGGAAACAGAATCCCGGGTGGAGGCACAAGACGCAAGACGGCCAGCGAGAATGGGCGATTGCGGGTGGGCCCTGATAGGACGAGCACACGTGACTCGCTTTTTCCGCCTTATTTTGGGTACGTACCGGTGCTGCTGCTGCTGCGCCCCCACTTTTAATATTTTCTGGTGGTGCGAATGATTAGCGCTGGCTAGTACCTATCAAGACACGTTCTGGGTATCAGCGCTGCCTCGGTGAGAGGAAAAGCACGGTATGGATCGCCTATTTTATGGATCTGATAAGCTGTCACGACGTTATTGGAACAGACGAAGAGGAAAACGAGTACGATCTATATCTAAGTCATATCTACCTTGTACATCCACGCTCGCAAACACCGCTCGCTTAGGCTGATCGCCGCTGCAAGCAAATACCCGCTGCCGGTAAAATCAGTCACACCATCATCGTCAAATCAACTCGCAGTCGCCTTGTCGTCCAACCGCGACACGGCGGCGGCAGAAGAGGACAGAAACACGACACGGTCTGTCAAATCAAACCAAAATCCACCCGCGACGCACAAGGCACGCCGAATTGCATCACGCGCCAGCCTGCTGCAGCGATTCACGGTGGGGATCGGTCTTTGATGAGTCAGGCGACAGGCCATTCAGGGGGCAGCCTGGCCATGCACCCCACGAACGTCTCGGCTTTGACGGCCGGTTGGCGGCCGGTTGACCAGCAAAAGTCCATTTGCGGAACAGTCTGATCTTTTGCCATGAGACTAACCTGCTCGTGCTACTAGCCAATACTTACTTGTTGCTTGTGTAGGTACTAGATACCACTCTGCTATGCCAAGATGCAAGTGCACGTATCAGCCTATCTTATCTTTGAACATGGAGATGCAATTCAGCCACGGGTGACTGGTTCAAGCCTCATGCGGAATTAACTAGGCTACAAGCAGGTACGAAATCGCTGCTTTCGCTTCAATGACTTGAGAATCGATAGTATCAAGGCCGCCGTTCAAGTGACTGATCGCGTACAATTAATTCTACATTGTCATGGCTAAAATATCTCTCATGGAGGGAACGTTAACCCGAAAGAAAATTACGATGTACTATTACCTACCCTGCGCGTGAATAAAAAAATAAAAAAATAAAAAATCCAGGCTCTTAGCAGATGCATGAAAAAAAAGCATGAGATTATATACACATAGTTAGATTAAGGAGAGAGAAAATGAAGCAATATTCTAGAAGCGGCATGTCCAAGGCCTAATATAGCGCTGCGCAATCCTCTTAGCGGAGGTGAGTCTATAGTGAAAGCCTTAACGGCGGATATTTCCAAAGCAACAAACGCTCCTTGTTCAACTGTTCACTCAGCACCCTCCCCTCAGGATATGGAATCCTTCAGGATGCATTTCCCCCTTCCTCTGTTATAAAACTGCCTGTATATCTTGCAAATATTGCTACCATGCCATATCATCTATTTTGCTCTACGTCTATCAAATCTTCCCCTCCTGGATATCGAATATCAGCGCCGCGCACACTGAACTGCGATCCGTGAATTTCAACACCATGTCGATGTCCTTCGGCCACACCATCTTGTCTGTATTTGACGTGTGGGACGACTCACTAGCATTCCTCTCTGAAATATTGGAGTCTGGCGACGCGCCAAGAAATGAATTGCAACATCTCTTTGACCACAGCCTGACCGGCGGCGCACAAGACTGGCTTTATCTGATCGACTGTGCACGATCAAGGCGATGCATGCAAGATCACGACCCCGAGAGCCTTGACGGTGGCGACATTCTTACTTTTGTTTGGGAGATACTGAACGGGTTCTATGGAGGGTCATCAGCTGCTGAACCGTGGGGAGAGACTGATCGCCTGATTGCGCTCGCCAAAGACTTGGAGAGAGACGTTGAGATTTCACCGCCTATGCTTGCTGCCTCGCAACAGGCTCAGGAGACTGTATCTTCAAGAAGACGGCGCGCCACAAAACCGCGACCAGGAGTAACATCTCATTTCTGGACAGACAGGCTTTCAGCCCAAAGTGGCAGCATAAAGACCGAACAGAGCACGCGTTTGGATCGATCTGTACCTGGATCCGGCTATCGCCAATGCAGCCAAGCACGGTTACACGAAGAGGCCGTCCATCCGAGCACGAGAAACGCCGTTGAGGTCGTTGGTTTTGAAGGTCAATCTTCAAACCTCCTGTCATCATTTGACTATCTTCGCTTGAATGACTTAAGGCAGCCTCATACTATATGTAAATCGGAGGATGAGAAGAAACCGTCAAGAAATAGGCTCTCTAGCAAATCACCTTACTTCCAGCAGCAACCGCCCGCACAAAGAAGTTCCTCAAAGAAGCGGCCGCCAGCAGGTACCATCTCATGCATCCCGTTTCCCCCTCTCGATTCACCGTCATTTGGCATCATCCAAGAGGAGCTGGCTCATGACCCGTTCTGGTTACTCATCGCCATCACGTTTCTGATAAAAACCAATGGAAAAGTAGCTCTACCTGCCTTTCGAAAGGTTAGAGAGCGCTTTCCCGCGCCGGCTGAGCTATTAGATCCGTCCATCGAAGGAGAGCTTCTTGACATGATACGCCACCTCGGTCTCCCTAACGTACGGCTGGCGTATATCCAAAGATATGCAAAGGCATTTGTAGAAGATCCCCCAAAGGCTGGCGTACGGCACAGAGTGAGAAACTACGACAAACGTGCCATCAGTCCTCTATGGAGAGATGCCAGCAGCGGCGACTCGGAAGATCCGGAGAGATCGCATCAACTATCCGATGGCGGCAGCCAGAATCTCGAAACGTGGGAGATCGGACACATGACTCAGGGCAAGTATGCCATCGACAGCTGGCGCATATTTTGCCGCGACGAGTTGCTGGGTCGAGCCGAAGACTGGAACGGGAAAGGCCGGGAGCCCGAGTTTCAACCTGAATGGATGAGAGTGAGACCGGCGGACAAAGAGCTGCGAGCGTGTCTGCGCTGGATGTGGATGCGCGAAGGCTGGGAATGGGATCCGGCGACGGGAGAGCGCACGGTATTGAGGGAGGAGATGCAAAGGGCTGTGAATGAAGGGAGGGTTGAGTATGATGATACTGGAGCACTCAGGATATTGCCCGGGCCGAGTGATGGGAATGACATGGAGATGACATGAAGAGAGCCGGAGGAAGCTGGACGAAAGTGACAATAAGTATTTAAGCAAGTATATAAGCGTATATTCTGAGAGAAAAGGTGCGGGATAAGACACTAGTATTCAGCCACATAGATTAGATGGATGTTTGACGCATGTTGGAGTTGGATACATATTGGTCTTGGTATTAAGGTAATTCATTCTGTCAAAGCACAGAGACTAGATTAAGTGTAGACGGCGAAGCGCCGGATGCTAGGCGAGCGATAAATTCACGTCGTTCATCATATGGAGCAGATTAGACGATATTGACAGGGAGTTTCCGCATCCGATCCGATTTAGGCTTGCCTGTTACGGGGAATTCAAAACAAATGACACATGTCTCACCACCTACCAATAGTGCGGTTGTCGAGTATGTGTTTCAAGGGACTTTGGCAGGGCTCCGTGAATAACCACATGTGCCCACTTATGGCACCTACCTGCTTTGACTACCTAGGCACCGCAAACCAAAGTTCCCGCATCTGCATCATTATTCCAGTCATTGTACAGGAAGAGAAGGGCGCCGGAATCTTTCCAAGTGGACCGGGTCTAGCGATCCACAACTTGCGATTTGTTTAGGCAGGTGGGACTTTGAAAGTATTGAATGCTTCGTGCCTATAAGTACAAGTGGGTGTATTCTACTTTACAAATGGAGAAAATATTCAGTTGAACAGAACTGCCTACCAGTGTCTCGCAATAAAGGTGTCGGTTTTCATTGTTTGAAGTAGCATTTCTTCTTGTGGGGAACTACTGACCTCCAACGTAGACGACATCGTCTGAGCGCATGTCTCTATTGAGGAACACAGCGAGTGACTTTCTATCGACATGGTACAGAGTGCGCCAAAGGAAAAGAAAAAGAACATATTAAACGTACAGCAAAAAAAACCAAAAAAATACTAGTAGCATCAAAACCAAAAGGTGTCAATTTTATAGATTGAGCCTGTGTCCCCTGTAAAGCTTGGTTGAATAGGGATCCTCAATAGATGATGCGACTGTGCGTCACATGCTAACTGCCTTGGACATGGTAAGACAGTGTTGTAGAAAGAAGCGCACAGATAGAATTCAAACGTGCCTATCCCACTAACTGCTATGGAACCTAATTTCCCGGCCAGAAAAACTCAAAACACCAACGCATGCTCTGGAGCTTCTCGTCCCCGTTAAGACCGTTTGTCCCAATCGATGCTATGTCCACAGAAACAGAAAAGAGAACATGATCAATCCTACAGTCAAGGATAACCTGATGCCAAGAACTTTTGCCGCGATAGCTAGTGGTACCTTCTATTATCTTAGTAGTAGTTTATTTTTGGCGTCTCTCACCCCGCTTGCCGCAGTGCGTACAGGTACTAGATCCGGCAGCCCGCAATGGCGCTCACGCGAGTATTGCTACTGCGTGCTGCAAGCATTCAAACGGCCTGCCTGCAAAAGCTTGAATTGGCTTCCTCGCCACAGGGCCCAATTAGGGAGGTCCAGCTGCTGCTGACCCGGACGCAGCTCTATTAGGGATCTGCCTACGGTATCTACTGCTATAGTAAGTACCTCCTGGGTGTAGGTACGAGACGTGTCAAGCTCAGGCGAGTCAAAACGCCGCCGTCAGAGGTTGGGCGCGCTACAGGTACCGGCAGCAGGCCTTCATTCCGCCCGGTACAAGCCTCCCTCGGCAAAGCTACATGCCGTCGCGCACAGCCTCGCGCCGCGCCCAAGTTCTTGGAGGGGCCACGGCAGGTACCTGCGTGAGAGAACGACCGCAAAGCCACAGCTGGGGGATCGCTCACTGATTCGACTCCACCACCTGGTAAAAAGTGGACACCTCGGGACCTGCAACATCACGGGATTTGGAAAGGACACAGTGGTATGTAGGAGGATAATCCGAGCGTTTTTGAGGTCATAGCCATCGCCAAACCTGCTCCCCTTCGCCCCTCCTCCTGCTGCAATCTCGCTTCTGCTTCTCCGGCGCACAATTGCCCTCATCACACCCAATTCGACCACCCGGTGCTTCTTCTGAGCTGCCTCGGGCGCGCTGCTGCTTGTTGATCTCGCCAGCTCTTTTGCTTTGGTAGCTCCGGATCGGATCGCATCTCATCGCATCGCATCGCGCTGCACCGAAAAGCTCCTCTTCAACTTGCTCCAGGAGCTCCAATAAGTTCAAGTCGCTGAACAGGGCCCGCAGCCGTCGGCAACACCCTCGAGAGGCAGTCAAGGAAGCAAGGTCGAGCTTGGAATAGGAAGAATAAGGAAAAAAGTCACAGGACAGCTCTGGTCAAAATGTCGCACCGTGGTCCTTCTGGCTATGGCATTGGCGGCCCCAGCGCCTATCCTGGAGGCGGCGGAAGTGTTGGAGTTTCCGACGAGTCCAACGGAGGCAGCATCTTGGATCAGCTGCGGCCGTACACCAGCAAAGTCGAGGATATCCTGGACACTGCCAGCGAGCCCATCAAGCCGTAAGTGGTCACGATCGCATAAGTGGAAGGGGCTCAGCAGCTAACGCGACGGCGCATTACAGGTATATGCCTGCAATTGGAAGGTTCTTAATTGTCGTTACTTTCCTCGAGGATGCGCTCCGAATCATCACCCAATGGAGCGACCAGCTGCTGTATCTTCACGATTACCGTCACAGTAAGAATTGGCCCCAGCGCATTCGCACATTGTCCAATGTGTCTGTTTTATTCTGGAATGCATATGCTAACGCGCTGACTAGTTCCGTCCGGAATCACCCATCTCTTCCTCCTCTTCAACGTTCTCGCCATGGTCTCCTGCTCCACTCTCGTCATCGCCAGAAAGTACTCTGATTACGCCGTTGGAGGGCTCATGAGCGTTGTGGTTATCCAGGCTTTCGGCTACGGCTTGATCTTCGATCTCAACTTCTTCCTGCGAAACCTGTCCGTCATTGGTGGCCTCCTCATGGTCCTCTCTGACTCTTGGGTCCGCAAGACCAAGGCCTTTGCCGGTCTCCCCACCTTGGACGAGAAGGACAAGAAGATGTACTTCCAGCTGGCCGGTCGTGTTCTCCTCATCTTCCTCTTCATTGGCTTCGTCTTCAGCGGCGAATGGTCCTTCTGGCGCGTCCTTGTCTGCATCCTTGGCGCTGGCGCCTGCGTCATGGTCGTCGTGGGCTTCAAGGCCAAGTACAGCGCTACGCTGCTTGTCGTCATCCTGAGCGGCTTCAACCTGTTGGTCAACAACTTCTGGACTGTAAGTTTCTGCGCTCTCATCTCTTCTCCGTCTTTCAGCTAACAGGATTTTTCTCGCAGCTCCACGAGCACCACCCCCACAAGGATTTTGCCAAGTACGACTTCTTCCAGATTCTGTCCATCGTCGGCGGTCTGCTTCTCCTGGTCAACAGCGGCCCTGGCCAGTTCAGCATCGATGAGAAGAAGAAGGTTTACTAAGTCCGACGAAAAAAAAAGTAACGGACAAACCCCAGTGTTTGGATTTGATGGCACGTGAGCAATGCTGCTCTTCTACGATCTGGAATTGCATCACAAAAACTCTTTGTTGGAGTTATCTTTTTTCTACCTTGTTTGGGCTGTATGGGATCAATGGGAAGTGGATTTGCTGGTATGAGTCTACATGACGAAGTATGGACCTTTTAGGATGTTGCAAGTTATGCACATACTACATAGAGAAAGAAAACGAAAAGAATTATCAATGTCGGGAGTCACGGAGGGAGAAGGGAATCGGGAAATATAAAAAAAAAGATATGTTTACTCAATGCATATGTTTTATGCCACTCCGCGCTTATAAGTATGTGAATCGTGATATAAACCACTGGCTTAACGTCTTCTAACCAATGACATGTATAAAATCTTTATTCATTTTTTATCTTCAAATTAGACTCAAAAAAGTAAAGATTTTATACATGTCATTGGTTAGAATTGAGGATCGTGTGGGTATAACGTCGGGTAGCAACGCGAAGGGTAGCTCTAAGACAGGTTGTCGGCCTCCCGCAGCCTCGTTGAATATCGGGTGTTATGCAAGGACGAAAAACGGCCACGATGTCAGTGTTTTGCTAACATTAACTTGTTAATTCTGTCAATTGGTCAAGCTGGCCCACCGTCTTGCCAAGCTCACTCTGTCGTTTCGTGTGCAACGATCTGCTTGCTGCGATCCATTTGCTCTTGGTCAGGGAAATATTTGCCCTCCCGTTGCGATAGCATCTCTTTTCTAGTTGTTGCAGTACAGCCCTCTCCACCCTTTGTCAAAGTCATCAATGATTCGAAATCCCGGGCTTGGGGTTGCCTTTGAATCACGGCCGGTCTAGTTCAAGCGTTCATGATGGCTCCTGGCCAAGTCACAGGCGATTATTACGAGATTCTCGGCGTCTTACAATCCGCAGGAAAAGATGCCATTCGGACAAGCTATAAACGGCTTGCTCTCTTGCATCATCCAGACAAGAACCCAAACAATCCTAAAGCCACAGCTCAATTCCAGCTGGTAAGTCATCTAATGCTATTTCACCGCCAAAGACTTTTGCAGTGGGATTGTAACCTCCTCTAGATTGAATCTGCCTATTCTACCCTGTTTGATCCCGACCGACGACGGATCTACGATGCCCAATATGCTTCCATACGAGCTCAACGAGTAAATACGGCTGGCGCCAGTAGTCAAAGCAACCCGTCGCAGCGAACAAGTGACCCAAAGTCTGAGAATTCCCAAAAATTCAACGAACAAATGGAGGTTCTGAGCGCGGCGCTGCAGCATCTCTATACTAGACGGAATAGGCTCGAAAGCGAGCTATTCGAGATCAAACGCGAGTGTAATCGCAGCCAAGCAGCACTCGACAAGCTGCAAAGCGAAGCAGATAAAGACGCTCTGGAACAGGCCAGGCAGAAGAGCTGGTTTGGCTACTTCTTCTCTGCGCCGCAGTCAGAGGGAGACAAGGAGGAGAGGCAGAGACGCATACTCAACAACAGGGCCGCTCGAACTGTGCGGGAGGCAGAGATAAGCTCCCGCAAACGTATCATGGCGAGCAAGCAACTAAGCATCGATGCTCTCAATGAGCAGATAAGGCAAAAAAATGTGGACAAGGAGATATTACAGCAGCGAGAGAGGGCGCGTGAGGAAGCTGTTCGGAGGGCAGAAGAGGTACGGCAAAGAGAAGCGATGCGGAGAGAAATGGAGAGGCAAGAAAGAGAGAGGCAAGAAAGAGAGAGGCAAGAAAGAGAGAGGCAAGAGAGAGAGAGGCAAGAAAGGCAGAGGCAAGAATGGGAGAGGCAAAAGAAAGAGAGGCTGGAAAAAGAGAGGCTGGAAAAAGAGAAGAGAGAAAACGAGAGGAGAGAAAACGAGAGACTAGAGCAAGTTCAACGAGCGTTGCGTGAGATGGCTGAGAGATTACGAAAAGAACAGGAACCCCAACAGTTTCGAAACCGGCCTCAGCCAGGGAAAGCGAGAAAAGGGAGGCAAAAGAAAGAGAGGCTGGAAAAAGAGAGGCTAGAAAAAGAGAAGAGAGAAGATGAGAGGAGAGAAATTGAGAGACTAGAGCAAGTTCAACGAGCGTTGCGTGAAATGGCTGAGAGATTACGAAAAGAACAGGAACCCCAACAATTTCGAAACCGGCCTCAGCCAGGGAAAGCAGAAAAAGAGAGGCAAACGAATGCGAATGCAAATGCAAATGCAAATACAAATGCAAACGCAAATTCGAAGCGCAAGAGGAATAAAACTAAATCAGAAAGGACAAACCCTGGACAATCGGCCGGAGCAACGACAAGCAAACCAGCTTGCCTTCACAAGTGCTGGTGGGATCGAGAGGAAGGGAATCACGTATGCGAGCGATGTTTAAAGACGACGTCCCGATTCGCCTTTCGTTGCAGAAGTTGCCGCACAGTTGCGTGTGCTAAATGCCGTGACGTGATGAAGTCCAAGGTTAGTATTATATTATATCATCGGTTGCGTGGAGAGGAGAGGCAAAGGCTTTCATGAGATGCTGACCAAAAGACTAGAAGCAGATGCCAAGGGGGCCGCCCCAACGGAACTGGGACTGGGATTGAGATTGTGATTGGGATCGGAGTCAAGATAATGCCAGCCTGTGATTTCTTCACGCAAATCGGATTGCTTGTTTGGATTTGTTTCGTTTCCTGCCTGCTTAATATCAATGCGTCTGGATTCAGCTTCGACTTACACAAGGACATGAAACGCCAATGAACAGGGGGCTCTGGGGACTGGAAATCTACATGTTCGTTACCTGATATGTTTGATGACGTGTACGCATGGAATGATTGCGCAATCTTGTATCGTAGAGATGCATTTGGTTCATTTATTAAGCATACTGAGTAATCGTTTATTAAGCATATTGAATCTCATTCCTGGATGAGTTTGTGTAAAACCACCGATACTAGAAAGACTTCGAGTCACTTACCCATATAAGAAAGACTTTGAGCAACTTACCCATATAAGAAAGACTTCGAGTCACTTACCCATATGAGAAAGAGTTCGAGTTACTTACCTATATGAGAAAGATTTCGATATATGAACATCAACAAGACTATGAATTGCGCAAACAAAAGTAAATTATCCAAATTTCTGCGCTTAAAAATACATGATTCGCTTTACCATAGTGCTTTGATTATATTTTGCTTTCGCAGTATTAATTTCCATCAATGTCCCTCAAACAAGAATCCCGCTTGAAGAGGTCGATCCTGCCTCATCTATCATCACATCCAAAACGGATTGCTCATTTGTAAACCAGAATTGAAGGGTCCCTTGCATCGGACAACATGCCCACCCCTCTTCATCATGCTTATGTTTTGATTGGTTATCACTGCTGACCTTTGTTCCTTTCAGCTCAATAGACGTTCTTGGACGAATACGAGTGACTCGAGCAAAGCACAAGCATGCGGGGCTCTGGTACGTGCACACCGGATCCAGTCCAATCCGGCATTCACCGAGGGCGCGCTGGGAACCGTTGTTGTACTCTGCCAGGATTCCCCGGCAAAGACCAGTTTCGGCGTCTGAATATATGTGCAGAAGAGCTATGTTCTCCAGGGGCGCAGACGAGAAACACGCGTCTTGGAACAGGGGCTTGCTGAATCGAGCAAAAGGTTGCATCTCGCTGTTTTGGTTGGGATAAGCACTCATAGCCGAGATAGCCGCAAGCTCTGCCACGTTGAAGATGAGCAGCAGCTGTTCTTGTACGGGCCATATGAAATCCTGCGTTGGTCCTACAAAATTGGGCCCGACCATGACATCTCCAGCCAATTCGAAGCGGAACTAGTAATCCGTGTTAAACGAGAGTTTGGGTTCCAAGGCAGGAGGGAATACTATACCAGGTAGGAATAGTCGGATTTAGCCCATGGGGATTTCGTGAACTTGTGGGGAGCACGGATTCCAAAGTGAGTGAGTCGATCTTTTGAAGGGAATGGAACGTAGACCCAGGCAGTGTGGCGTTGGCGTTGGCGTGAAAGTTGATTAAACGTCGTATCGGGACGGGGTCGTCTGCGTGTATGGCTGTGTACGGCGAGGGTAGATCCGTTTGTTACGAAGAATGTAAGGCCATACACCTTTTTGAGATCGATTGTCGCGAATTGGATGGTGCCTGTAATCTTGGGCATGTTTCGGAGACTTTTCAAAGGTGGCGGCGCAGGCGTGTCCCAGAGCTGAAGATCGGCCGCTTCCTTTGATATTTCCAAACGAGCCAGGCCCGACTATTGCGTTTGTTTAGTAAGGGTGTAAGTGGGATGAAACTGCGGTAGTCTATATTAGTGTCACGTACTTGAAACTGTACTCTCACGTCTCTTAACCGATCCTGCGTCTCTATGATATAAGTTTCCGCGTCCGATCGTTTACCAGCAAATGAGGGATAGTCTGTCAGCCTCTCGATTCGTTTTAGTCCCCAGCAGTCAATTGTAACCTTGACAATCGGGGAGAGGTCTCCTCCAACGACGGCATGTTCATCTCGTTCCCACGAGGCGATTCTTGAGAGCGGTAGTGATGGTTGGCAGCTCAGCTCCCGACCGTTCCAATCAGCGGCCAAATCAATAACAGTGCGATAGCGGCTAAGAGGGCTCGGCTGAGCATATGCGCCTATGATTTGTAATATCTCTGCGGGGACAGTCGTCAGCTGGGGTAGAGAACACGCCGTTGCAGCAAGCCGCATCGTTTTTATCGCATCGGCATCAGGGGCCAGTCGAAAGGACGGAGCGCCGTGCCAAGGTCTTCTCCACGCTGCCGTGAGCCACAGTCGATATAGCGAATCGCTAGCCTTGCACCGTTGCCGGAATAAGTTGTAGCAGTCGACGTGGAGCGTTGCAGCGTCTGCGGCGCCATCGTCGCACTGGGAGCATGAGGGTTTGCGGCAGAAGTGCCACTCGATGTCTGCTGCAGCTTCATCGCTGACACCGTAGTCTGGGAAAGTAAACGCATTGATGATATGGATAGAGCGACTCTTTCGAATGGCTACGCCGTGTTAGCAACGAGTCGTAGACATGAGCTTGTGAGGGTACAATACCCGCGACGATTTCCTGCCCAAGGCTGAAATCATCACCACAAGCTCCGCACTGGGGATGAATATGGATGTGCGGCCGACTCATGATGGACTGATTGAATAAGGATGAATAGGTCTCTTATCAGCAGATCCGTCGGCGTCGAAGACTAAAAGGTCTCTTGTTCTGGCCTCTATCCAGTGTTGATACAAAACAGAGGACGGAGCGGAGGATGGAGAGGAAGACGCAATTTGTGTATAAATGATAGTTCCATTGCGGTTAGGATATAGTGACGCCACACATAGTTTGGCTTGAGATTCCGCGATCCAGGCGAAAGATCATTGGCCAGAAAAGGCAATAATGTTGCCTAGCGTCTAGCAGGCTAGGAGGATTCGATGCCAAGTTTATCATGGATATTAGACGAATCGCAGGGATTAGCGAGATGCCGGCATATACAGAAGCGGTTAATATCGATGTTGGTCAAATAGATGCTATACTTGAAATAGGTTAAATAAGGACCAAAAGAGAAATAGCAGGGCTAGTAATCCAATAGTACCTATAATTGCGAGTATACTCTTTCGGCTATGACCCGACGCGTGAATCTGCGTTCATGCCGACATCACTTCTCGAGCGCTGAAAAGTACCTCGCCTAGCGAACGTCTTGGCTCTCCAGATGTTACCCCGTATGAAAACAGTATCTACAGTATCAGTAGGGCTGGTCATTGGTAGCATTGGTAGCATTGCTACTACACAATGTAGGTACATATATGCGACGTATCCATTATTGTTTCTACCGACCCGGTTTTTGTTTCAAAGCTGCTTAATAGTCTGATCAATCAGATACCATTTCGCACAAAATACCCAGGTGGGAATTTATATATTCTCTCAGCCTTTGCTCATCTCCATCTCGTCGGACGTCGTCATCTTCCCAGGCTTCATTACGGTTCCCTTATTTTCAAAGACAACGAGAATACCAAGACATCAACTATGAGCTTCAAGGCCGGTATATTGAGTTTGCCCGGCGCCGTCTTGTTGTGGATACAATGCACCAGCTGAATAAGAATCCTTTATACCTCCCTAGGTAGCTGACATGGGCTTGTATCCCACAATACCACCAGTTGTAGCCTGTATCCCATGTTTGTTTACTATTCAGACTTCACGAATTTGTCTGCCCTGTCTGTTACCAATCGCATAGAAAATGGAGAAGCCGGAGTTACCATGAATATTTTCGGTCTTTAAATAATGCCCGAATCCAGCATGATTATAGTACTTACATGTATATATAGGTACCGAGGTGGAGTGAGCAAGCGGTCAGGATATCTGCCAAGGTAGGTGCCGGTAGAGGTAGCCAAATCAGGCGGATACAGCGCATGAACGCCGTAAAAACACACACCGGCGCAGGTAAGCGAGGAAAATACAATTGAGGCTGAGTCGAAAGGCTGCATATGCGGGGGACTTTTCTATGAGCTTCTTCTCCAATAACCTTCTTTGTGCCCTGTCTTGCTCGCCTGTCAGTGCTTGCTTTTGTCGCGAATCCCGCGTCTTATAGCTTGGGCGCTATCGCTATTTGCCGAACACCGGCTGGCCTTCTCCCCTCCTCCCCTCTCCCCTCCTCCCCACTACCTGAAACCTGCCTCCCTCTAAACAGGTTTACAGTTACATTCACAGCTGAAAGCCGCGTTCGTCACGCACAAAGTCCCAGTCCCAGTCCCAATGGCGGAGGCGCTCGGCACCGCCATTGGCGTGATTGGCTTCATCGGCCAGCTCTTCGACGGCTGCGTCAAGGCCTACGGCTACTTCACCACGGCGGCCAACCTCGACGCCGACAGCCAGCGCATGCTGTGCAAGGTGCGCATCGAGGAGATGCGCCTGACCGTCTGGGGCCGCGAATGGGGCGTCGCCGAGGGCCGGTTTGACGCGCATCTGAGCGAGCGCAACCCGCAGCTGAGGGCGCTGGCGACGCAGATCCTGGAGCAGCTGCACGGCACCGTGACGGACTTCAGGAAGCTGCAGGACCGCTACGGGCTGGTGGACGAGGAGGCGGTGGAGAAGCACGGCGATGACGAGAAGAAGAGGACAAATGGCGCGTCCAGGAGGCGGACGAGTGCGAGTGCGAGTGCGAGTGCGAACGAGAGGAGCTGGAGAAGGGAGCTGGGGCTCCGGACAAAGTGGGTGATTGGAGGTATGTACGCTGTCGTCTGTGTCCTCTCGATGTGCGAGTGAGAAGTGAGCGTGAGAGTGAGAAGTGAGCGTGAGAGTGAGCGTGAGCGTGAGCGTGAGCGTGAGCGTGAGCGTGAGCGTGAGCGTGAGCGTGAGCGTGAGCGAGAGAGCATGGGTGTCATGATCCCATGATGTCGATATACGATATACTGACAGCGGACCCCCAACAGACAAGGACAAGTTCAGCAACCTGCTAAAGGACCTCAAAGGTGTGTATGCAAACCCACCTGCCGGGAAGACGCACCGCTGATATCCAATCCAAGACTTCAACGACGGCCTCGAGCGCCTCTTCCCCCCCTCGCAGGTCCCCTCCTTTCAGCGCGCCTGGACTCACCAGCTGCTCGACCGCGCCCAGCGCGACCTCGCCGAGCTCTCTCTCCTCGAGAACGCCTCCTCGGGCATCTACCCGCAGCTCACCAACTCTGCCACCCTCAAGAAGCTCCGCATCAACCTCGACAGCAAGCCCCAGTCCTCCTTTAAGCCCACCTTTGCGCTGAAAGTCGGTCTCTCCTCTCTAGACATTAGTCATGTCGTCGAAAAGGGCAACAGCAGCACCCAACGCCGGTGCCAGGGCCATCACGTCACCGCAGGAGATGTCCTCATCGAGTGGGTAGACTACGACCGCGAAGCCATCGAGGAGCGCGTCGCCCATGTCCGCCGGATGGACGATCTGGCACGCATGATGCACTCGGCGTCGGAATGCCACCCGGATCTGCACAGCATCGACTGTCTTGGCTACACAGACGACGCCGCCAACAGCCGCTACGGCCTCGTCTACAAGGCCCCCGCCTCATCGCACTCAACCCTCAAGACGCTCATCTCCAGCCCGGATCTCAAGACCCCGGATCTGGACGAGCGCATCCACCTCGCCCGGACCCTCGCCGTGGCCGTCTGGTCCCTCCACTCGCTCGACTGGCTGCACAAGTCCCTCTGCAGCTCCAACATCCTCTTCTTCCCCTCCGCCTTCTCCACCTCGGCCAACTCACCCACCGCCTCGGCCGCCCTCGTCCCGGACATCTCGCACCCGTACCTCAGCGGCTTCGACGCCTCCCGCCCGGAACTCGACACCGCGCTGTCCATGGCGCCCAAGAACCCCTCCATCGAGGATCTGCACCGCCACCCGGGCTCTCTGCGCGGCAGCCCGCACATCAAGTCCTTTGACATTTACAGCTTCGGGCTGGTACTTCTCGAGATTGGGCTCTGGAAGGTGCTGCAGGCGTACTACAAGGTGCACTACTCGGCTGAGCGCTGGCGCGATAAGGTCGTGCTTGCGGTGCTGGTTCCGGCGCTGGGGAGCAAAGTCGGCAAGATATACAAGGAAGTTGTGGAAATGTGTCTGCGAGTGGATGAGGATATGACGAGCATTGAGGCTGGGGAGTTGATGGAGGAGGTTGTGAGCAAGCTGGAGAGCATACGGGTATAATGCAATTATAATGACCGATGATGATGATAATGACCAGCATAGCATGATAAGCAATGACAGGATAAAGCAAAAGCATATACGGCATATAGAAGAGATAGAAGAGATAGGATTGGTATGGGAAAAAACCGTAGACATTTCAACTAGTAACAGTCACAAATCATGAAAATCCCTTTCTGCAAAACTCAGTTGACAATTGATTAGAATAGTTTGATTGAATATCATGCCTAAAATTGATATATGAACAAACACCCCCGCCACCACCCCCCTTTGTTTCCATAGCCAGACAAGCAACCAACATCAGCAATATCTCATTACCCAAATCCTCAAAATTCCAACACTCAGTAGTCCAAGCCGGCAGTCGTAGTAGCTAAAAAGAAGAGGATAAAAGGTATTGAAGAGCAAGAAGAGAAGAAGAAGAAGAAGAAAGAGAAGAGATAACAGGAAAAAGAGCTGAATGAAACCGTAATAGAAAAAAAAAGTTCAACCAGTACCATGCTAGAGAAAAAAAAAACGTTAAGAGTTGAAGGGAAAAAAAAAAAAAGAACCAATATACCCCAGATGCCGTCCTTTCCCTTTCCGTCCATTGCGCCGCCGCCATCGTAGCTTTCTTGTTTCTCGTTCCTCGTTCTCTTTCTCTTGAGCCTCTGTTAGCTTTCTCCTTCGCCCCCTCTTCCTCTTGATCGTAAGCTTCGTTCTGGCAACTTCAAGACAACAACTTCCAGCGTTGTAGTAGCAGTGGTATTGGTGGTGGTGGTGGCGGTGGCGGTGGTGGTATGGTGGTATAAAAGTCATCATCCTGCTTCTCGCCCGTCGCGCCTTGGAATACTAAAACGCCCGTGTATATGCATACGCATGAATCGCTCGTAATAGAATAAAACGTGAAGTCATGATCGTTAAGATGAAAAGTTTACAAGATGCTCGGCCACTTCCCTGTGAATGGCCGCTCCGGCTCGCCGCCTCGTCACGCTCGCCTAAGACGTGCCAGAGACTCTTCGAGCGGTCGACGATGCCGCCGGCGATATGCCTGCCCCGGCGCTTCCCACGCGGCCACTCGTCTTGCGGACACCAGCAGATTCCTTGGACCGCAACGGTGAATCCGCAGCTTGCCGTCTCGCGCGCACCTTGGCAAGCGTGCCAGACTGGCTGGAGGGCCTCTCCGCAGATTTGGGCTTCACGGTGCCTATATTCTCGGCATCAAAAGAAGCATCGTTGTCGATTACAAAGCTTGCGCTCTGACTTGTCGAGGTCTTTTCGGTATTTCGGTTGGATGACTGGGCCGCTTTGCGTTGCTTTCGCATCCGCAAGTGGTGCAGCTGCTCCTCCTCCGGCTCTGGGTTCCCATGGGATCGACGTTGAGGCGTCGGCGCCGCAGCAACCGCCTCTGCTTGTGCCAGCATCTGCTCCTCAGAGCCCGATCTACCATAATGTTGTTGGTAACGATCTCGTGCTGCCTTTCGTGGCTGGCCGGGTGTTGGCGCTGGTAGATAGTCCTCATGGACCCCGACATTGCTGCTGCGATCGTGGTCTACTTCGCTGAGTGGTGTGCGGTTGGATGGGCTTCGGTTGGAGGGTGTCGTAGCCTGCAGGTTTCGCGAAGACTTTGTAGCTCGCATGGGTGTTTGAGGCACTTGGTGGCCGCCAGCAGCAGCGGCAGCGGCAAACTCTCTTCTGAGCTTTCGCTCGATGCGCTCCTCGATCCACCACTCTCGGAAAGTGCCCTGATTCAGATGCAGCCAGTGCTGCTGAGGCCCAACAACCATGCCGGGTCTCATAAACCGCATGAAAGAAATAACCTCGTTGGCGGTGAAACCATGGCGGTAGATCAAGTAGGCGCCAATGAGGCAGCCAGTACGGCCCAGACCAGCCTTGCAGTGAACAGCCACGCCCCTCTTCTTGACGGTAATCGTCTCGTGGGCCATGCGAATGAACTTGCGGACCATGGAAAGAGGGGGGCAGGTTCCGTCATCGAAAATCATGTCAATATGCTGGATTCCCATGGACTCGAAATAAGACGGAGAGTAAAGATGTGAGTTTAGCCGGACGACAAGGCCAATGTTGCGCTCGCTGAAGTGGGAGAGCACGTTCTTGAAAGGCTGGGGAAGAAGCGGATGATCTTCAACTGCGGCGACGTCTCTAGGTAGCAGCGGATAGAGCTCAGAGCCTTCAGTAATCTTGGCCACCGGCGCGTGCTGGGGAGAGGCAAAGGCAAGGAAGTTGGGGGTGATCCAGTTGAAGTCGCCGTGCTCGACTCGCTCATACATCTCGTACTGGTCCAAGTCAAAGTTATCCAAGTCGCAGCACTTCTCCTCCTTGGCCTTCCAAACGCCATACACCACATCTTGGACGCTGATTCCGTAGTCGGCCTGGCTGTAGCCGGCGTCTCGGAAGGGCATCAACGGAGGGTCGATTTGAGCAATCGGGGCCAGGGCCAGGTGAGGTGGCCAGTTCTGGATCAGAACCATATAGCAAGCCAGCATGCAAGCAGCATTTGCGCGGCCTATCGTGATTAAAACCGTTAGTTAGGCCATTATGCACTGCAGGCGGCAGAGACTCACTTCTCGGGTCAGCAAGACTGTAGAACACAATGGGTCGATCCCGGTTCTCCTTGGCGCCCAGAATATCGTGGAACTTGATAGCAAACCGGTACAGGTGGCCAATGTGCAGAGGGCCAAAGTCGTGGTGGAACGCGTTGTACAGAAGAGTGTCATCGACGGTGAAGTAGCAGGGCGGGTTCTTGTTGGTGACCAGAGGCGCCGGAGCAGCGCCGTCGGCATATCGAGACGCTCGTTTCCGGGGCGATTCGGTGCCGGGCAGCGGCGTGTCTGGATCCGGGGTGCGAACGTAGGCGCCGAGATATAGTCGGTCTGCGAATCGAGAATCATTGTCAGCGCCAGCAAAGAAAAGAGTGCAATTGCCCAAAAGGAAGCTGTCCTACCTGGTATGTATTCGACTACATGGCCCAGGTTCTGGGAATGTCTGGTAGCAGGAGCCATATTTCCAGGCTCGCTTTTCGCAGATCGCAGCAGCGAATCGTTGTTTCCGACAAGCAATTCTAATATACCACAACTTGTAAAATGCTGATTGAGGATGCAAACGGGGATACCAAATTGCGCGGTGCAGGTGCGCAAAGACAAGGGGAATTAAAAAGCTGCGGTGAAGCTCCAAAAAAAAGGGTCGTGTGATCGGTTAATGTAAACAACAAAAACGACAGCTTATAAAAGGGGGGGTTGGCTTCGGTAGGTTTTTTTTGGATATCAAAAAAAGAAAAAAATCCACCAGAGTAAAACTCAATTGAAGCCTCAATTACTCCACCGTCGATGAGTCTCTTCGTCTCGTCGCAAAAGAAGAATAAATTCGTCGCGGGATAGCGGGTATTCCGGGGGTGTATGTGGTTGCGGCGACTGCACGACGAATACGCCTTGGCGGTTCTCGGTCACCTTCTCTCTCAGTCTCCCGTCTCTTCTTCCGTCAATGCTGTTCAACCAGAGAAGCTCCCAAGCAAAGATATTAAACTAAAGAAGAAGATGTAGACAGACCAAGCCTTCGTCTGGAGAGGGAAGAGGTAGAGAAGGGATGGAAGGAGGAAAGGAAGAACCCGTGAGCGAGAGGGGAAGCGAGAAGAGGAATCAAGAGGAAAAGTGATGCTTGGACCTGGTGATATGTATGGGCCGTCACGGTGTTTTTGTAACAGGGGGGGTGTTTAGCTGCAGATGTTATGCTTACAGGGCGCTTTCAGCCCCTATGAAGCCTGTTTCGCCAACGCCTAGAGCCAGCGCATGCGCTGTTATGGCGGGTCGCGGCTGCGTCGCCACAGCAACATCACAACATGGTCCAAGCGGCTGCTCTGCTGGCACTCCAGTCTACTAGTAGTAGTACCTTAGCTTTGCTGCTGTTTGCTGCGGAGATACGTACCCCCGGCGCTGGTGTGTTTTTCTGCCCACAGTTGGGCTTCGACACCTGCTCGCGCCACACTGATTTGTGGCTGATATCCATTCCACGCGCACTACTACAACATCGTCAGTCACATCATCAGGGCGCAAAAGCTTCCATTTTCCCATTCCTCGCATACCAGCCGCCGTCGACGACTGCAGATCCACAGCAACCACCCCCCCGGTCTGTTATCCTGACGCGCATCAGCCACTCAGCTGCCTTCGCTTAAAACCCTGTTCGAGCGAAAACAACGAAGACGAAAGGCAAATAATAAGAAAGAGAAGAGCTCAGAGTGCCGTCCTTGATCAACCAAAAATCATCAAAGCGCCAGTACAACAAAGAACATTTAGATTACCATATCAAACCAAGAGCACAAACCTAAAAAGAAGACAAAGAGAAGCAAAAACTGCGCCGCTGTCTCGGTCAAAACCACTCCCCCGCCGCTGGCCGGTTGTCCCGTCACAATGAGTTCCGATCCCAAGTTCCCATGCAGCATGCAAGTTTACAATGTCCCCTCGTTTCCCTGCCAATCGATGGTGTTTTTAGCCAACTTTCCCTCAGTCTCTAACCGTCAGAATCTTGATTTCTCACAGACATCTGCAATTCCCCTTCCCCACACCCCGACTCGCCTCCACGGCCCTCAAGGCCCTCCAAGTCGATCCCGAGCTGTCGCCCCTCGTCCAGAGACACTTCTCCATCGGATCTACTTCGTCGACCGAGCCCGAGCAGACTGCGCAAGTGCTGCAGGTGGAATACCAGGCGACCACGAATCGCATGCTGCGAGTTGCCGTCAACTCCTTCATGGAAGGGCTCAAGCTGGTCTTGGAGGTCATGGAACAATTAGATGTCGACGTTCTGGCGGCAGAAAGCAAGACAGCAATCAAATCTGCGTAAAAATACTCCCACAGCTGTCCTATGCTTGGTACCCAACGTGAAACACCGCTATACACCTATACCATACCACGATGGCACTGAGCAGTGCCAGCCACCTAAAGAAACAATACAATAAGATCGACGACCTCTCGATAGATAACCATGAAAACTGTATGACGAAGAAATGATACGCTTTCAGTTGCGTAGTGATATTCAGGAGTTTATTCTCCACAGAGTCTAGATTACACTATCATGCATATAATAAGATAATAAAGAAACAGAGTAATAAAAGCCAAAGCAAGAGCAAGCAAAAAAAGAAACGCGTCTCCCCATTTGACATCAATGCATACCAAGGACAAAGAAAGTAAGAAAGGGGGGGAATTGAACACTGAGAAATCGTAAAAAGGCCACCCAAATATGCCATATTCTTCCCCGTTCCTCCACTCCTTGCCAACCGGAAAAACCACACGACGCAATATCATGTATAATGATCATATCCCATTGATAACACCATATTCCCGCTCCAGCTCGTAATGCTTCTGCTCCACACATATGTATGCTCTCCGATATCAACGTCAGCTGGCTTTTTCAGGCTCGTCTGCTGCCTCGTTCGCCATTTTCAGATCTCCTTGGGCATCCGGTCCCCCGCCGGCACATTGCTCCTCATTAATCATTGGCAGCGTCTTATCGACACTGTTGCCGTTTGATCCTGTCAGCTTCTCAAGTTGCTCTTTCAAGGCCTGAAGCTCTTGCTTCAAGTCCCCATTCTCCTTCTCGAGACTCTTCATATGGACAATAGCATTTTCCACGACGCTGGCTTTGCTGTTTGACGCATTACCTTGCTTGTCGCCTTTCTTATCGCTGTCGTCGCCCGAAGCTATCTTGTTCTTGCCATCCGGGAGGAGGCTCGCCATGATTTGCAAAGCGGAGTTAATTCGGTTACGACGGCCTTGTTCAGCAATTTTATGAGATGTCCGCTTTGACGTGAGGTTTGTCGACAACTCGCTGGGGTAAGATACACCGGGTACTTGGTTGCCTTCTAAGATATTTTGATAGTTCGATTTTGACATCAACAGTCGCGACGCGTGGTCCTCAACAGACATTCCAGGCGTCCCGGGAAGAAGGGGTTTGATGTTGGGAGATATCCTGGGTAGCAAAGCTGGAGAGGCGTGGATCGAGCCCGTAGATCGTTTACGGCTGTTGCGGGCAGATAGCTGCGGTGTCTTTCGCTGACTGGAGCCAGCTGGCCCAGGCAGTAAAACAGGACTCTGGGTTGCTGACGATGTTCCTGTCGCTCTCACAATCGGTGAAGGCATAGACTGAAATGTAACTCCCTTGGATGCTGTGCTTGGCTCGGGTCGAGGGGTTTGAGAAGCAATTCGGACATTGGCGAGGCTACCAGCCAGAGTCTGGTTCGATATTGATTCAGGAAGTTCAAGTGATTCGATATTGTCAGATAGTTGAGGCTCTTGATGGCTTGTTGCGAGCTTCTTTGTCTTGGAAGCAGGTAGCTTCATCAGCGAAGCTGGCGTGGCAGGGTGAGGGAGGTGCTGCTCTTCGAGCAGAGCAGTGGCGTGATTTGGCTGCATATTCATCTGCGGTCTTATATAAGGCGATTTGCTCATTGAGCGCCTGGCGGGAATCGGGGGAGGAGGCATTTCTGAAAGGTTCTCTGGCGAGACGGATGCATTTTCGTCTGACCCATCAGTAGAAGCAGCGGGTAATGGAAGTAGCCCGTGCTCATTCTGCAGGTTCCTCTCTTCAACTTCGCTCAACACCTGGGAGACCATAGCCGGGCTAGGTCCCGTCTTTCGTCTCAGTGGTTTCGAAATGGGTGAGCTCTTGACGCCAGGCTTACTCCTGGCTTTGGTGGCCTGTGTCTTTCGTGTCTTTTTTGAGAGGTCCAAGTTGACGGCAGGGACTACGAGGGGCTCGAGATCCATCTCTATCGGTGAGTTGTTTGAGTGAGTGTTGTGGTCGTAATTGGATGATGAATCATTCTGAGCGTGGAGCGCTGGCGAAGTGAGCGGACTAAAGTACGCTCCTGGCACAGTAAAGGCATTGTCTATATTGAAATGAGGATCCAGAGGTGTGACAGCTGGCGAGACAAGAGGTGTAAATGCCATCTGAATTATCTTGTTTAGAAAATGACTCCAGCTCACCAGATCAAGAAAGGCAGAGGAAGAGAAAAAAGGGGAAAATTAAAAATTAAACATAGGGAAACTCACATCCTGCTCGGCCAACCGTTGATGGTAACCCCTATCATAGGCCCCTCTTGACGGCATCTGCTCAGCCTGAGAGTAAAACTGGCCACTACCAGGCGTCATCTCCAGGCTCCGCGGCGTCGGCGGTACCGAATGGCCTTGGTTCACGAAGAAGGTGGCCTGCTGCTCCTGAAGTTGCCGCTGCTGCTGCTGAAACTTCTGTTGCTGGAGATACTGGATCTGGGCGTCGATGTTGGAAATAGCCTCGTGCGACGCTGACGCCGGCATCATGTGGGACGGCAACGGCGCCATGGCCGGCGTGTGGTTCTGTAGCAAGCCGTCACTTCTGGCGATCATGCTGGAGGGATCTGTGTCGCTCATGAGGGCGTCGGCGGTCTGTCGAGGCTGCGCCATGATGGAGTGGGAGCCGTCATCCTGGAAACCCTGGAAATCAAATTGCATTCCGTCGCCCATGTTGGCCATGCCGCTGATGTCGAGAAACTGCTGGAAGTCGTCCTCTGATGCCGCGGCCATGGCCTGGTCCTGCGTGTTCCACGTTGCAGAGCTCATCATGGCTCTGTGTGGTGAGGTTCGCCGAAATGGGGACCTCTATGAAAATAGAAGAGAAGAAAAAAAAACCGCACCCTCGTCCGTAGCGATAAAGGCCCAAATCAAAAGATATTCGGCGATCGAGTCCCAGCCCAAGGCGTCGTTGCGACACACCTTTTTCCCTTCCCGATGGTGTGCCCACAGTGCGAGTAGCGCTTCTCGGACACCGCTTTCCCGAGACTTTGTCTCTGAAAAAAAGCAAAAGGAGAATAGGCGAGGGAAATCCGAGCAAAAGCAAAAGCGAATAGAAAGCCGAAGGAAGATGGCGATCCCGCCGTTGGTTGAAGATATGTCGGGGTAGCGACGAGCGCTTCGGTCGGGGAGTAACGGCAGCAAATCGGACGAAGGCCGTACTGCAGGTAGGGCTCAACAATTGGCGAATAGTGACGCAACGGTAAGGGAGTCGAGAAGTCGTCGGCAAGGCGGTCGCTGAAGCAGCATTTGGCGATGGTCAAGGCCGCGAGCACGACAGCGTCGATGGCTAGGAGAAGCAGCAACAGGGCGAAAGAAGGATGAAGAAAAAAAAGGCCAAGAGCGCGAGCGAAGAAAAAGGCCCGGATGGGGTCAATCTCCGGGAGAGAGAAGAAAAAAAAAGAGGCCACTGAGAAGCAGGTAACAGGGCTCGGCGGCACACGTCCCTTTGGTGCTTGTAGTGCCGTTCGCTAGCGGTGCCAGTGCATGTGGTCAGTGTGGCAGCAGGTGGGGGATCGCAGCAGCGGATCTCGCGTGGCCGAGTGCTAGAGGGACTAGCGGCCACAGCGGTGCCAGGTGCTAAAGAAGCTCGGCGCATGGCTCTGTCATTCACTGGATAGGCGACAACTTTTTTTTCTTTCCAGGACTCACTCCTAAACTGCTGGCCGTCTCGAACCTGCTGGGTCTAGATGCTACCAGGTTTAGGTCGGCTGTCACGCCCAAAAAGGAACTGGAACGATGGTGCAGACGCAGGACAGGCCGAGACGGCACTAACAGCAGCATCCGCGGGCTGCAGGTTCTAGGACTGCGGTTATAATCCTACAGCGGCCGAGAATCGAATATGGAAGCCTGTGACCGCACTGTGAGAAGCCATCTGTGATCCAGCCGCCCTCCTCTCCTTGATGGGAGACTTCTCGCCCTCTAAGACCGTTGCAGCTCTAAAACGGGGTCCCCCAGCCCTGACTCCTTGGCATTCTATAATCTATCCATACTCCACGGAGACTCCATAACACCTGCCTACGGGCCGAGTTCTGACCTGTAAGCGCTGGAGAAGAAAATCTCCAAGGGACAAAAAAAACAGGAACACGAAGGCCTCCAAAGCTGGTACCGTTGCTAATGTCTGACTACGCCGTATGCTATTACGGCCTGTGGGGAGCCGTCGCTCCTCGAGTCAGATACATACTAGATAGGCTGGATGAACCAAGACAAGGCCTCTCCTATTCCGCATTCCACCACTTTGACTATTTACTCGGCACCATTACAGTATATGCGTTACCCGGGTAGTGCTGTTGCCAGGGGAGAAAAGAGAAGATGCCGAGAAGCAAGAAAATAGATTCAAATGGTGAAATATGCACTGACAGACAACCCGACTCTCCCCTGCATCTACAGCGGCATGGCTCTCAGCCAACAACACACACCGAACACGGCAGGCCGAGTCCAGCCCGTCTATTAGCTCGAATCTACCCTCCCGATCCAAAGCCTGCGGTGGCTTGTCCGCAATCACCAGATACCGCTCATATGCACGGAGCGGTGCAAAGAACCTGAAAATAGTCACCATCCAACCCTCCATCTACACTCCCACTCGCCGGCGGCGCACTTTCCGACTTGTCGCGAACTAAAGAGCGCCCGTCTCTATTACGCGTCTGGCTTGCTTATTAAATTCCTCATCCTCCCAGATTTTGGAGCCAGCGGCCGGTAAACCTAGCCGAGGGGACTCTAGACCCTCTTCTTTTTTTGAATGCAGGGTCGCTCGCTAGAAGTGGGGGTCTCAAGAAAAAAAGCGGAAGCGGACCAAAACCTCATCTTTTTTTTCCCTCGGCGCTCGCTGTAATTCCCCGTGGAGCGTATTCTTCTGGCACTTGGGGTTGTAATCCCCGCTAGAGCTCCAGCGCCAATTTATTTGTCGTATATTGATTGCCAGGTAAGTCAGTAGCAAGTATTAATAGGAAATGGGTACAGTAAAGTTGTTATATAAGTGCAAGGTCTAACGTTCATGGCCATCAATAGCCGCATCTTGTCATAGAGAATGAAGAAATTAGCGCATACCCAGAGAACTACCCAATGTTTCTAGAGTTTCTACATGGCCCTTCATTTCCTTCTTTTTCGGCACTTCAACCTGCCAACCCCCACCCATCCTCAACACCCGAATGCTCCTAAGAAATAAAGCAACAAAAGTAGCACAAAGTGACAGGCGGCAGAAAGGTAAAAAAAACGAAGCAGCAGAAGCGCAGGCAAGCCGTTCCTTGCAGTCTCCATGTCCTCGTTAGTGCCAATTAGTACCACCTAGCATCCCGCGCTAGTGGCCATGGGACGAAAGCTATGGACGAAAAGAGCCCAAACGTTCGTTTCTGCTGCATGACAGTCATTTATCACTTGTCTTCTTTTCTTATTCCTTGCTTCTTCTACTTGTATGTGTAGTATGCATTACTCTATATTTCCCCTTTTGGATCGTATATCGCCATTTCAGAAGCATGAAATGCGCATCAACTAACAAGAAGCCAAGAAAGAAAGACATCCACAGAGTGGACAGCCCATCTCCGACCTCGTAATGCATTCCCTCCAAACAAATCATTTCGAATATATTCATTGTCCATCATCTCGTACGAGGCTCTAAAATGAGGCCCCGGCACAGAAAGACCAACTTGAGTCGCCACAGTACAGTCTAACTGCAGTCTACCAAGGGGATGAAAATCCGCCCATTCCAAAAATTCCATGTGATTGATTCCCTTGCTAATGCCAATCAATACATCTTCACTCTCTCCCCCCCACTTCCAAAAAAGAACGTCCGAGCTTGGCTCAACCAGGCAAGGCCCCGCTCGCTCGCTTGATAAGCTGATAGGCAAAACTCGAAGCAAGCTGAAGCTGCAAGCTTATTTCCAGCTTCGCAAACCCCATTGGCCAGGGCCATTTCCTTCGTTCCGTAAAGGCTGCAGCCATCCTTTTGACGTGCCGCATTCCGGCTGAATAGGTGCATGAGGCTTTCGGAACGCTCTGCACTATGCAATGTGATGTGGTGATCACCTTATCGATAGGAGAGATGTCGCCGGAAGATCGTCCAACGTCAACTACCAAACATTTACCTAGGTACTTGGCTAACTCACATATTCAGTCACTCACATTCACATTGCAAAGATCGAGTCAGTAATTAAGAACAACATAGATTGTCATATTTTCTACCCATCCACCTCCTCTACTCTCGACAGCTATCCACACTCAACATCCATACCCATGCTCCTTCCTAGCTCTATCAAAATCCCCCTTCTTCCCATCCACCTCCTACCGCTATCATCAATTCTATCCACAGCTACCCCCATCCGCACCAACATCTAACATCTACTTGCTCCAACTTCCATCCAGCGAATTACTTGTAGGGAAATGGTAACATCAATCGCAAGACACGCAAGGAAAACGGCCAAGCCCGGGCCTTTGCTTCTAGAATGTACAGAAAAAAAATTGAAAAGAAAATGAAAAGAAAACAAGAGTATGAGTCCAATATGTCCAAACAGAGATATCGACGCCAAGTCATGCTGAGAGGCCAAGATAACGGACACAGATCTAGGCGTCCAGGCTAACTCAGGTCGAGATTGCGATGCGTCGTGCTTCCTTCAAAGGAACCAGCGCTTCCGGCAGTACAATGTCTATTACGAACACGCGAGTACGCTCTGCTCCGGGCCGCGAGGAATATAAAACAAAAATTGAGATAGTGAGAGTGAGAGAAAATTAAAGCGGCATGCCGCTGAGAATACCGCGCCCAAAATAGATTCGAGGATATAAGCCGACCAATTCATCAAAAAAAATTAATTTCGCTCAAAAGACTTTGCTCCATGATCATGTCATCTGACTCACACCCGTGAATTCTCACCAAGGTTGAGCCAGCTCATGTCATTTGATGTCGACGCCGTGGCAAGCTTAGGTTGCTTGCTCACGCCCAGTCCTTGGGGCTGAGCGCTGGATACTATGCTGGGAGCATATGCACTGCTCGGGGCCCGGTTGGCACCCCATGACTTTCCAGCATGCGTGGGATCCCACGACTCTTGGATGCTCTCGGGGATTCCACTCGAATAGCCTGACGATGTTGCTGACAGTGCCGAGACCGCTGAGACAGGTCGCTCAATCTTTCCGGACATGCCTTCTTTCCAAGGAATATCCGGGTAGGATGAAACGACTGGGCTTCCTGTATTGACTCTGTTCATCCCAGGAGGGGCTTCAAAGTTAAGAGGCGGAACCGTGGCTGAATCTTGCGTTGCTCTGACATTACGTGTGGTAGGTGCTTGTGAGAAGTGAGATTGTGAGTAGTGGGAGCTTCGGTCCGATACAACCGTGGCTCTCTGTGCGGATGCTTGTGCGGGTGCGGCGGGTGCAGATGCTTGTGCAGGTGGCTGTGGCGCTCCATATCCGAGAATGTTCAGCGCACTTCCCCCTGACCAGTATTTATTCCAGCCCGAACTTCTTCGAGTGCCATCATCTGCTCCTGCAAGTCCTTCTTGAGGTCGAAGCTCAGCGGCTGAATCTTCAAAAGGATCGCCCTTCTCGTCAGTAACAGAAAGAATAGGGGCTTGCTGTGGTTGGAGAATAGGCTTGCTAATCTGGCTCTTGAAGTCGTTGCTAAGCTTTTGTGGCTTGTGCTGGCCCACGCGGCCCATCAAAATCGCCATTGAAGAGGTTGACTCTGAAGATGCCGTGTGTTGATGGCCTTTGAACTGCTTTGCCACTTGCGGGGGAAGAGTGCCTTTCGCAAACGTGCTCTGCGCAAAGACAGCATTGCTCTTCTCGTTGATAGGAGGCGTCTTTGGCTTTCCTGTTTCAGGGTGGAGCTGCTGCCTTCTGCGGCAGCGAAGAAGGAGAAGAATAAGACCAAGAAGCGCGAGGAATCCAGCAATGGTTCCGAGAGTGATACCAAGAATTGCGTTGGAGCTAGGACCGGAGTCGTCGCTTGCACTGCCAGTACCAGTTGGGAGGGCAGGGACAGACAAGTCGGATATACCAGGGGCTGCAGTTCCCGTTGCAGTGCCGGTGAATGAGCCGGTAAACGAACCAGTTGTCGAAGGAGAATCCGTAGTCGCGGTCGAGGTAGAGTGTGTTGTCGACGTGTGTCGCGCGCTAGAGGTCGTCTTGGTCTTCGACGCCGGAGTTGTTGATGAGGAAGAGATATCTTGGATAGAAATCTGCTGATCATCCAACAGAGCTTTGGCATCGACCCAGCCGTTCTTGTCGGCATTGAAAATAGCAAGTGGAACCTGGTCGTTTCCACCAGAAAAGACTACAGTGCCGTCAGGTGCCTGGGCCACGGCGAAATTTGTTCGAGTAGTAGTGGGGGCCAATGTTGAGTTGTAGTCAGGCCAGTTGCCCAGGGTCAAACCGCGTTGCTCGATGCTTCGTGCAGCAATAGGAGCAGAGCTGGGGAGGGGATTGCCGGCAGCATCTTGCACGATGGTGCGGGTGACGGCGTTGGGAGACTGTGACAAGTCAAAAGTATAGAGACTCTTGGACCCATCATCTCCAGAAACCAGTGCGGCGGTTACCGAGCCAGAGCCTGTGTTGAGTGGCTTGGACAAGCCAGCACCAGAATATCTCCAGCCGGCTTGAGGGTTGAACCAGTAGATGTTACCGTCGACGCCATCGCCGCTCATCATGGCAGCATCACTGTTGGTCCAGCTCGTAAGGAAGGGAGAAATAGCGGGCGTGGCGCTGGATTGAAACGAACGAGCTGCGTACGGCTCAGAAGCCTGGATGGTGAATGTTTGTGAGGAGGGACCAGTGCTACCGTCTTGGCTACCGGCGTACACCAAGATGACATCGTCGGCCTGGATGTAGGTGGCTCCGTGGTGTAAACGATTCTGCGTGACCGGAACCGAAGGGGTGATGGTTGTCCAGTTGCCTGTTGAAAATGTGTACTTTTGGAGTCCGTTATAGTCGCCTGCAGCGGTTCCTCCAACAATGAAGAGTGCGGCATTGGCAGCATCATTGGGGTTGGTCTCGACGCAAGCCCCTCCAGTCACTGCCACTCCCTGAGGTAGCTTCTTCCATTCCGCGCCGCTTTCCAGAGACAGGGACAAGAATCCTTGAGGTGAGTATGAATAAAGCGTGTTGTCAAAAATAACAGAGCACGAGCCGTCCAAAGACGAGGGGGGTTTCGGTAAGGACATTGCTCTTCGATGAGGAATCACAAGGCTAGGTTTAGGACGATATCAAAAAGAATTTTGGTGTGATGTAGAAATCGTTTCCTATAAGCGCATTGCGGTGATCCTGGTTCTGAACGTAGAGCTTCACTAATTCCGAGAGGAGTTTGTTAGCTTGGCAACGAGGGCACTGCCAGGTCGTTGCTGCTGGATGTTGTGTGTAAAAGGTGGTGAATAGAGAGGGCCCGTGATCCAAAAGTGAGCGTTGATCGGCGGGCAAACAACTAAAAATGAATGGCAGTCGTTACGAAAGTAGCGACAAGAACGTGTGTTAATACGGTGAAAACAATAGCGAATGTATCTAATAAGCAGGCGTGCGAGAGTAGTTTCTGTAAAGAAGACGTTTTTTTGGGGGGGGTTTCAAAAGAGCGAATAGTGGTAGTGGTGACAGTCTCGATCTAGAGGTCTAAAAGCGCAATCGTGGCGAGTCGTCGGAAATGGTGCAGGTTTTCGTTGAGCGAGAAGAACAAGGCCGTGTGTCGGGAAGATCAACCAGGCGAATCAACAGGTGAAGAGGCAAATCAACGATTTCTCAACGCTCTCGTTCCAGACGTGTCAACGGCGGAGATTCCAGAATCGGCAACGAATATCTTTTGGTGTTTTTCGAGTCGGAAAGAGAAGAGAAGGGCGAGAAAGAGCAGCGCGAAAGACTCGACGTTACAAAACACAAGCAGAAGGGAGAAAGAGCAACTCGGCCAACAAGTGGAAATCGAACGGCCGGCGAAGCTGCTGCTACGGCGTCTGCAAGGCAGGTCAAGGCGAAGACGAACGCAAGCACGAAAAGAAGGAAAGGGAAAAAAGCCACCAAGCCACAGGTAAAGGGAAGACAGAGAGGCGAAAACGAGGAGGCGGAGGAGGAGGATTAGAGAGAGAGAGACAGCGAGAGAAGCTGGGCTGCACAGAATCTGCGCTGCGACACCACCCTGGCCGCATCGCAGGTACCGGTACTCGCGAGTGCCTGGCCGGCGCTGGCGCTCAGGTGCCACGGCGCTCGTCGCACGCTGCAGCGGACGAACGAGCCTCCCCCCTACCCGTCCTCCAGCGGTTTCCCTGCGTCCTACCTTCCTGGGCTGGAGCGTTCGGCCAGCGGAACCCGCTTTGAGACACGAGGATGGGCAGGAGGCGCTGCGGATGGAGCGCAGGTACCGCTACAAGGCCGCGCCGGGGGGGATCGCTGGTGTTTTGCGGTGCATCATGCTCGCGTCGTCCAATCAGCGGGCGCAGGTGGCGTTCCATCGGCGCAGCCCCGGGGTAGGCCCCAGGTTTCAGCGGACGTCACGGTACCTGGAATGCAGTGGAGCGAGGCATTGATGACAGGTACTGCTCGGCTCCGGGGTACTTGCAGAGGACCCGGGCGTGCTAGCAAAGCCCCTGCCTTGCGCCAAGATTCGTTCCTGAAGGGTGACAACTTTTTTTTAGGTGGAAAAAGGGGTAGCCGCCAATCACGCCGCCGGCTTCAAGTGCCTTGGCGCCTGCAGAGCTACAAGTACATCGTACGAATAGCGGCCTAGTGCTAGTGCTATGCAAGTGCTGCTCTCCTCGTACCAGCATAGCGGCTATTCGCAGGTGCTGTAGGAAGCGTTTCCGTTTCCATCCCATGTAAGAAGCAGGCCATCGAATGAGGGCTCGGTGAAGGAGGGGAAGAATAAGCAACTCCATTTAAGCAATTTCAGTAGGCCGTTTGACGGGCTAGCACCAGCTTTATTTTCTTATTCTTGTTTCTGGTTGTTTTGGCCTGTGTGGTCGTCCATCTTGCCTCTCGTGCCCAATGTGGTTCGATGGACCCTGAACCAGACCAGCTTACGCCAATGACATCAACAGCAGCACCCTTTCCCACCTGTGGGCTTGTCCATCTCGCCCTCGCGTGAGCTCGATAATTCACAAATGCCATGCACACATCCAGTGCCCTCAAATTGGCAGCAATCCTGGCACCTCCGTATCCGCACTCTACCAGAGACGCAGATGCCGGCAACGGCTCATACGAGTGCTTGGGAGAGCATTGAATACGGGTAAATGCTGGCGCCTGAAGTAATTACCAGCCCTGGTCCAGAGTCGCATTCGCTCAGATGGCCCGCAACATTGGTTTGGGTGACCCGTATATCTGTATAGTGCCACCTGTACTGGTACAAGTGCTGTATCAGCCAACAACTCGCTCAAGTCGCGAACCACAAGCTAAACACAATCCACGATTGAGCACGAGCTACTGTAGGTATCCTCACACGAAAAAGGCCCCTCCACCCCCAAAAGACCGCACTGACTGTCACCTAACACCAAATTCGCGCCCATGAGCTCTGCCTCAGGTGCAGCCGGACTGCCGACGGACTGAGCATCGCCATCGCCTCCACAGCACCCTGATGCTGCGCCGCTGAGATTGCACTGGCATCATACAGTACCTACTACGGAGTGTTTTGCCCATCTTCTGTCAACAGCACCGCAGAGGCATGACATCGGTTCCTGGCTGGGGCTTCGCAGACCCCTGGTGATCGCTTGCAGTCCAGTCCCTCATCCCCACCGGCTTCAATCACTGTGAAACGCGCTACCAGGGATGCACCCTGGCTCTGCATTGTTCAACCCCCCTAACTGGACCCGGCCATCTACGGCCATCACTCCATCTGCATCGAATTTGAGTCGAGGGCTGGACTGGACTGCGCGTCCATCACGTTTGCTGCAGAGAAACAAAAACGATTGACCGGATGGGGATTGGACGGGTAAAGTGCTAAGAATGGAGTAGTAGGAGGTCCAAGTCGAGCTGGCTGTTAGTAACCCATACCTTCTCTGGATTTGCAGACCGATTCAATCGTTCATGTCGAATATCCTTCGGATATCTGCGATCGGTGTGATACACAGCATGAAGATCTGGACTGGAAGCAGTAGCAAGAGCACCACTACTGCACAAGAAGAACTAACAAAGCAGGGAGCGCTGGATGCGCAGATCCGAAATCGGAAAGAGGGGGTCTTTCTTAAATATCAGAATAATACAGTGTAGCTACTCCCTCGAACTGGCTGGGCGTAAGTTGAGTTGCGATGCAGCTCACGAGAAGTGATGGAACCCACCAGTCTCATATTTGACGGCGACTCACGAATACGAACGATTTACTGGCTTATCGATCATCGATGAAAAACAAAAATAGTACTAATAAAAAGCAAGACTAAATCGTCGGAAAAAGTAGAAAAAATGGTGGTCGGTTGACATGTATAGGGTAGGCATCGCATACCGTTTCCAAGACCGAGTGACTGCCCGCTAGCATTGCCGGTTTAGACGCTCAAATAGTAGTAGGCTTGTGCTCACTCAGGCGCAAACACTTGCTCGTATTTGCCCTGCTCTGGTTTTTAATCATACCTACTGTATAGGGTTCGTATATACAAATATGCGCGGTTAGGGGCCGCTCGCAATAGGCAGCTCAAAACTATATCCAGGTGCTCGTATAACCAGTCATCGTTTATTGCTAGCAATTCCCACTCAATCCATCAACTCTCCTTATGGAAGAGCTCAATTGAATGTAGAGCTACGTGTAAATTGTACAAGGTCTCATGTCTATAACGCACTCACGCATCTCATCGCAGTCAGAAGCGACGCACAAATAGAAATACTAGTAAAAGACATCTCGACAACCCCCTGTTGATGATATTGCACGTGGTCTTGGCATTGAGCCGCTGTACCCAGCCGACTTGCGTAACGCTCCCTTGGCTTCATCTAAACCGCGTGGATAGGAGGTTTCAAGCTGTGAATTTCTTCTTTCCGCTTTGATTGATTGGTTGCAAAGGGCGAATTCGAACACTGCCACGAAGCTTGTATTCCGACAATTTGCCTGCATATATGTACATGTACAACTATTACTATAATCTCGAGTGTTGCTCCTTAAACACAATAAGTTGGAGCAAAAGAATTAAATCAGTCACGCAGTAGCTATTGTTTCTTTCTTTTCAACACAGTATGGGCCTTAATCAAATTTTTGTGATCTCTAAATGTTCCCAAACACTCCTCACCATGCAGGTATTTTTGTTTATTTCGTCTTGCCCGCAACTATTATGGACCTTGCTTGGTCATCTCTCTTCTCCCTTTTCCGTACACGTACACGTAATAGACGAACCCCCCTGCCTCCAAACAGTATAACAATCTCTATAAATATCCGACCCATAAAACAACAAAAAGCTCCATACAAGTCCCATTTCTCCTGCCAATCCATTCTATCTAACCGCTCTGCTAGGTGGCTGAGGCAAATGCTTCTGGTGGTAGTTGTGACTATTGGAAAAAAAAACATGTGAGCTTCTAGTTTCGAGTAGCACTAGTCTCAAGATGACGAATCGTAACATACCTTCTTCTCATTGAAGATGACTAAAGCTTTGCCAAAGTCCCATTCGACCTGTGATAGACACATCTCTGAGTATTGCGGGACCATGCCTGTTTGTTTTGACAACTCGGCGATCATTGCTTGATGTTGATTTCCTGTATCCGTGGGAGCCGATGATGGTGCCACGAATACGTTCGGGAGAGGGCTGAATGCTCGCAAGGATAGCATGTCGCTGACGACCCGAATCTGAGCAGAACCGGATATGCCCGGCGCCAGCACAAAGGTGCGAGAGAAGCTTCGCTTGCCACTAAGTCCTGATTTCGGGTCGTACTCCTCGAATTCGCCATGAACGGCAATGATCAAGCCGTCCACGCCCAGCTGGCTTTGGCCTGTGGGGTCCGCCAAGCCTGGCAATGGGTGGCAGTCCATTATGTACTTGCTCAGCTCATCCTTCATATTGGGATGCTTAGTCATAGGAAGGTCCTTCCACAAGTTGTAAATAGCGTTTGCACCTTTGACTAGTCGCTGTGATCTAGCATGTAAGGTTGTGATTTTCTGGAGGTTGCGAGATGATTTGATGTAGGCCGCCCAGGGTAAGGGAGGCGGTGCGTTCGGATCTCTAACTGAGATGGCGTCAACGGCTAGGGAAAATTGACTACCGGCGTCGTATAGTCTGGACGTAAGTGCTTCGCGGTTGCTGTCGTAGGCTGCGAAGAAATCGAGTAGGAATTGCTCGCCAATGCCGTTGACATCCCGGAAATCAGGGCCGCTCTGTGGGATTGGTTTTGGTTGACGGGCGGCCTCCTGCTCGGCAATCTGCTGCACAGTACGAAGCTCAATCCCATTGATGATTCGTAGTTTGGGAAACCATTCCAACAAAGTCGCTTGGAAATTAGCATCCGTCGCCTCGATTGGGTTCCCAGTTGTATATAAGGTCTCGAGCTCCTTGAATGTCCCCTTCCATCGCTTGAGGCCCTCCATGTTGCTAATTTGATTGCCACTCATGTCAAGGTTCTTTAGATGTGGGAAGGACGATGCCACGGACTCGACTTGAATAACATCGTCAATGCTGTTATTAGCAAGACTGATGCTTTCAATAGCGTCCTTCTTTTCCTGTGGGGTCTTGAAAAGACCATCACAGATAGCCATGAGGCCTTTGAAAGTCTTCAGGGCCCGTTCTCGATTCTCAAACATGCCCAGGGTTACTAGCTCAGCATCGGATGCAAGAGCATCGAGCTTCAGTAGTTTGTTGTCACCAATGTAGCGCTGACTGAGAATAGCCTGCAGCTTTGAGCGTAACTCTATAGTCTCTGGCGATTCCGTCGCCTTGTTGGGAGGCGCGAAATCCTCGTTAGATTCTACCACCTCCAGCTGAGTACCAGCAAATGTAAAATTGTTGAGTTTGAGAAATTCTTCCGCATCCTCCTTGCTGGCTCCAATGAATACGTATTCTCCAGCTCTATGTGACTGTGGCGGGTTAGCAGCTAATAAAAGAGAGAGGATTTCAACCTTGAGCGCTGGGGCGAAATAAAATTTGACGCGAAGAATATCCCCGGAGATATTTGTCTTCCAGTCGCCATTCGAGCAGCTGAGACGTCGTTTGATGTTGGCACCCCTGCTTTCTCGTCAATGATGAACTTACTTTTCTGATCGTCAGGTGTCGTCTTCGTCCGGTGGTAAAGGAAGAGGCTTTCCTCTCCATGAAGCTAAGCAGGTCAGAGAGACCCCCATCCGGGTTAGACGCAGCTTTGCTTTGTTTAAGGCCGCGGATCCTCAGCCAGGTAAGTCCTTCAATATGGCCTCCTCTTGATCTGGTTGGCCTTGAAACCCGAGCTGACAAGTCCGAAGAGTTGCCGCTACCCAGTTGCTTCATTATGATTTGAGCTGCCTTTGCAGCTCCTCGTGATGGCTGAGTACCTCTTCCTGAAGGCCGACCTCTACCCCTTGTTTCATTTGTAGAGCCTCTGTTCAGTCGCTTGGAAGGCGCGTCCATGTCAAGATCTCCATCGTTGTCGGTCTTGGTTGGGCCTCTCCTCTTCTGAATGCCGCCCCTGGAGGTCGACTTTGATCCCAGAGGATTTCGGCCCTCTCGTGTTGGTTGGTTCTTCCCGCGGGGAGCCATGGCAACGAGTGCGAGGTGCTGTAGTATGGGTTTTTGGTGTTGATTTGATGGAAAAAGAAAGGGTGTTGAATCCGCGCGGCGAAGCTGCTGATGCCTGTATCGGATCGAGCTCTGATGCTTGATACTCTAGGATCTTTGCGCAAACACGGGTAAGGAGTGAATTTGGCGAGGTTGTCGAGAGTTTTTCAAAGGATTGTCGTCGCTATGGTTCTGCGAAAAGCCACGCTGGCCGGGCGCAAGAGCGCAAAGAAGTTCAAGACGGTCTATCGAGGTTGTTCGGCTGCGATCGTGGCAGCTGGCTCGGGGAGAACGTGTGAATGTCTGAGAGAAAGAGGGAAACCTGGCGGCTAATAGAAAGAGCCGGGGCTTTGCTTTATGAGACGCTGTTTGGGCGGCCGTGCGCTGTTGAAGAAACGAGGCCAACAAGTTTCGCTTTGAGTTTGGCGAAAGAAGAAATATGGCGGCGTCTCTATGCGGATTTGACTTGAGCTACTGGGCCAGGCTGCCAGCCGGATTTTTCCTGCCTAGGCGTGCACTATTGCCCATTGTAGCCTAGTGTGCTTTCCACTGCCTTGTATTCTGATTCAAAGCCTTGGTTGCTGGAGCTCAGCTGGTATGGCAGCGAACAAAAGGAGCAGACAGTAAATGAAATTTTATTTCTTTGAAGGCAATGTGCTATTTTTAACTAACCTCTTCACTGCATTTTATTGTTTCAGAATTACTCAAAGAATAAAATTGATATGCAGACGTCACTACATGTAGATATCTTAATTTTAGCCGCCGGATAGCAAGGCTCGGCCATTTAAACCACGTGACAGGGTACCTTTTTCGCGTCTTTGTGACCGTTTGGCGCGTCACATTGGCGACGCAGGCTTAGAGAATAGAAGAAAGATCTACAGAGTACGTTACGCGATTCAGCATTGGCAATACAACAACCGAGATCAAGACCAAATATTTTATCTATGTTCTGAAGAACCTTTCAAAAAATATGAAACTGAGGGTTGTTTGATATTCGGAGACCACAGTACATGGCCTTTGCCAGCCATGGATTCCGATGAGTTCGATGATGATATCGCCGATGAGGATATGCTTGCTGCCTTTGATCAATTATCTTCATCTAATGGAGGGCAAATTGCATCAACATCTAATTCGAGTGCAGTTACTACGAATCATGTCCATGGATTGAACAATGGGCAGAGCGTGTCCCAGGAGCTTCTTGATTTACCCTCAGATGCCTTCTCTTCACCGGAACCTCCCAGAAAGAGCGTACAGGCCCCTACAAGACCAGCAGTAACTGCACGCTCTGGCTTCAGTCGGACGAATTCAGGGACTTTTAGACAGACTACGTTATGGGGTGGCCATGCAGCAACTGATGATGCTCCTCGCGCATCTCAAACTACGACTGCCAGGGTCTATCGGGCTGATCTGCCGCCTGAACAACCTAGTCCGCATCAGCTCGACAGAGAGGCAATGAAAACTTGGGTGTATCCGACGAATCTGGGGCCAACTCGCGACTACCAGTACAGCATTGTCAGAAACAGCCTGTTCAACAACACATTGGTGGCCTTGCCAACTGGTCTAGGAAAGACATTTATTGCTGCTACAGTCATGTTGAACTTTTATCGTTGGACGAAAACGGCCAAAATCGTCTTTGTGGCGCCAACGAAACCGCTTGTAACTCAACAGATTGACGCTTGTTACAACATTGCGGGAATTCCCCGATCGGAGACGACACTTCTTACTGGCGATATCCCTCCTGCACTGCGGAGCGATGAGTGGGAAAAAAGACGAGTCTTCTTTATGACACCTCAAACGCTTCTTAATGATCTCTCGCATGGATACGCAGACCCCAAGAGCATTGGTCTCATTGTCATTGACGAAGCTCATCGCGCTGTGGGAGAATATGCGTATGCCAAGGCCACCAAACTCATTCGTCGATTTTCCAACAGTTTCCGAGTGTTGGCTCTGACGGCCACACCTGGCTCAAAGGTTGAAACGGTACAAGAGGTAATTGATAATCTGGGGATCTCGCACTGCGAAATCAGAACCGAAGAATCTCTGGATATTCGGCAGTATGTGCATCAGAGGAATATCGACCAAATAGTTCTGGAGCCTTCAGACGAGATCAATCTTATTGGAGAGCTCTTTACTGAGGCTCTCAAGCCACTGACGGAGAAGCTCAGCGCCCAAAATATATGGTATGGACGGAATCCAATGGCTCTCACGACGTATGGCTTGATCCAGGCGCAGAAGGAGTGGTTTGCTGCGCGTGGACATCGCACCAATCAAGGGGTTCAGTTTATGATGCGGGCAATATTCAGCGTATTGACGAGTCTTGCTCATTCGATCAAACTTCTGCAATATCATGGCATTCGACCTTTTTACGATAACATGGTCGACTTCCGCAGCGAACAAGAAGGAAAGGGTGAGAAGGGGTCCAAGTATAGGCGCCAAATCCTTGACAGCACAAGCTTTCAAGAAATGATGGATAAAATCTCTGGATGGCTCAAGACGGATGGCTTTGTAGGACATCCAAAGTTGACCGCTCTGGCTGATTGTGTGTTGAACCACTTCATGGACAATGGAGAGGCAACACGAGTCATTGTATTCAGCGAGTATCGTGATTCTGCCGAGGAAATCGTTCGCATGTTTAATACCCACCGACCTCTCATCAAAGCTACTGTCTTTGTTGGGCAAGCTGATGGAAAGCGCGGCGAAGGCATGAAGCAGAAGCAGCAAATAGATACCATTGAGAAATTCAAGACTGGCGCTTTCAACGTTTTAGTCGCCACGTCGATTGGAGAGGAAGGTTTGGACATTGGTCAAGTTGATCTCATCGTATGTTACGACTCTTCAGCATCACCTATTCGAATGCTGCAGCGAATGGGCAGAACAGGACGAAAGCGCACAGGCAATATTACATTGCTCCTGATGAGAGGTAAAGAGGAGGAACAGTTTGCCAAGTCAAAGGACAATTATGAGAAGATGCAGCAGCTCATCTGCGAAGGAAGCCGGTTCAACTTTCGGTTTGATCTCTCTACAAGAATGGTTCCCCGGGATATACGGCCAGAGGTGGACATGCGGCATGTGGAGATTCCGATCGAAAACACGCAAAATACATCATTACCGGAACCCAAGAAGAGACAAGTGCCCAAGGGGAAGAAGAAACCGCCCAAGAAATTCCATATGCCAGATGGCGTTCAGACTGGTTTTCAGAAAGTCAGCGATTTCATGCAGGTCACGCCAAGGACAAAGCAGCCTTTGTCCAGATCAAGCTCGAAGCCGGAACGAAATCCCGAGCTAGATGATGTCGCTGCGGTTCCCGAGTTGGAGCGCGTTGTGCTTGGGGCAGACGAGCTTTATGAGCTCGATCGAATCTACCGGAATCTCCCGTTCAACCGTAGTGTGGTTGAAGAAACTGAGTTGCCGGACTACACTGCTAACCCGATATTACAAAGACAGCTACGGCCGACTGCCTTGGTTGCGCATGGGACTCACACAAAACGCTGTATCAAAATGTTACGAAAGATGGGTGCAGATCCCGATAGCCTCGTAAAGCCGTGTCGCGATGAGGATACAAGCGAATACCTTGAGATCCCAGTAAAGCCTTTTGTGTATTCCGATGATGGCGAGACGGATGCAAGTGATGTTCAGAACACACCGGACGGAAAAAAGCGATCAGCGATCGAAGTTGATTCGGATGACAGCGGAACAGGGACTGAGGTTCAGCAGAAGAGGAGAAGGATCTCGGCCCCGAAAGCTCAGCCAAAAGCTCAACCGAAAGCTCAACCGAAAGCTCACTCAAAAGCAAAGTCAAAAGCTGAGTCAAAAGCTCAGCCATTAACCAAAAAGACCGTGCCTAAAAAGAGTTCTCGACCCGCCGCCCTACTAGAATTGGGTTCCGAAGATGAAGAGCTGTTTGACTCTGATCTTGACATAGATGCCGAAGAAGAGGAGCCTGGGCTGCCGCCTCGATTAAGTGAAGCAAAACGACGTAAAAAGTTGAATGCAAAGTCTAAAGGCAAATACTCACGGAAAGCAGCCATTGGCAGTGATGAAGAAGGAGACGACTGTGAAAGAGATAGCGATCTGCTGGATGAGAGTGACTCGGACGACGGGGCTGATCTGCTAGATTTTGTTGTGGGTGATGACCAGGCGACTTCCAGCATGCTGGATTCTGAGGCGACATCGCCTGTGCGGCCGAAAGAGCGGCCGAAAGAACGGACGCCACGAGCAGAAACGAGCAAACCTTATTTTGTCCCAACTCAGTTTACAGCAACACAAGAGAGCGAAGACGTTCCCGAATTTGATCTGCTTGTTGGGCCTTCCAAGGGTCGATTGGATGAAGGGTCTGCCCCAGCTAAGAGGGCGCGACGCGGAAGGCCTGCAATCTTGGACAGCGATGACAGTGATTTTTAAGAGAGGCGACCAAAGGACACGGGGGCTGAGCATTGGCAAGGTTTGAAGGGAAGGAATGTTTCAAAGTGGAAAAATGGTATTTAAAATTACGAAGTATCCAAATTTTTCTTAGGAGCTAGCTATCTGCGCAGCGGCAGGAAGATTCTAAAGCCACGAATTGATGACTCTATACGTTAATGGATGATTCGTCCGAGTACCGTCTTGACATTTTCCACTTGATCAAATATGATTTACCTAGTAAGAGCTGGTTAGCACTCATAAAAGAAATGAATATGATGGTGGAATTGCTCCAAAAATCCAAATCTCTTCAACTATTTTTCAGATACCCAGGTATAAGCACTACGACCCCCACCGCCGCCAGCGAGACCATTGCGGAACACCCAATTGCGCATATGACGATGCAAATTGAGCATTGGTACCCACGACAGTCTTGCTGGAAGCGACCAAAGGAACAGCATCCCCAAGCTTCCCAGAAGGGTCGCTCGTATCCGCTGACCGGGGGTAGTCTCAGACGGCTCTTCCTATAAGAAAAAAATGGGTGATGTAGTTCATCATGTAGTAAGGAGAAGGAATTGTATTTTTTCGTTTGCGTGTGTTCGTGATGGCTGCGTGGAGGAGAGAACGGGAAGAAGGATAAACGTACATTTTACAGCTGTGCAGTTGGCTGTCTGTTAATAAGAAAAGAAAATGAGTAGCAAGAAAAGCAAGAAAGAAGGAAAAGGACTAGTCAATGAAAGCAAGCTTCGATATCAAAAGCGCGACTGCGAATCTTTTCCTCTTGTTTTGGATATATCCAAGAGAGAGTTTAGTTTAGGAGCAAAAAAAAAGAAAAATTGTAGCTGTGGTACGGCAAAGCTGTTCCCGCCGTAGCACGTGAATCACTCACAATAAGTGGAGATCTTAGCTCGAAACCCCTACTTCAAACCTCTCCTTAGTCATCCGTCCAGCCCATTGCCATCCAAGTCAAAGTCCCCACAATTTTATAGGCCATTGCTCAACTCGCAGCCCGTCATTGCTTGCTTGCTTCAAAGGCATGACGTGACGCTGAAACCAAAGCGCTTTATCTGCCTTATCTGCAAAGCGGCGTTCCATCAGGCAGGCAACGGCTATTCCTTTTTGCGACCCTTGTTTCTAGCTTAATTCAACCCATCTCTCCCCTTCTAGTGCTCCGTAGCTCCGTAGCTTTACCTCTTCTCATCAACCTCCCCGCCTCGTATCGCAACAGAGATATCATCATCAATCGCCATGGCAAAGGGGATTTCGGTCCTCAAATTTGTGGGCACAGTGTCCCTCGGCCTGCTGACGGTGAGTTTTTCATTGTTATGATGTGTCTTTTCATGATTTGTTGGATCCTGGAGGAGAAAGGGCTGTGGTAGCAACGACGAAAAATAGCCGAATGCCCCTCTTCTCTCAGCAAAGTCGCATACTCGGCTGCATCATCGTAGCTTTAGCCGCCGATATGAACAACCAAAAGCCAAAGCAATCGGAGCTGCAGCAGCAGAATGCCAATCGCATTGCTACCAATCTCGGCTCTAGCCTTCAACACCGAGTGTGAATCTGGTACTGACTCTTTGCCATCGCAGGGCGTCTCATACACCGTCTCGGCTGTCACTCTTCCGACCCTCGTCAGCCTCCCATCATCATCTTCCGCCGCCCACGCCTTGACCTCTCTCCAATCCGCTCTCCGTCTCCCAGTCCTCGCTCTTTCATCTCTCGCCGCCGCTCCGCTATTCCTGTCGTTCGTCTTGTCTCCGCGCTATGCTCGCCACCCGTACCTCTTCTATACGTCCCTGCTCGCTGTGCTGTCTGCCGTAGCTCCTAACTACCTCCCCAAGCCAGCCACCTCAACTTCGAAGCTTTCCGGCACCCGCAAAGCCACTTCGTCTAGGGCCAGGATGGAAGCGAGCTACGAGGTCTTGGGTGATTCGCACAGCGAGGGAGACTTGCCTAGCGAGTCAGAGCTTGAAGATATCAATGGCGAGGAGGTCAGGGCCAACATTGACGGTGCCGCGAGAGCATACCTTGCTAGGACTGGCCTAGCTGCCGCTGGTTTTGTGCTGTCTGTGATTGGACTCTGGGGTGATGGTGCTCCTAGGTCCATTCGCTACTATTAAGCCATGAGCTGGCTTGTGTAACTTGTAAGATGTCTGCAGCAAGTCCGATTGGTTATGATTGCCAGTGGCTGGATTGGAACGATGTATTAACATTATGGAAAGTTGGTCCTTGCAACTAAAAGCGAGGTGGCTTCATCACTCCCTCATCAATTATTACGAAAAGATATGAGAAAAAAAAAACCGGTTTCAAATGACAAATTATGAAAGACAGTTGTCAACGAGTCTGTACAATTTGAACTCTTATATTATCATAGCTATCCAATACGAATCATGTTTAAGTTTTATAGACAGTTTAAATCATTATAATATTTGACTAATAGGACGACGATACAGACATATCCAATGATCTAATCCAACCAGAACTGGCTGATATCTTTAATGACCTAGAATAGACCTGCATTTTACCGATCATCTTATGTGCCACAAACGAAACAAACACGTATATATTTAGACAAACGGAAGGGAGAAAATGGTTCGATAGGCGGCTTCCCAAGCTTGCCAGAGCGCGTAGCATCCTACCTGATTGACTAAATTTTACGAAAGTCGTGAACGTCTGAATAAATTAAAGTCACTATAATGCCACCGCCAGAGAAAATCAGAAGCTCAAACACCGTCATCGCTATGTCCAATGTCTGCCCATTCGCCATAACTCGACTACAACGCCTTTCAAGCCTCCCCATAATACGCACCGGTGCCAACTCACAACTTAGGATGTTCCTGTAGTAAAACGCCTCCACTTACCATGGCGTCTTGGCTGCTTCCCTTTCTTATTCGCGCAGTTATTTTCCTCATGGACCTTAATATTCCATTTATTGGGATCCACTGCACCGCAGCCGTAGCGGCACTTGTATATTTCTCGGTAGTAATTTTGTAGAGTTTCGGGATGGTAATTCTTTATGTGCTTTTGAAGATTGCTTGCTTGACCCCTGTGGCCGTTCCTCCCCAGTTTAAATTTTGAACTACAGTACTCGCAACAGATTGTTCCATCCATCGACGCGCTTGTGCTAGTCGGGACACTTCTTGGTGTGGTAATTGGAGAAGGCGAGATAGTAATGGCGGATGAGGAGGTGGAAAGATTTGACGACACACTGGGAGAGCTGTTCGCTGGCGTGGGTTCCATAATGGTATCGACCGTGCTTATATTATTAGTACAAGATTTGAGGACAAGCGAAACCAAAAGCTTACCTAGGAAAGCCGAGTATAATATGATTAATATCGTAGGATGACTGAACGGCTGTAGTATTATCCTGGAAGTTCTCTGTGGAGAGACTGTCAGGCAGCAAATGGTTGATGCTCTTACAGCTCCCAAAGTCAATATCAGACGTAGATTCTAGGTACATGGTGAGGATGACCGAGTTTCGGGTTATTATCTGATCCAAAGCCAAATCTTGCCCGTCATCTGGAATCCGCATGGGCAGCCGTAGGATCGAAAAGCCGTATCGAGACACTGTCATGATGTTAGTCGGATGGATGGGGGCAAAAAACCTAGAACCTACGGCATAAATAGAGCAATATTGCGCCGAATATAGCGCCCGCCATGAAGACAGTGATGCGCGCCAGAATACTGGACTGTTCCATCTCCGGGTCAGGTGGCTTGGAGGAATTGATATGCAGATTCCCAAGTGCGCCTTGCGTTGGTGATGGACACCACTTGGTTAAAGGAAGCCTTCTTTCACATGTATGACCACAACGAATCGTAGAAAAGTATTGTTGTCGCAGAGTTTGCAGCCGGTAAGAACCAAGAGAATTTGCGGATCCATGGTCAAAGAGCCCACATGCTCTCACGAGACGGTTGACTAGGAGTTGTAAGAGTTCTAGAGGACGCGAGAAATTGTCCGCCCCTTCTTGGCCGATTGTTGAGACTGGAACGCCCCAGATATAATAAGCTATTTCGAAGAGCAGGGATTGGTCGTCCGGGCTTAGTAGAGTAGCCCATCGTGGGATATCATCCACAAATCTAGATATTATTAGCCAGATGTCCAAGTCAACACCATCATCGAGGGTTCTAGCATGCTTACTCTTCCTTCGAGCACCCTAGTTGTGAAGATGGAACGGCCGACCGCATTGCGTCTGCGACTTGCAAAGCGCTGACAATACTCGAAAGGCAGCGCGGCATATACCCTTCGCAAATGTCCCGAATCGCGCGCGTTCCGCTCCTCCAGACGGAAATGCTGGTACCAATATGGTCTACAAACTCTATCAGATTAGTAGAGGCGTCCCCTTTGGTACTTGCGTCTAGCAGTTTTTCACAAGAGTTCGAAACCTTTGCTATCAATCGCCGCGTCATGTTTCTGCGGCTTTGGACTTGTATAGCCGCAACCGCCGGACAATTTTCCACGTCAGAGCCTTTAGAGGGCATGAAATCTAGTGTGGGCTGGCGGGCCATCCGCTGGTAATTAATCCAAACTTTGGAGATGTCGACTTGTCGGGCATGTATAGTGGCAGAGCGGTTAAAGCTTTGAAAATCTGTGGAGCTTTCAGAATCTTCAAAGCTTTCAGAATCTTTGGGACCTTTGGAGCCAATAAAATCCAGTGTGAGCTCACGGGCCGTCTGAGTGTAATCAGTCTGAGTACTGGCAATAAAATCGTCTTTTAGCCACATATTGTCCGCCTCGCAATCGCTGATGAGCTTGCTCGATTCCTCATACGGCAAATTGCTCTCTACAAATTCGCCGGTCGGCTTAAAGGCTCTCCTGGCTTGGTAGTCATTGGCACCAGCCTCTAATAGAGAGCTGAATATTTTGAGTTGTCCATTTAGCTCTTTTATTTCATTTGGGTCAATATTTGAATCAGCCTCTATCACCTCTGATACGGCTCTCGAAAATAGGAGATCACGAGCGTTATTGTTCATGCCGGCTATGAAACTCCCAAGAATGTCTCTATAAGGGACGTTGCTATTTTCCAAGAACTGAGACAGAAGCCGAATATAATCTTCCTCGAGCACCTTCGCGCCAGCCCTCAGTAGATAGTCGATAATATACGCGTGACGATGCTTGATGGCACGGGATAGCGGGGACTTGTACCCATTACAATTGACGTTGGCATTTTCCTGTTCGAAGAGGTATTGAACAATTTCGAGGTGACCGCCAGAGGCTGCGCCACTCATGGGTGCTGCGCTGATGCAGGAATTTCCCCCTTCTTTATTGGCGCCATGAATGAGAAGCAGTTGAACTGCTTCCATATGGCCAGCTTTTGCGGCATGGTACAATGGCCCAGCAACGCAACCATCACCGTCTACCTGGGCACCACGCCCAAGAAGAAGCTGAAAGACGTCCCTTTCATAATGGCGTATGGCGAGGCATAAAGTCTTGGCATCAACGGAGCCTGGATCCATGGCAAGTGCATTGTGCACCAAAATATTGTTGTGCTGCTTGATCGCAGTTTGTAATTGAGATAGGGAGGGCTCATTTATAAAAGGGAAAGGGTAGATTGGCCCCTGGATATCCTCTTCGTCAAGCTCGCCAATCGCTTCGTCTAGAAGATCGAGGTCTTCAGAGATAGAGCGACTCCGACTATGGATATGATGAAATTGGAGCTCCGTGAGAATCTGCTCCTCGTGGAGACGCTCAAATCCGAAGCAGGCAAAAATCGAGCCCTCGCGAAGGAAATGGCGGACAAACAAGTCCAATGCGTCGAAGCTGTGGCCCTCAGTTTGATTCTGGTTGAATGCTGCACTCATTTGTGGGTAGTAGGGTAGCAGTGTGTCCATGCTGATCGAGGCATCAGAGAGAACATGGTCGAGATCGTCGTACGGTAGGAGGACTGCACGCAACCACTGTAGGAGGCTGTTTTCGTGAATATGAATGCTGAGGGAGCTCTCTGTCTTGTAGACTCTGAAGCAGATCTCGATATCAGCGCTGGGAGTGCCCGGGATGAAGCGGCCGTCGCCGCACGAATAAATTTCAAGAGTCTCCCTTGGCAGTGTTTAGCATGAATGAGCAGTACATAAGTACATGTATAGATGCCCAAAGAGGCGCACTCACTCTCCTAAGCGTTCGACCAAAACGAAAGCTGTGCGCGGGGACGGAGCAGCGCACATGATGGCGACGGCGGTGCGATGCCACCAGAGTATTGAGTCCTTGAAGACGGGGGGCTTATCAAAGCGGCAGATTCTCGAGGAAAGTAGCCATGGGCTTTGAAACCGTTTGAGAGCAATAGAGATTGAGAAGAACAGCGAGAATTACGAGACTTAAATACATCGTCGATTTGGCACCTTTGGGGTGCCTGGCACGTCGTCACCGTACATGTACCTACATTTTAGGAATCGCTACCCGTGGTTGTGGTCGTTATTATTGGTCGTGCACCATTTTAGGAATCCGCCACCACAAACGGCCAGCGCAAGGAACATGTGTGTGAGTGGGTATTGGACGCCAGGGGAAGCTCTCTATGGGCTGAGACTGACCGGGGATGCATTTTTAACTCTTCTAACTTAACGTCTGCCCGCCCAAACTTGGCAGGGGTTCGTGTCCACCAGCAGGCTCCGGTCTGCCCATCTCCCGTCGAGGCTCTCACTCGGCGCCGTGGAGATTGTTAGGAATCTCATGCACTAACACAGGCTTGCTCAATGCTGAGCCTCCCAAAGCGGAAGCCAGCATTTGTCGATTCCTAAAACACCTATATGCTACGCATCTAACCCTGCCTATTCTCTAGCAGCATGGCCCTGGCGTCTTCCTAATTTGCGCCAGTACTCCGTTCTGGTATTCAGTTGTATCCTACAAGATTGAGCGTCTCTGGCTGCTGCAGCCTTCCTTACTTATAAGATGCTGTTTTCTATTATGGAGAAACCTGTCGATCATTCATTGCTCTACCACAATTTCACGATGCCCAATTGAAACTCTCCCGTCCACATTTTAGGAACCACCATACTCCTAAAAAACATGAAGCTAGTTGAAATAAAGTCTTTAACAATGGTGCGGCGCCTGCTACCGCCATTATCTTCTGATCTCAGCGTCATTGTGTCAAGTTTAATTAGAATCAGATTCTAGATTTACATCATGTCTTCATCATGGGATGTTGAAATAGAGGGCCAACTTGAGACGACCGGGATCGACCTCCGTGTGGTCATGCTCACTCATGGGGCTTCTTTTCTCTATCACATTCCGCTTCTACCCTCCGACAAATGGATGGATGTTTCTCTCAAGCTTAAGAAGAATCTTGTGACCTCTCGAGGATTTTGGATGAGCAAATTAATGAATGCTGTTCCATTTCTAATGCCGGTAGTTTACAATGCAACGATATGCCCAGTACGTTTACATTTTAAATGAGTCGCGAGGTATCTCCCCAATCTGAGACTAACAAAGGCCTGTTCCCAGGTACCCATTGAGGCTATCTCTCAGGACCTCCCATGCATCGTTGACATTGGAACCGAGCATCGCTGCCACATACTCACAAAGGCTTTGCGCAACCCCAGAGTAATCCCAGCCAGATGCGACTTCGTCACTTCGTATCGTCGTTTCACAGCTCTGGACGAGGCACCCGGCACTATCCGTGCCAGAAATGCATTATTAGTTCGCTTGGAGTTTGACAAACTCATTTTCTTAGCGTTTAATGTGCTGTGCATTATTGTTTCTATCGTTTGTGGTGCCGTGGCGGGTGTTTGTTGGAAGAGTTTAGATACTGGCCTGGGAGTATTTGGTGCTGTGATAGGCGTAGTCGGTGTCGTGATGGGTATTTCCACTTATTTTTCGAACTGAGTCTTGTATATCAAGATTAATTACATTGTCTGCTCAACTATGACTCTGTTATGTAAGTTCTGTATGTATAAGATCTCGAGTTTGAATCGATATGCTGTTTGGAGTTGTCGCTCATATGAAAGAATACATCACAGGGAGCGGGGGTTTACTGGGCGCATATATATTGTATTAGCTTCTATGAAGACTTCGGCGGCCTTTGCATTCAAACTAGTTTCTGGTAAAATATCATCATAGAGCAGCCTTCTGACTATTATGCATCGCAATGATGGCCTTTTCGCTATTGCGAATACCTCTCTCCCACACACGATACCTAGCCTCGTACCACGATAGGATGCCACTTGGGCCACAAGCAGAGATGCATTTTGCAAGCTCGATACCATCCGTGATGGCATTGTTTGCGCCCTCTCCTCCCAGTATTGGCTCTGCATGCACAGAATCGCCCATGAAAAAGACGCCCTTCTTGGCGAGGGTGTAAAGTTCCTGCTGTTTGACAAGCACTGAACGCATAAGCCAATGCAAAACACGCTCCATCCTCAGCTTTTCCGCGTCAAAAACCTCTTTAAATGGCTGGCTTAATCCACTCAGAGTTTCTACTTCGTCGAAAAATTCGTCTGGAATATATGTTGCTCCTGACACTGGGCGATTGGGTTTGTGAAGAGGATCCGTAGAGCCTCTAGCCGGGCGCGAGAAGATCCAGCTCACGCTCACTATAATAGCCTGTTGCTCATTGATGAATATATTCAATATAAGGTCGTCTAATTTCATCTCTAGAACATTTGAATCATTGAATGCTGGGGCGTAGATGTTGTCGAATAGAGCACGCTTTACTTTTCGTTTGCCATTGAAAGCGACATATGGGAGAATACCAAATGGCGTGTTCGGAGAGAGGGATTTCCGAGTATTCGAGTGCGGTCCATCGGCTCCAACGACGCATAAACTCTCAAGCTGTTCCTCATTTTGAAAGTACAAGGCCGTCCCCGACGAAGTTTGTTCCGCTCTTTCCAGGGAGTACCCCCATCGGACATCCAGGCCCTCGCGAAGCAAGTTCTCAAATTTTTCGCGATTAGCGCGAAACGAGGTAGAAACTACTTGCCCAGGATTTACCATGGACTTGGACTCAATATTTCCATTCCCTCCTAGTGATCCGTTCACGGCTATTCGACGCCTGAAAGCGCTTTCATCCATACCCAGTATCTCTAGGAGTGGCATATAAGACGAGGCGTGGAGTGTGACGCCATAGTTATGGCGCGGGTCTGAAGACCAATCGCTCGTAAAGCACCGCTGCAACTCCATTCTTGAGAAGACAGCGACCGAGCGTTAAGCCTCCAATGCCCGCTCCAATAATGCAGACTGGTTGCTGTGGCATTTTGACGGTGCGGCGTTGTAAGATAAGATGTGCGAGGCTCAGCAAAAAGGAAAAGGATATTCTCTTATTACGACTAGTAGGATTTAAGATTCATAACCTCTGAGAGATGGTATCGAGTTGCGGCGCCACAAGTGCGACGAGCCAGGATGCATTTCTAACGTTGTTGCAAAACAACCCGCTTCTCGGCTACGCAGCGCAACACTGGGGAAATCATCTGAGGCAAGTTAGCGATGATGATATCAACCAGCAGGCAATTGCATTACTGAGCGATAGAAACAAAGTCCATCTTATCTCTTGGTTGAAGGAATATGCAGATAACCTAGTCAAGGGGGCCTATTTTAGGCCACGGACACAAGTATACGGCTTAACACTAGCTTCTTCTTTTGGTCTCATGGTTGTGGCATCTAGTTTGATCAGTTCAGGCTCATCTTTGCACGATAGAGACTCAAACGGGCAGACTGCTCTGCATCACGCCGTGGAGAATGGGCATACAGATACGGCGGCGCTGTTGTTAGACATGGGCGCTGAGATCAATTCGAGAGATCTCGATGGCTCATCGCCTCTCCATCAGGCGTCTACCAACGCTGACGAAGAAACTGCCAAGTTGCTCATACTGAAAGGCGCCGATGTCAATGCGGTGGACGGGTATAATGCAACACCCCTATACCGCGCCGCAGAGGCGGGGGACGAAGCAGTCACCCAGCTTCTTCTCGATGCAAATGCCGATCTACTTGCCAAGAACAGTTATCTCCAAACAGCTTTACATAAAGCAGCTGATAGAGGACATCTTGCCATAGTGGACTTGCTCCTTCAGCATGGCGCAGATGTCAAAGCGAAAGATCACTACGGATACACGCCATTCTATCGTGCTGCCGACCAAGGACATGAAGATGTGGCAAGACTATTGCAAGCTTTCACCCGACGAGGTTGATTTTATGTTACTATATTAGTGTGATACTGGAGTTGTGCTATCACTTGACAATGTCGTTGGACTACGCGAATATCTGTATGTGTTAATCTACTACTACTACTACTCATTTTTGGTAGATTTGCTACCTTTCATGCGGCATTCCGTATAGCCAGCGGGAAGTGCTGGCTAGCAAATGAATTTTTAGCGAAACATGATACTATGTCTAACTGGTTAATAGCCTGAAGTCAAGGAGAAAAAAGTAGGACGTGGCCATAGGCACCTGTCTGGTAACGCTTAGCAACTCTTTCCTATGGTCCGCTGAGCAACTTTTGTATGTAGATTTAGTGCATATATGCTATTACGATGGATGTTCAGAAAACACAGGGAGACACTAACCATCGAAATTGGCATGAAGTGGTTTTGTCAACCAGCTGGCAGTAGACTCTGTGTGGCTGCTATGCTGCCCAATGATAATTACTCTGTAGCCGCCATGGGTGTAAAGGGTAAGAGGATTGGCTCTTGTACGTAGTCGAGACCTAGTTCCAGCTCGCCACCAACCAATATTGTCTTATAAATGGCGCTTTTGCTCCTCTTGAACCTGGTCAAGACCTAATTCCAGCACGCTCTACCCAAGCCAATTGGGCTGACTAAGACCAAAATTGTAGTTGCGTTATTTGCCTCTCAAAGTGAGACATTGGATTTCAAGGCTACCTACACACTTCGATCGTTTTTGCCGGTGAATTGGCACTTCGGTATAGTACATGGGCATTTTCCTCTTTGCGATAACGTTCGCGTTATTTAGAAGACGGTGAGGTTTTTTTCAGGTACATCTATATACTTCACAAACAGATATAGTGTCCATTTCAGCACGGAGAATTAGCCCCTGAGCTTACATGTACTTTTTGGCTGCATTCGAATTGTACCAATTTTGTTTATTTACTTATCTTCTCAAACTAAAGATCTTGTAACTCTTGTGACTCTTTGGTAACAAAGACCCTCTAAGACCATTTTTAGACCTCTACACGAATGGCCTAAAAGCCCAGAAAAAGGTCCACCAGTCAGCCCTACGTGTGTCTAGAATACCAGAAACGACTCGGCGCCCCATGGCAGCCCGTCGTTGAAATCCTGGCAATCGATCGGGTTAATAGGCCAGAAATCTCTTGCAGTGCCGGTACAGTCGTCCCCGGTGAAGAGTCGGACCCTGAGGCCAAGAATATCGGAGCTGAATAAGAGGGAAACGGCGCCGCCTGGTATTCCGAATTGTTGACAGCCAGGGGTGGCCTGTTGCCCAGTGCGTACGTTGCAAACGCCGCCGCTAGCTTGGTTACAGTCAGGCATCGAGCAGTATTTCAGCGACCAGCTTGGTGGAGCCGTAACCAGGAGTGATTGCATCGCCGATCCGAACTCATGACCAAGCCCGACTTGAGCGCCGGCGGCATCCGTGCCATGGGCTGAAACAGCAGGTGAGGGCATCGCAGACCAGAAAGCAAGGCTAACAAACGGGCTGAAAGACTTGAGTTGCATCTTGGGGTCTTAGCGATGGAGAAAAATAAAGGGAAGGAGATGTTGAGATGGTGTTTGATATGAGACAAGATGGGAGCACTTCGTGAAATGGATTGCTTGCGGGCTATGTTGACTTGGCAATATTAGGTGTCAATGAGTAGTGAGGAGAAAAGAATGCTAGAGAGTATCGAGAGAGGAGGCGAGGGGATGGCCGAAACTTAAATAGCCATCGGATACCACGTAATATCTCCATAGCGATAGACGAATAGAAAGTCCAGCTCAGTACTTGACCTGTACTGCCCTGCTTCTTGGATCCAATAGCCTTGAAGAGCATTGCCAATAGTCTTGACAAAGATTGCCTGTTTGGGCATTTTATTGATGAGCTGAAGGACCTTCGGACCAGCCCCCATACAGTGGTAGTGGCGCCGGCAAGGAGCAAGCCCCTTTAGACATGTTCACAATGAGATTTTGCAGAAGTTAGGAACATTTGAATACATATAACACAAACGAATGGAATTTACGTCAACTATGATATACGAATCATACTCATAACCATGTGGCCTTCCATGTAGCCCACTTGTTGCTAGTTTGCCGGATCTGGAGATTCAGGAGGTAAACAAGCTGCTCAGGTTTCTAGTCACAATGCGAAAGAGTAATAGAAAGTTAAGAGAAAAGTTTCTAGTGTGCTGTAGCAATTGTCTGACGAAGGAAGTACAAAGTTTTCAAGGCTCTAGGAACGATATCTCTAACCATGGCCACACCTTCAACTATCGACCACTTGTCCTCCTCACCACAAGAAACAAAAGAAATGAATGAGCATCATCCTCAGCCACCTGTAACTAATAGAGTGGATTCTTAAGCACCAATCTGGACGGTGAGGTTACCGTGGTCGTCGTGGACAACGACAACATTCTTGGGGAGCTTGGTGAAGTCAATGAGGCAGACTCCTCCGATTTTGGTGACGTCAATGAGCTGTCCCTTCTTGAAGTCGCCAACGGCAACGTAGTAGGTGTTGACCGGTTGGATCTGGTAGCTCGTCTGGGCTTCGGGAACGAAGGTAGCAGCGGGACCGTCGGAGCCGCCCTTGGCACCCAGACCAATCATGTATCCCTCTGCAGGACGTTTCATGTTAGCAAGTTCAACCGGGGACGAAGCCCGCCAGAGTAGAGGTGGGTGAAGAACGTACCAGCCTTGGCTTCAGCATTGCTGAAGTTGCCGGTGCGGATCTCATAGGCGTTAGGAAAGCTTGCGTTGGGGAGAGCATCGGTGGAAAACTGGGGAGTGTCGTCGGCGACAAGCATGCTCAAGCTAGTTCCCGGGACCGGCTGGCCGGTGGGCTCGGTATAACCGAGGGTAACGGGCTCAGTGCCGGTGACGGTAATGGTGACGCTGCCGCTAGCGTTGGCCTTCTTCTTGCCAACAATGGCGTTGTACTCGTTGACCAGTTCGAAGAGGATCTCCTGTTTGTTGGCGGCCTTGTCGACGGCGAAGATGTTGGACCAGACCTGCTCTTGGACTCTACCTGACACGATGGGGACCTTGTTGAAGAGGGCATACTGCTGGAGACTACCAGACTTGTTCTTGATGGTGATGTTGTAGTTGTTAGGCATCTTGAAGGTGGTTGGGGAAAGAAGTAGTAAGTGTGAGTATGGATAGGCTGAAAGTTGAAAGATTGCTTTGGAGTTGAGACTGTGTTGATGATGGCTGCTGATGAAACGACAGTGTTGTATCGAGGAGGAAGATGGTCTTATATACGGGCGAGACTGGCAAGACTGGACGACTTTTCCTCTGACCAGCGACAGATTGTCCCCATCTCAGCTTGGAAACGAGGCAGATTTCCACGGTGCTGAGCCCCTCCCTCGAGTCCTGATAGCAAACACTACACCGCCCTAGACCAAGGGAAGACGCCGAAGACTGCAGGCTGACTGAATCCGGAGACGAAGCTCCTAAGACTTGTGCCTCCAGGCGGTGTTTCCATCGAAGCTGTGGTGATAGTGGATTATCCAGCAGTCTAGGCGCCCGCGGCTGGTTCAGGATCATGGCACCGTGACGAATGAGGTGAGGATCCTGCTTGTTCCCTCTGAAGTGGCAATCGATAGAATCGAATAGTGCCTCTCCAGCCAGCCCAAGAGGATGATTAATGCCAAAGAGGACGTTGAACGTCTGAAGTGACGATCGATAGAATCGAATAGTCTCTCTTCAGCCAGCCCAGGAGGATGATCAATCCGAATAGGACGTTGAGAGTCAGATTCACGCCCCTCTCTTCAGAAGAACAGAATGTAGAGCCTGCATCGGCGTGTCCGCGAGGAGGAGAGAGCAGCGGTTACCAGAGCAGGGCCATGAGAGGAAGGCCTGAATAGCCGCTGGGGCGTTCGATAGTTGCTTCAATGGGGCCAGCGATCGCGCCTCTGGGCTGAGTATCGGAACAATAGAATGGAACCCAGTTAGACAATGCGCAGCCCTTTGACTGCGGGGATTGGGATGCAACCTTGCCGCGTGCGGGTGGTTGCGGCAGGACGGGACGGCAGGGTCCTAATGGATACACGCAAACACGTGCACTTCACGACTAGACCCAGATCAGCGGACACTAATGGACACTAGCGGGTGTACCCGCCCGTCACTCGTCCGCACATGGCTTAGTGTCCCGGCTGGTGGGAGCTGAGGAAGGTAGGGCTGGGGCTTGGCTGGTCGGATTTGGGTTGATGGCTTGGATGGACAAGGAAGAGCCAAGCTGGGGAAACAAACGCGTGTAATAGACTACGTACTATCGGTTTCGGTTCTCTCCTCTAAGCGCCACCAACTAACCCGATTCGCCCTACGTTTCTTGCCCTGCATACACACTACCGCGGGCAAGGGGTTCGGCTGTGCGGATAGACGCAAATAGACCTTCTTCGTAGGTCACCTACTCGGCTTCAAGTCCCATGTCTCTCTCCGACGTCTTTCTTGATGATCGCGATTCCTGTTTGCTGTTTTGCCCGTTCAAGATACTCCTAGCTCGTTGGAGCGAGGTTCTTCCAGTCTACCAGTGTAACCCCCTTTAGCATGCTGCTTTCGACCATGTCCAAGAGCACCATGGCGCCGTACATCGTCTCCATTAACAACCAGTCCAACATCAAGCAGGCGTACGCCATCTTCGCCGCTGCCCCCACCATCAAGCGCAACGGGGATTCCACCGTCGACGTCGTCACCCGCATCATCACCAGCGTCCGGGGCGTCGCTAGTCCCCAGGGCCAGGCCAGCTTCATGCTGTCCAAGAAGCTTTTTGCAACATGCGGCGTATACGATGTCGAAGCTGACCTGTCGCCCCAGAACCAGCACAGGAAGCGCATAGGCACGGGCATTGAGGTCGTCGACCAGCGCCCCGTCAACCTCGGATGCTCAGATGAGCGGGGCAGGCCTGTGCCCGGAACAACGCTCCGGATTGAGTGTTCTGATGGTACGCCGGTGTTTACCAAGGAGGAAATCACCCCGTCGGGCGTCACTGGCTGTTTTTCCATCCTGACTGGTCGAGACTTTTCAGTCAAAGAAGCTAGGCACAGTGAGTTGCTCATCCTTCGATATCCCCGAATGTAGCCGCTGCGGGCGTCTGATGCTGACGGGGCGACCAGACCAGTACGTTGTTGGCTTCTGTTCGTCCATGCGCCAGAACATCGGACCCTATGCCACCTTCGTCCCCGAGCCCGGCCAAGAGTACCAGATTGCGCCGTCCAAGATATTCTACGTCGCGGTGGGCCAGTTCAACCCCTACGACCTGACCAGCCCAACTCTGAAAGACAGCTCCTCGACGTGCAAGGTGGACTTTGGCACGCTGGGGACGGACCAAGTCACCTTGATCCATAATGATACAGGTGGGCTTATCAGGATGAGGGTTCCTGGCGAGGAGGGTCCGTCGCCGGGGAACTTTGATGTCTCAGGGTCATCCGGGTCCGCCGACATGGGGTTGAATATTAATTAGTACTACTCGCTTGATTTGAACACGATTGATTATGAAAGCTTCTGTTTAGCAATTACTGTACTCCAGGGAGATACATTGCTTGGTATAATTTTAATCTCCATCACTCTACTTGGCTGCAGGGCATGTTGAAGCTGCTAATCGAATCAAATAAGACTGGCCAAGACTGAATAAAGCAAGCTACTACATTGTCTAAAGGTCTTGGCGATAGGCTACCTTGGCAATAGGCTCTCAAATCTTCCCAGGGCCCTAGAGAAGCTACATGTAGTCATCATCTCAAATTGGCACCCCCAACTTCCAGTCTTGCGGACTAGCCTTGTCCCCAGCTGCCCAATTCGCTTCTGTACTGTTGAATCACGTCCTGGCCGCTGTAGGTACTAGTACGGACCTTTTTAACCACGTCCTCGAGCTTCAGAGACCCATTGTTAGGCTTCCTGAAGGCCCACATGGCGGCGTCTATCTCGTTCCAAAGGTAGAAGTTGTCTGTCCCATAGACGGTTAGGAGAAAGGTGTTGCCGCCGTCGTAGTCGACCTTCACCATGATAGGGATGAGATTGTCCAGATTAAAGCTCTCGGCGAGACCAGGAACCTCTGATGTGGTATCAGTAATAGTTACGTAAGAACGAAAATAGAAGTAGCAGCAGTAGCAGCAGTAGCAGCAGCTGGAGTGCTGGATACTATTTCTCTAACAGAAGAGAAAGGGAAAACAGCGCAGAAGAGGGAAAAGAAAAGCGTACCTGGATCGAGAGAGAAATACGTCTCCATTTTCATGAGCTTTGGGTCGTTGGACCAGGAAGAATCCGACGGTAAGAGTTCAGGGTCAAGCTCCAGGTACCGCGGGACACGCTTCGGATCCTCTCCGGGCACTGAAGGTGCGGGAGCGGCCGGCGAGGACCTTTCGCCGGCGTCTGGAGCACCGGCCTCGGCCGAAGTGTCACGGCCTGGGTTGGAGGGATCAGTATCCGGCATTTTTGGTCTTCACAGCAAAGAAAGGTAGATGAAGATGAAGTATTCAAATATCGCTTGACGAACCAAGAGAGCTCGTCGAGGACTAGATATCTGCCCTTCTCCGGACCTGTTCTCTCAGTCGGCCTAGTTGATTGACTCACTGAGCGTGCGTGAGGGAAGAGGCTTGAGTGTCTCTCGGGCTAGTGGCGTCAACCAACCCCCTCACCTGCCCAAGTTGGGTAAAGTATATCAGAACCTGTCTGAGCTGATGATCCTCCCTACATGTACCCTCGTCTGGTGCAAAGTTCACTATTGAAGGCAGCAGGGGTGCATGCGTGTACGTGGACCGATAGTCTTACGGGGCTCAGACCAGGCCATTCGCCGCCACAAGTGCATATTGGTAGAACAACATACTGTTCTATGGGCGAGCCCTGAAACTTCACACCGCGTCCTCCGAGGCCCTGGTGTGATTGCCTCAGCCACAAATACCCTCCAAGCGCCTACCGTGACCACTAAACGCCATTTGCTGGAGATGTAGGTGATGTAAGTAGTTAGCTCACTGCGGTTGGTCTGGTCTCAAACGATCCAGTGCGAGGGCGACTGAGGATCCCAGCCCTAAGAGGAAATCGTCGACAAGCGATTTGCAACAGCTATTGATTTATGGCTGGCTGAAGAGTCCAAGCCTCCGATCGGATGCATACATGCCAACTCGCGGTGGTTATTCGCACCACTTGTACTTTTGGGGGGAGGCATGGCGAAAGAGAAGATGGTTCAAAGGCGAGGCAACAACAGAGAATTTATTATAAGATAGAATATCAGGCTTTATATTCAAGCATTAGGATCTCATCCGCCTGATCGCCCGTCTCGCCAAGGCCCCTCTTATTATTCATTCTTGTCTTCTTTAAAAGATGGCAAACATAGTCTGGGGCACTGGCTTTGGTGTCTTTGCGGATCCGTGCCGCCTTGGCTGCAGCATCTTCCAAGCATCTGCTCCAGGTGGACTCAAAACCATGATCGAGCGTTTTTACACGTGGCTAAATACTCTTCGGTGTGTTGTATACTCTCATTCACGCCATGATAGACCTATGCTGATAATTAGGGTAGCACAGAGGTTGAGGCAGCTTCAGTCGTCGGCGGTTGGGCAACCTGCGGGATTCCTGGAGACCGTGTGATTCATGTGATGCATCTGCTTAACACATTCTTTCCTCTTAATGGGTAAGCTAAAAAGTCAATATCTTCACAATTTTCAACTCCTCCTTTACTATTTCTACTATTTCTACTATTTCTACTATTTCTACTATTTCTACTATTTCTACTATTTCTACTATTTCTACTATTTCTACTATTTCTACTATTTCTACTATTTCTACTATTTCTACTATTTCTAC